GTCTTGAGCAGACGTCTGAAGGGTTCACCTTTCCAGCCACTAAATATTCGGCGGAACATTTTTTACAGCTTAGCGCCAGTCTAATACAGTGGATCAATGTGGCTCTACTTCTCACGTGGTTGCTGGACGCGGAGGCCCAGCATTTGTAACCTCAGCTCCTCTGACCCCGCGGGGCTGCTTGCTACGCGCCCCGTTGACCCCCCGCCTCAATGGCACTGGCTGGTGTCGGCTCATCCTTTTCCCCAAACTGGTGTGTGTGAAACGGCCCCCCGCCGGGGTTGCTCTCGCGCCCCCGCCCGCGCAGCCGAGCTGGAGCACCTGCTGCTCACGTGCTCACGTGCTCGCAGGGCCCCTCGTGGGCTCTGGCCGGCGCGTGTCTTCTGTCTTCTGAGGGTTATTCCTTCTCATTGACGCGCTTGCTTGTGCATGTGTTCTAGACACTCTGCCGTGGGTCCCACAGGGCGAGGTAAGCCCTTCCGGTCTGCGGCTGATCGTCCCACTTTTTTTAGGTAACACTTTATTTTATTGGTATTTTTAATTAAAATTTCAAGTGACGTTTATGGGGGTGACCTTAGTTAACAAGATTACATAGGTTCCAAGTGCACGTTGCTCTGTCTGGTCCGACGTGTGCCCGCCCCCCAAAGTCAGACCCTCCCCGCCCCCCTGGGTTTGGCCCCTTTGTCCTTTCCTGCCCACCCGTCTTCCTTACGGTGCACAGCCTTTGTGCTGAGAGTATATTAGCTCTTCTGTGTTAATATATTTGCTTTTAAAATTGGCTTTGTAAATCACTGTTGTCGTCGCAAACTCTTTCTCTCGTGCGGAGCTTCGCACGTGACCGGTGCCTCCTCTTTTTGCGGTTCCTAACTCGTTTAGAATTCCAGTGATTTTTACATTTTTTCCCTTAGATCTGCAACCTCTCTTTTCATTTATTTATCATCTTTTTTTGAGCCCTTGTTTTCTGAGTATATGTTCTTATTACATTGTCCTTCCTTATGAAACAGTTGGAAAAACAAACTCTTTATTTGATTTGAGTTGTTTCTTTGCCAGTCGTGCTCGGGGACTGTCTTTGGCTTGCTTTTTGTTTGTTTTTTCTCTCCAGAATGTTTAGATAACTGGTTTGCTTTTTCTCTTAACCTGAGTCATCCTTGCACAGCTCAGCCCAGGTGGTATGTTCATCCTGCACTTTCTTTCCCGTTGCCCGAGCCCAGTTTTACTTCTGCTCCAGCTGGAGTGGCCCCTGAGCCGATTCTGCAGCTGCCAATTTTCCCTCGCAGGAGGGCAGGCTGGGATGATGCGGGGGGCACCCACCCGCGGTGAGGAGCCGTCACTATTAGACACGCTGGGCTCTCGGCCGTCCTTTGAAATGCTGTTACGTGCCTCATACCGTGTTCGCACCGCTGAGCTGAGGAAATTGTCCTCCCGATGCTGGGTTTTTCCCACATTCTTATCTGAAGCCCTAGCAGTCTCTCCCACAGAATCAGCCTTCCCGCTCACGGTCTGTGTGCTTTTCCGTCCTGCCCTCCGCGCCTTCCCAACGCTCCGGCCAGGAGGAGGAGACAAGGGGACGCGGGGGCTGCCAGTGGGGGCATCGGGACCGCCCTGCGGGCCTGGGGCTGTTAGGACTGAGCCACGTGCGTGCGGGTGTCTGATCTGCTCTGGAAACTGACTTTTTGACTTTTTTTTTTAAAGACAAGTGTTCCCTCTCTGTCCCCTGACTTCTTTCCCCCCACCCCTTCCTGTCTGGGAGAAGAAGCCCCTGAGGGGGTCCCCACGTGCCGCCCACCCGGGGCCTTCTTCGTGTGAACAGGTGGGGGGTGGATCGCCGAGGCCTCCCCCGGGCCGGGCTGTTGCGGCCGCCGCAGGAACTGAGGCGGGGCGCCCGCGGGAGGTGACACGCAGGGTGCAGTTTGGGGGCTCCTCGCGTCCCCTGCGCTGGGAGGGGGGGAGCCTCTGGTCCTCGGGGCGGTGTCAGCGTTGTGTGAGCGCTGAAGACAGCTTTTCTGGAGGGCAGGGCCCGCAGCGGCGTCCACTCGGCCGCCCTTGGACAGCGGGGGCCAGGGCCCCTGCCTGCTGCGGGGCAGGCCCTCCCGGGGCGGGGGCGGGCCAGGTGCGGGGGGCGCGGGGAAGCACCAAATTTAACCAGAAAGTGTTCCCGTGTGACATGGGTAAGATCAACAACGTTAAGCAAGATTCGAGGGTAACAATGACTGGAGAGAAGAAAAACAAGACACAAAAATGAGATGAGAAAGATAAAGCCGCATTGAGCGCCTGCAGGGAAAGGCCTGCTGAAAGGCCCGGGACAAAGGGCAGTGACCAGCAGGCTGGGCGGGTCCCTGCTTTCCTCTGAATGCGGCAGTTTCAGGTCTAAAACAAGAGAAGACGTTTTTCTTCCAGGTGCTTTTTAGAGGGGTGAGTGGTTGGCTTGTAAGCAAAAAACCATTGTTGAGGTTTGGAGCACTAATTTTTTTTCAGTATGTTCAGGGAAACTTCTTAATGCTAGGATGTAGAGTTAAATTTCTTGAACGGTGTTTCTACATTTGAAACTGGAGACTTGCTATTGATTTTCTGATGGGACTGATGACCGTTTGTAATTTTACAGCTGTGACCATTTTCTTTTGGCCTTGACAAGGTTGTTGAAAGGCCTTCATGGGGGGGGGGAGGTGGAACCACACAGATGCAGCAAATAAAAAGGTGGAAAAATGATTGCATAAGAGATTTAGACAATAAAAAGGCAAAGAAGAAATGGGAAAAAATATTTGCAATCCACAAAGAGCTGAGTCCTTTTTTAAAGAAAGAGAAACAAGAGCGGGAAACAATGATTTACAAAATAATAAAAAAAATGGGCACGAGGAGAATAGGGAGTTAATAGAAATACATTAAAACAGACTGAAAAAAATACTTGATCTTCATAATGAAAGAAATGTCATTATTACTTTTTGACTATCAGTTTGGCAAAACTTTGACTAGATTTAAAACTTCACCCATGTCGGGTGCGATCGGAGCGAATGATGACCGGCTTGGCCGTCCGTGAGGGCATTTTGTTATATGAACCCCAATTAAAAATTCAAATTAAAAATCACGTCCGGTTTGACTCCGTCATCTCGTTTAGCGGTCCTGCCTCACCGATACCCCCACAGAAGCCCGACACACGGAAAGCTCGTGAAAGCGCTGGCCCCAGACAGAAACTGTAGCCATTCCCATAATTAGGTGGCGGCTCAGTAAATTAAACCCTATGGTGGCTGTTATGTCGTCTTTGAAAACAAGAGGCAAGACAGTAAGTGCCGCCGTGAACGATGGATTCCAAACGCATCAGTTACGCTTATGTGTGTGCTTTGGAAATGAAATAAAGACCCTGTTCAGGGAGTTAATTTTGGGGGGATTGACTGTATTTCTTCTGTTCTTTTTGCGTTTCCTAACCACACACATAGTTACTTATTTATAGTATCAAAGTTGGGTTTATAAACCATTTTCTGTTCTCTGTATACCTCTTTGTCTGAAAAACAGTTATATCTCATTAAAGATTGAAAAAACAAAAAAGTGTATTAGTTCCTCTTCATGGTATCAGGCACCATTTTAGTTTCTATTCTGCATGTTTCTGTTCATCCAGCATGAACCCAGGAGCCCTGCCCTGCCCCCCGCCCCCGCCGTGGCCCAGGCGGCGAGGCATCTGTGGCAGAGCCTGACCAGAGCGGCTGTGGCCCGAGGGAGGGGCCTCGGCCTTTCTGACCCAGGACGCGTGGCCCCGGAGGGCGGCCTCGCCCGCAGTCTCCCATCGCGAGGAGGAAGGGCCCCCTTGCAGGGCTCCCTCCGACAGCTGCACTCAGTGCTGCGCTCCCTGCCCAGGACAGACGCGAACGATCCAAAGCGGGTGCCTCCTGCTTTAATGGGAACTGGACCGAACATTCTTTCCTCTCCATGTTCTGTCTCCATGCGTCCTGGCCGCCTCCCCGCCCGGTCCTGGGAGATGCGTTTGCTGGAGTTTCCGGGAGCACTGAGACGGGCGGGGAGTGACGGTCCGGAGCGAAGGTGCTGAGCGGCCGCCGTGCATGTAGCTCCAGGGCACCGCGGCCCGGGGGCCGGGAGGGTGAGGCGCCCTCCTCCGTGCGGGCGAGCAGGCTCACCGTCCCGGCCTGCGGGTTTTCAGGTCTTCGTGCCTCGCGGAACGCCGTTCGCGTTTGTACAGTGATGGGGGTTGGGGGGGGGGTCCAGGGGAGCACATGGCTGCTGTAAAGACGTGGGTCAGGCGATGCAGCACCGTCTAGGAATGAGTTCTTCACTGCGCAGTTGTTCCTCACGACGGAGTTTCTGTCCCCAGTGATTACATTCCACGTAGCGATGGCAGTTCCCCTTCTTTCAACTTTGAAAATTCAGAATTATGCACGTTATTACAGTCTTTACGGGCAGCGCTTTTGTGGTTTGTGTCAAGAGATTTGACTCCAGCAACCCGAGTTTTAGGGGTTTGTTTCAATCTCAAGAAAATTCAATAGAAACACTATGTACATGTAAAAAACTTCCCTGGCAGAACAGTGTGAATTATGGACTATCCGTTTGGTAAAAATATTACTCAGTTGGTAGGGTGTTAGCTTTGAGCCTCATGTGGCAACACGAGAAATATTCCTAACACGAAAGTGGCCACGTCCCCCCTCAGCTCGGGCAGAATAGCTGTTTGGATGGAAAAGTCAGGAATGTTAAAGAGATTAGGAAAATCAAAGCAGTTAACTTGTTGGAATGCAGCCATTTATTTTTTAATGTCCAGTGTCACAAAGTCCACCCTCAATCAATATGTGGAGCAAGAGGCAAGGGGCAGAAGCCAGGGCTGGAGGGGGAAGGACGAGGGGTGACACCTCCAGGGTCTGGACGTGATGACAGGTGACCTCCTCGTGGGCAGAGCCGCGGGGGTGGGGGGAGCGGCCGGCGAGCCATTTTCCAGAGATGGAGATGGCCCGACGTGCTGCGATTTTCCCAGCGCTGATTTTATTTATTTGCTGACAACGCCCTAGGTCCTGTCCCTCGCTGAGTTCCTCTGGCCGTGCACCCTCTTCATGATCCTGATGGTGCTGCGCTTCCAAGAGCCTCCCAGGCAGAGGGACAACTGTAAGTTTCACTGCGCAGCGAGTCTCTGGAGACGCGGTGCAGGCCCCCTCCCCCGCCTCTAGGGGCTCTGGGCTGCGGCGCGCGGCTGGGGTCGCGGCTGGGGTCCTGGGGGCAGCACGGCAGCTGCGGCTCCGGGGCGCGTGCCCGCGGGCTCCGGTTCACACGTGTCCCCTTAGGGATAGTGGCCGCGGGTTGGCTCGGCGTAGCCGATGGACGCGTCCTTCTAACTGGGCGGCCTGCGGTGGGTGCGGGCATACGTGCCCTTATGAACAGAGGGAGTGGAGAGGGAGGGAGACAGGGAGGCGGCGGTTCAGCGGACGAGCGCGATGCCGGCGGCGGCTGCGGTGAAGATGACGGCGATGGGGAGGACGATGGAAAGGGCGACGATGGTGTTGCCAACGGGACGGGGACGCTGGGGATGACGCTGGGGATGGTGACGGTGGAGCCGGCGATGCTGCTGAGGGAGACGGTGGGGGCGTCGACAGCGGGACGGGGACGGGGACGGGGACGGCGGTGGGCAGCTCCGATGAACCGCCGCCGATGACTCCCGCTGCTGCAGGAGCTCTGCCCGCAAGACGGCCCGGCTCGCCTGGCCGCGCCCGGCCGCGTCCCGCCTGGAGCGGTGAAGGCCGGCGGTGCTCCTGGCACACGCATGGCCCTCGGAACGCCGCTAATGTGGCTGACGCTGGACGTGTGACGTGACGGAAGGGTCCTTAAGGGATGGGCTTTATCTAACACAGCACGTCGCTATCCGAGGTAGGGAATTCACTGATCTGGTCATTTGGCGAGTATGTACCGTGTGCCTCTGTGCCCCAGGCCCAGCGGAGGACAGAGTGCTGGACAGGCGTTTTCTCTGTTGTCACAGAAGTCGCTGCAGGGCCAGACTATTGCCACACATTGGGAGCAGCGCCGCCACGGGGCGCCACGCCGGGGACCGCGGGAACGTGTAGGGGAGGCAGCAAATCCGCTGTAGGGAAAGGCTTCGGAGGGACTTCATGAGACCACAGAACGCGGGGGCGGGGGAACGACCTGGGCGGGCAGACCCCACGGGGCAGCCCACGAAGAGAAGTCACTGGGACTAAGGAGCAGAGATGCGACCGGAGATGTCGCAGGGCCAGGTCAACGGAGGCTGTCACCCCGAGGGCGGTGAACGCCCAGGAGACGCAGAGGAGCCACTGGAAGGCTGCAGGCAGGTGGCAACGAGACGCGCAGTCAGGCCGACGCTCTCTCTGTTGCTGTGCAGGGAGGCGCGACCCGGAGGCTGCGGGAGGGGGAGCCGGCGGGGGCGGCTCTCATGCCCCAAGCGGACGGCACAGCACGTCGGGCTGAGGGAAGACCGGGGTTAAGAGTGGCCAACAGTACGTTTGGGTGATTTAGTTGTAAATAATAGGGCTTTAAGCCTCCAGTACAATGTGGTGTGTGTTAGTTCAGCCCTGCCAGGCAGGAAGGGTGGCTCACGTTCCTTGTCCGAGAAGGTCACCCCCATTCCTTCAGCGTTTGTGCGGATCTGACCAGCCGAGTGGCTGAGGGAGACCCCGGGGCTGTGTCTCACAGGACCATGCAATAAGCGTTTTTAGGGAGGAGGAGGCTTTGTCTGAGTCTCAAAGGATCCAGGAGCCGACCTCCTCGAAGAACTGCACCTCGACCTCTGTCTTGTGCAGCGTGGACAGGGGCCTCGCCTTCCAGAGCCTCTTTCCTGTGAAGACAGGAGGCTGGGCCTGCCTCGGGGCCTGCCCTGAGGACCCCGGGAAAACCAACCGTGAGCGCAGGCCCAGCTCAGCGGCACGGCGGGGGTGACCTGCCGCGTCTGGTTCTGCTGTCACTCTCTAGCTGTCCCAAGGTGGCCTGATGTGGCCGTGCTGCATCTTCAGTCGTGGCGGCAACGTGCTTCCAGGACAGAGCCCTTGATCTCTGACCCTGGCCACTGTGCTGTGACCGCCGCCCCTGACATGTCCCTGGGGGAGCGGCCGCTGGAGGGCGACGTGCCTTTTGTCACTGGCTGGGACGCGACCCACGCCCCTCTTTGGTCTCCTGCCCTTCTGCCCTCAGCCGGGCGAGCTAAGCACTTCTTTCGCTCCGTTAGCTGAAAAGCTGGTTTATTTATTTTTCAGTCATTCACTCATTCCATCATTTGCTAATTCATTGATTAATTTGTTAAATGTCAAGAGAGTGTCTTCTTTGTACAAACGATTGTGCTGAATTCCGAGCACAGAGGGTCTCCAAGCCCCAGAGGGTAAGGTCATCTCCCAGCCCCAGCAAGAGGCGCGGTAGGAGCAGGGCAGACGTCATGGTCTTCGCCATGAGCTCCACGGTGTTGGAGGGGTCACTTCTGAGCGGCCTGTGGCTTCAGCGTCCTGGCTGTTCTCGCCCCCTGGGGTGTGGAGGGCGGGGAGTGGGGTGCGGGGCGGGGAGGGGTGTATATGAAGCGGGGGCGGGGTGTGAGCAGCACTTTACTCAGGGAAATGGCTTATTGACACATTTGTCCTGAAACCTAGGGTCCTGGGTCCTGTCCATGTTTCCTAAACTTCTTTGCTTTATATGATCTTGGGCAACTACACTTAAACATTTAAGAATCCAAGGTATATTAGACTTCACAATTTTGCCCAGACTCAAAATCCCTAAATTTGTATATGAGAGGATAAAAGGTATGTATTCTTCTTTCTGCGCCCGGCTTGCCCTCTCCGAGTCACTTGGCTGGACCGCCCAGAACCCCTGTGCTGGGAGCCCCGAGCGTGGGGGTGCTGCTGGATGAGAGAGAGGCTTCCCCCTCCCCGCCCCTCCCCTTCCCTTTTCCTCTCTCTTTCCTTCTTTCCTTCCTTCTTTCTCTCTCTCTCTCTCTCCTTTTCCTTTCTTTTGTGTTCTTTTTTTCTTAACTGAGTGTTCAGCTCCTTTACACGAATAGCAGGGTTAATTATGCAAGAGCACGACGCCACCATTCACATTACCATTCTCGTTCTGACTCAGCGGGGGCTCCCTTTCTGCCAGCAGCTGTGCGGACACATTCCCCCCTTGTGCCCACACCCAGGTTATTTGCAGCCCCGGGACCTGCCCAGCCGGGGCGTCTTCCCCTTCGTCCGAAGCCTTCTTTGCAACACCGGGGCGAAATGCAGGAACCGCAGCTACGTGGGGGCCGCGGACCACCATTTCCGGTAAGAAACGCAAGCATCCTTTTCGGAAGTCACGGGGAACAGGGGCACGGTGCTTCTCGCGAAGCCTCAGTAATTGGGAACAGGCCAGAGGTCATGACAGGCGCAGCAGGCAGAGTCACAAGGAAAAGGAAAGCCGAGGAAACTCTCTCTGAGAAGACTAGAAGGGCCGAGGCTGAGCAGCACTCCCGTCCCGGCCTTGCCTGTACCCCTTCCCTGCTCGGAATTTCAGCGCTGCTCCAGAGGGAAGAGCTGGGCCTCAGGCCCGAGCAGCACTGGCCCAGTCCGTTTCAGTGCCGGGACTTGGGGCACAGTGTTTAACCTCCCCGAACCTCCGTTTCTCACGTCCCTGCTTCAGGCGTCGAGAGGATTAGAGACGGCACTTGCAGCCTCTGGCCGGTGCACAGCACCCCCTTGGCCTCTGCGGCATGTCCTCAGTGCTCTGGCTGTAATGACAGGGCACGTTTTTCCACGCCAGGAGCTAACTGGCCCTTTTGGCCCACGTTTCTCTGCCTCTACACCCTCCTTCACTCTGCGGCGACGCAGGGATGTGACACAGGCCTGGTGGCCGTGCTTCGCCCCGCCTGCCGAGAGCCGTGGTCTGTGTCACAGCCGGGAGCCTCGCCGGGCTGTGACTGACAGGCAGGCCAGGGCGAAATGCCTCCCCGCCTGGCAGGCCTAAGGCCGAGGTGGGAGAAATGCAAGATGCAACACAGGGAAGTCTTGGGGAGCGAGGGAGAGGGAAGGGTGGGACCGGCACCCGGAGGCGTCCCCGCAGGGGCAGGCTCGCCTCTGGCTTCGGGCCCGGCCAAGCGACCGGGCCTGTCTCGCTGGGTTTGAATTCAGCCGATTCTCAAGGCCGCAAGTAAACATCCCCCTTCTGATCCCTTTGTCTCAGTGCACAAATACCTGAAAGCTGGTTTCCATTTCAAGTCTATTGAAGCATTATCACAGCTAATTTAGTCTGGGGATTTCCACGCCCTTTATAATAGCCTGGAGAAACTTGACTCGGGGCAGAGATCCTGAATTTCATCGGACCTGGACCTCGGTTACGATTCTGAAAATCCACTTCCTCCTTCCTGCTGTGGTTACGGATCTTGCCCTTAGCTCTCACAGGGGGGTTTCTGTGCTAAAATGCAGATCACTGCTGATTGCAGGCTGAACGGTGGCCTCACAGCGTCAGGAAGCATTCCGATTTGGTCCAAGGGGAGCCTACCAGCAGCACACAAGCAAACTGGAGGTGCCCTGTGGCGTGAATGCGCCCCATTGGAGATATGAGGGGGCCGCAGGGCCCGCTGCGTGGACGCTCCTCGTTCTCGAGTCTGGGGCTTTCCCTCTGGCCTGGGCCGAGTGGTTTTTCACTCTCCCCCCTCAAAATGTTCTCTTTATCACCATTCCCGGTTGTTTCCTATGCTCACCACTTTGCTCTCATCACTGTTTTTGTTTTACTTTATTTTATTCTCAAGTGCGCCCCGTCTCCGTGTCCTCGCCTCCGGGCCGACGGCCTGCTTCTCCCGCATTTGTGCAGGGCCTGTGGCTGCCGCGTCTCGTGGTTTCTTGGTTTGCTTTGAACTCTTTAGACTCTGCTTAGACTGTCTTCCAAGCTCTATAGTCTGTGTTGGACAAGCTCAAGAAGAGTCATGTTAGGAAGAAATGATAAAAATTTATTCGAGGGCCTTAGGGTTTGCAACCAGAAACACAACTAGGCAACACCCAGGGTGTTTTGAAGAAGAAAGAAAGGCTGAGGGTGCTCACTCTATGGGGTACCTTCTTGAGATGAATCAGTTCTGCATTCTTAGCCTCCGATTGGTCCGAGACCGCGCCCATAGGTGACTGATGGCCTGGATGATGATGTCAGGTGGTCTGGATATGTGAAGGTTCTTTCCCCAGCCCTTCAGGGGGTAATCAAAGGGTTATCTGAGGGTTTGGTGGACCTCCAGGCATTGACCGAGGACTGCAGGGTTCTGATGTTTAAGTTCCCAGAACAGAATCGTTTTCTCGTGCCTCAGCCCGCTCGATTTTAGCAATTTGGCAGCTTGACGATGGCATTGCCATTTTATATCTCACTCTATTATTCCTGTTTCTATTTCATAATTTTCCCTATTCCGGGGCCAGCTTCTTTGTAAGTAGCAGAATCCTCTTTCTCCGTCCAAAGCAGCGAAGAGCCTGACCCTTGTTTATTACAAGGCTTCTCTGACATCGAGGAGGACTGGCATTTGAGACAGAATTAAGCGTGCACAGCTGTGAGCGACGCCCAACAGGCGGCCCAGGCGTTCCCTCTGCGCTCAGCCCTGCGGCCGGTCCCTCCCCGGAGCCCAGTCCGAGCTGCCTCCCTCTTTGTGCATCATTGGAACATAGGAAACTGGGTGCGCGATGTTATTTTTTTATTTGTTTTATATTTGCACCAGTTTTGTTCAAAAATATGATTTGCACATATTTTTCTCCACTTTTAGGTTGTCTTTTCATTTTCTAATTGTGTCCTTTGAAACACACAGCTCTTAATTTTAATGAAGTCACACTTATTTTTTCTTTTGCTGCCTGTGTTTTTGAAGTCATGTCTAAAAGGCTCTGCCTAACTCACGGCTGTGAAGATTGACTCCTGTGTTTCCTTCCAAGAACTTTACCGTTTCAGATCCTGCAGGGGGGCCTGTGGTCCCACAGGAGCTGACGTCCGTGTGTGGCGTGAGGAAGCGGTCCGTTCTTTGCACACGGGTGTCCAGCTGTCCCCGGGGACTGCATCGAGCCTGTGGATGAGCTGGGAAAGAATTGCTATTTTAATGACATTGAGTGTTCTAATGAGCATGATATAGTTCTCCATTTAACTGTTTTTAAAAAATTTCTCTCAGATTTTTTTTTGTGTTTTTCAGAGTTATATACACCTCGTTAAATCTATTCCTAAGAAGTTCATGTTTTCTGGTATTGTTTTACATTTTTGAAAATATGGACAATCAGTTCCAGTGGCTTTTTCATATATGCCTCAGGATATTCTACGGATGTGCGTATGTCATCTGAAAATGCAGTTTTCCTTCCTCCTTCTTTGTCGGGGCACATGTTGTTTGGTGTCGTGTGTTTTTCTGCATCGGGGTCCTGGCCCTGTGAGAAAGTGGTGGCATTGCTGGTCTGAGGGCTGAGAAGGAAGTTCAGTCACCCGCCAAGCGGCCTTTTCTGGCTCCGGATCAAGCTAATCTTCTTTGTTCTGCCTCCTCTTTGCAACGCCTCCCGTTCCCTGGGGAAAGGACAGAGAAGGAGCCGGACTGGGGTGGGGCGGGGTGGGGCGGGGTGGGGGGAGCGGCTCTCCGCCGAAACCCGTCCCGGTGCCGGGAGTTCTCTGGGGGGCGCAGCCATGGTCTCAGTCTCTCTCGCAGCCTCTCTTTCTCCCCTCAACATTTAATCCAAGATTTCCGGTGCATTTTTCTGCCATGAACACCTTCATTTCAGTGATAGTTCTCAGTCCTGTCCCAGGAGCACAGGGAGGCCCCTGGGAAATATGAGTGAGAAAAAGGACGTGACGCGCGTCCCTCTCACAGGGAACCCCCCTCGGAGCGGCCCCGGGCCTGTCGCGACCCTCCTGGGCCCCGCCGCGCCGATCGTGCCCTGGGGGGCGGAGGCGGGAGAACGTGCCTCTCCGCCTGCCCCTTCCGGGGTCCTTTACGAGACGGTGGTTTTTATTTTTCCGGACGCGGTCACGGCAGAGGCAATGACCGAATTTTTGTTGCGCTTTGGGAACGCGGACCCGCTCGCGGGGAAGGCGGCACCTTTTCAAGGCGAGATCTGGGTGCGGCGCGCGCTCTCGGATTCTCTGGGCTCCTCGCGGCCTCTGACCGCGGGCTGCGCGCTCAGCGCCTTGGCATTTACTCGGTTCGGCAGTAACGTTTGTTGAGCCTGTCCCGGCTTCATTACAGGCGGTGAAAATTAACGTTCGTGGGAGCTTTGTTGTTATTTCACGGTGGATTTGCCTGTCGACAGCTGTTACTTCACTTTCTCCGTGTTCTCTGATTCGCAAAGTAAAGACATTGGGATTTAAAAAACCTAACAGGCTCTATAACTTTCTCATCAGGAAAAAACTTCCCCCACGTCCCCCCTTTTTCTTCCTGGTTACACTGAGTATAGACACCTAGTTCCTTTAACAAGCTCCCAGCATCTTCTGAAAGAACTTTTTAGGTTATTTTGAATCTGGCGTTTCTTACTCAGTAAACAAATTCCCACTGAATTTGAGATGAGACACACAGGCAGGGTGCACAGCTGATTTTAAAGTCTGTGAGTGCATTTTCTCTTGTTTAACAGCAAAAAAAAAAAGAAAATCCCCCCCCTTCTCCTCGCACCCGTTTCATCATTTTCCAAGCAGAATCACAGCGTGCGTGTTCCCCGCACCCCGAGGTCGGTCGGCGGCCGCTCTGCGAACCGCCGGGGGGCCAGGCAGAGAACGACACCCCGGCCCCCTGGCGGCCGCGGGCGGCACTGCAGGCGGCGCGGTCGCAGGCACAGGCGGACCCGCCCACGTCCGCAGGAGGCGGCTGCTAGCAGCCCCGTTTTTAAAGACGACAAGAAATCCTTTCAAGACGTGTGCTGCCACGCATTCAACCTCCCTCTCACAACTGGGCATTTACATTATTTCTAGAAATTTCCTTTTTGAGATCATGCTCAGGGGGCTGTTCTTGTTCGCACCTTTTGTCTGTTATTGTCTGTTAGTAGTTAAATCGCTCAAAGCTACAATAAAATTAAAGGCGAGTAAAAGGAGGTGGTTTTGCTTACGCACGTGACGAAGCGCTGCTTTGTCTAAACGTAAACAAGACAGCGAACCTCCCGATAGAAAGTGAGACGATGGCCTGGGCCACCCTGCCGACCGCAGTCCCCGCTCCTGAGCCCCAGGCCCCCGCCGAGCGCCCCGACCTCTGTGCTCGGCGTCCAGTGCGCCTGGCGAGCCCGGCGCTCAGCGAGGCCTCCGATTCCACCCGCAAGCCCCTCCCCTCCCAGGGGAGGCGCCACCTCCCCCCGCGACCCTGCAGGCCTCCAAGGTTCCCTCTCCGGAGTCCGTGGTCGTGGCTCCCAGGACTTGCTCCGGTCGGGGGTGTGAGACGCGCAGACGTGGGAGCGACCCTGGCCAGCCCCGCGCTGTCCCTGGGCGCTGGCCCTCCAGGCCTAGCAGTCAGCACCGCCTCAGAGAGGCAGCAAATCCAAGGCCTGGTTCACAGTCCCCACGTCTGTCCAGGTCACTGAAAGTCCGCCCGACCCCTTTGGGGGCGGGCCTGACTCGGCCACTGGCCACCCCTTCCTGCCCTGTCCTTCTGTGCCGGCCTCCCAGTTGCAGCCAGAGCAGGCCGCCCCGCTGGGGCCCACCCCAGCTCCCCGCCTCTGAGCAGGGTGTTCCCAGTGACTGGGGCTTGGCCGGTGGGCACATTCCCCACAGCCTCCCTGTCCGCAGCCACCACTTCTGGGCATTGACAGTGCCTCCCGCTGACCGGACTGCAAGCCCCTTTCTTCCCTCTGGCCGGCCCCTGTGTTTTTCCGGGTTCAGCCCAACAGCACCGTCCCTGCAACAGACTTTCCCACTCGCTTCCTATCATATCGAGTCTTACTGATTTCCTTCCGGGCATTAACTTTGGCCCGCAGTTGAGAGGCATATCCGTGTCCTCATCCCCTGCCTCCTCCGCAGGCAGGGACGGCGGCGGCTGCTCTGGTCGTGGGGTGTTTAGTCCCAGCATCTCGCACAGGGTGTGCGGTGCAATGTGTGAAAGATAAATGACAAAAAAAAAAAAAAAAAAAAAAAGAAAAGAAAAGAAAAGAAAGGCATGACTAATAAACACATCAAATGGTTGAACTTCACAGATGATGATAAAGGGATGGAGAACGACTCTCTGATTTTACATAGGCCGAGGTTTGGAAAAGGGTGGTTTCCATTCGGGATGCCTGCCGCGCACCATGGGCTCCTAAGGGCAGTCGGTGGGAGCGGAAGTGGGTGCACAGTTAGTTGAAAACGAACTGATGTTTGGTGTCACGAGTCTTAAAAGTGCTGAGGGCACGTCTTCCTGTAAAGAGGTCTATTGGCAGTATCGATTCTCTTTGCCTTAAGTTCGCCTGGGTCCCGAACCACGGCCGGCCATCGCGGGACCATCAGCGACCTGGCCTTCCTACAAGACATGCAGGACCTTGCCACTGAAGTCTGTGACGTGATGGACAAGGCGACACACTTACAAAGACTTTGGGTGGAAAGATCCAAGACTCCAGGCAAGTAAACCTCTCCCACTGTCGGCCCCACAGCTGGACACAGGCTCAGGCGGGCTCAGGAGGCTGCGGCGACCCGCAGTGCCCTTAAACCCTTAAAGTCCTGTTTACATAATGGCCCCTCACGGCACCCGGCTGTCGTAGTTCTTAGAAAAGGCGCACCCTCCCTGTAGGAACCCCAGCGCCCAGGGCGGCTTGGGGAGGGCAGAGCTAGATCCCACCGCTCCGCCTGGGACGGCACCTCGGGCGCCGCGTTCGGAGAGGCCGCAGCCCAGCCTTCCCTCCGCAGGTCCCCTCCCTCCATTCCCCCTTCTCCTCCTTCTGTTGCTGCTTCCTTTTTCACTCCCTCTTCCTCTGTTTTTAAATCTGACACACACACAACTTGATCCCTCGATTCTTCCTTCCGGCATCTCTTTCTATGTTCGTAACACTTCAATTCTGGTCTTAGATGTTTGGACCTCAAGGGCAGGGGCTGGGAATTGCCTGTCCTTCATAGCTCAGTATGGCCTGCAAACTTCACCCCCATGTTGGGGTCTCAGTGGTCCTGCCCCTCCCTTCTTAAAACACAATCCCACCCAGAGCTGCAAATAAAGTACAGGACATTAAGATAAATTCGAATTTCACGTAAACAACACTTTTTTTTTAGTATTAAGTATGTTTTTATTTGCTAAATCTGGCATCCCTAAGTACCCGCTTCCAATTTTTTTTAATATAATTTTTTTTCCTCTGTATGGAGTCATGCAAGGAAGTGGCATAACAAGTTTGGCAGAAGAATGAAGAAGGTGGCGTTGTGTATTGTTTCTAAGAGAGAAACCAGCACCTTTGTCCAGGACAGAGAAAGGTGGGGCAGATTTCACAATGGACCAGAGGTCTCACCAAAAGACCAGAATGGCTTCAAAGGCCAAAGGGTGAAATTCTTACCTTAGGCACTTTTATGGGATCATTCTGTTACAGATGAGGAGAGACCCGAGTCAGGAGGCCCCCCACCGCCCGCCAGGGTTCTTGTCTCGCTCGCAAGAGAGTGTTTCCAATGAGAGACAAACACACATAGTGGAAAGGAGGTAGCACATTTATTTGTGATACACATACGAGCACAAAGCTGCAAGCAGGCACCCAGCCAGTCTAAATGCCCCATGTCCAGAGAAAATAAAGTTGTTAGTAAGTTTCTTAGTAAGTTTGTTCTCTACACTTGAGTTGGGGTTCAGGGGTTAGATACCTTAGTCAGATTCTAGGTCCCTCCTCTCTCTCCCCCTTCTAAATCTTGGGAATAATGTACAACTCAAAGGCTTTCTTTCTCAGTAAAGGCCCTTAGTGAGATTGTTACAGAAGCCCCTTTTCTCAGGGCGGCCTCAAGGACCCCCCTCCTCCAGTGCTATTTTTGCTCGTGAAGCTGGGGACACCTGGCAAACCTATCAAACTGAGCTCAGGACGCTGAGTTTACGGGTGAGACTCGCTTCCCTTTTGCTTCTAGCCTCCTGCACTCAGTTCCTTGTTAGGTGGTAACGCAAGGACCCTGCCTTTATTCCCCCTCTGGTTGCTGATTCCTAGCTGGTATATTAACAATTCTACTTTTATAAAGTTTACTTTTCAAGTAAGATTTTCAACATTCTATTAAAGGGAGAACTAATTTTGTGAGAGGACATCGATCTCTGGTTGGTTTTCAATTTGCTAGTGTTTGAGCCTTGTCCCATGGCCTATGTGTAAAAGAAAACCTGCTCTACTCACAAGAAATTGTGGGTTTTCTACAGCAAACAATTTTCAATTCTCTGTAGACACCTGCCAGGTCGAAAAATCAGTGTCGCTTTTCCTCTTCAACCATTTTATTCCTTCCCCTTTCTTTCTTTTTCTTTCCCATTGCCTGTCCTGACCCGGATGCTCACAATGCCCGTGGAATCAGAGACTGATAACAGACTTTTTCTGCAGATTATTGAAATCTGATTTACCAGTCATTTTCCAGGGATTCATTTAACATCAGTGTGCTTTGGAAACCGAGGGTGGCAGTTGATTCCTCAACCGGGGGTGGGATCATGTTTTGGGCGAAGGTCAGTGACCAGCCGTTTGATTCAGGAACGCAAGCAGGCGCTCAGCAAATGCATCCCGATGGCTGATGGGACTAACATCCCTGGCATCTTCTCTATTGTAGGTGCCCCTGATGGTTCCAACTTTTTAACAGTAAGTACCATGACAGATGTTTGAAACCAGAGCTTCGGAGACGCGATGCTTGAGTTGAAACACTGGGCTCGGGGAGGCGCAGTCCCGGCAGATGAGCTGGCAGAGGCTCTGGGCCCCGCGCTGGGAGCCCGGGGGCGTGGCCCTGACGTCATAGGCGTCTGCTGGCGCTGCGTCCTGCGTTGTCCGCCCCGCTCCCTTGCTTGGGGCTCAGCTCCGACTGCACGAAACGGGTCTGTGCAGTGCCAGGGATGGGCCGGAACCGCGGAGGGCCGGAGGGGACCTTAGATAGGCCAGAGAAGGGGCCCGCACTTTGAAAACATGGAGATAGGAAGGGGTCGTCCATATCTGTTCATTCTAATGGGCCTCTGACTGGCTAGCTTCGGCTTTGAGTCATTTTAGAGGAGAAACCGGAAAGAAGCAGGAACCGGAAGGAAGCAGGCACCCGGAAGGAAGCTCCGGGGCCCGCCACGGCGGGGTCTGATTGGTTGAAGTCACGCCGCGCACGCCGTGGGCGCTTCGGTTTTCCTTCCTGCTGGGCCACATTTCTAGGCCCCGCGCTTTTTGGAAATGGGTCCGTGAGGACCGGGTGTCCAAGTGTCAACTCGCGGCTACTGCGCCTGCGCCGCCCCTGGGCCGGGCTGAGGGGGCGGGCGGTCCCGGGGCCGCGAGGGGGGCCTGTTCCTCCGGAAAGGCACGGACACACTAGGGGAAAGGCCGTCGGGGTCCAGTTTCCGTGAGTGGGCCAGCGGTCAGCAGGGCATGATTTGCCCCTGTGGAAGGAGGGATGACGTGGGGACACGGGCGGCGCTCCCGCGGACGCCCGGTGGGGTGTGAACTGAGCCGCAGCAAGGTCGTCGGCGCCTGTCTGGCGGGCGCTCCCTACTCCCCCCGCCTGGGCACTGTCATGCGCGGCTGTGCGTGTGGGGAGCTGCGTCGTGGGCAGCGCGACCTGCGATGCCAGCTGACAGAAGCAAGTGCAAGTCTGGGCGTCGTGGGGGTCAAGCATGAGGCGGGAGCCGCGTACCGGAAAACCAGGTCCCGCACACATGGCGGCACGTGGTCCTGGGGCGGCGACGCACACGGAAGGCGACGAGGGAGTGACGGCGCGGCCTCTCGCGAGAACAAACGCAGCTGCGCGCAGGCAAAGGCCTGGGACAAAGTGCTTCTGCTTCTCAACAGAATGAGCATCTTCTTTCCCTAAGTCTCATCCTGCCCCCCACCCCAGGAAAAGAAATCTGGTCCGTGTTGGCAAAATGTTCTTTTAGCTGTGATTTTTTATTTACCTTTCTCCAGACTAAAATTCTAGTGGCGGTGCCGACGAAAACAGCCCCTTGGGGGCGGCGGAGGGGGTGTTAGGGATTTTTGTGCGGAGGACATTGTGCCTCGCTTACGACTGGGTTCAGCTGCTGTAACAGAAAAAAGATTACAGCAGGTGGTTCAGTTTTGTTCGTGTTTGAGCTCCCATCACTTATTTCTAAGATCTTGCTCACAATCTTAGGAATCGGGGCAGCTTGTTGCAAAAGCAGACCTTTCCCTGTCTTTCCCAGTCCATACTGCCGCAACATTCAAAGAACCCAACCTCACAGAATCATTTTTAGGTCTCACCTGTTCAAAACACAACGTATCCGGCAGACTCTGTTGCATGAGGCTCTAGTTTCTTACACCTTTGCAGCCCCCCACCCCCGATCAGTTTAATTGATCAGAACTAAAGAGACAAACTCTCGGTATTTTTCTCTCTATCAGATAGATCTCAATAAGACGGAGGAGGTGATATCGAAGTTGGAAAGCCTTCACCAGCAGCCCCAGATCTGGGATTTTCTGCTTTCACTGCCCAGGCTGCTCGCAAACACTGTCCACGCTGAGGCCGGCCTCCGCGGCGGAGCGCCCCTTCTCCAGGCAGTTGTGAAGTAAGAGAGGGAGGAGTAACTAATGATAGGTGTGGGGGTTTTCCTCCTCGCTTTGTCGTGGGAACCATTTATCTCCGAGTAATCATTTGATATAAAAAAAGTCCAGAGCCATGTCATCCCGAAAGGGCTAGAATCCTTGTGTCTCCACCTATCCTTCATCTACTTGTAGAAACAGGTTATGGAAGTGCAGCGATGTTGTTCACATCACATCATTAACATTTCTTGTGTCCCTGTAGTCTTCCCAGGGTCGTTTTTATGACCGGATAATACTGCATGTTGGTACCCTACCGTCTACGATAACTTTCTTGATAATTTGTAATTGGACTTGGGTTATTTCTCAGTTTTTCACTATTGGATACGTGACATGAATATACTCATTTGAGCTAATTTCTTGGTGAGTGATGGCTGCAGTCCCAACATGTCGCCAGAGCCGATCAGCTCAGGTCTCTCCGTGCTGCTGTGATTTGGTGCATGGGACGCAGGTGCCGTGATGGATCTGTCCCCTGGCTATCCAAGAGCCACCTGTGCCAGGGCCCCTTCCCACGGTGCCTTCCCGTTTGAACAACATGGTCTTTGCGCCCCCCAATTGAGTCATTTTGTGGGAACTGGTTATATGCATATGGTATTTCATTTGTGAAAGTTCATATTCTTTTCTGATTTTTAACTGTGACTTATTTTATCTGTCACCAGTGAGAACAATCACAGGCCAGAGCTAGAAGGGCCCCTGCCCCAAAAGAGACCCTGGTGCTCTCTGTCCTGATGACTGGAGCCCACTTCCAGAGTTGGGTGGGCCCCTTCCCTGCTTCCCGCCTCCAAGGCATCTCTCACAGCTGCAGCATGCACCCGAGGCCCCCGGTGGCTCTGCTGTGCACAGGAGCGTGGGGCGCAAGGTGTGGATGGTGCTTGGATAGTCCACACGTTTCGATACGTCATAGTTTTATCATCACTTTCTAATATTTCTAAGTAAAAATTTCCCAATATTTATAGTGATTTCTTTTTTGAGTCGTAGTTATTTAGAAGTATATTGCTTAACTTCTATGAGAATTTGGGGGACTTTCAAGTTACTTTTTAAAAATTGATTTCTAATTATATTTTAGTGAGATAACGTACTCCGAATGTTTTGGTCTATTCAATGTTTTGAGATGTAATTTTATAGTTAATGTGGTAAATTTTGGTAAATATGTATGTTCTTCAACAGAATGTGAATTCTGTCGTTGCGTGCAGTAGTTTATATATTGAATTGGCCAAAATGTTTGTTTGGTTTTTTCCCGTAAGATGGCTTTAGAAGGGCTTAGTTGTCTTTAACTTCATTCAAAACAATTTTGTTAGATTGTATTGTGACAGTTGTCATTATCAGCATGCATTAAAAAATTGGTGAATTTTTGTGTAGCCACTTTAATATTGAAGATGGAAGAAAACGAGCAACGTTTTTGGCACATTATGTTTTCTTAGTTCAAGAAAGGTAAAAATGCAACCAAAATGCTTTAAAAAAGATTTGTGCTGTGACTGATCGAACATATCAAAAGTGGTTTGTGAAGTTTTGTGCTGGAGATTTCTCGTGGGATGGTGCTCTATGACTGGTTAGACCAGTTGAAGTTGAAAGCAATCAAATTGAGACATTAATTGAAAACAGTCAATGTCTTGCCACGCAGGAGGCAGCCGATGTCCTTAAAATATCCAAATCCAGTGCTGAAAATTTGTACCAGCTTGGTTATGTTAATCGTGCTCATGTTTGGGTTCCACGTAAATCAAGTGAAAAAAACCTTCTTGACCATGTTTCCTCATGTGATTCTCTACTTAAATGTGATGAAAACGTTGTTTTTAAAACAAATTGTGACAAATGATGAATAGTCGATACTTTACAGTAATGTGGCACGGGAAAGGTCATGGGGCAAGCAAAATGAACCACCACCAGCCACTCCAAAGGCTGGTCTTCATCCGAAGAAAGTGATGTTGTGCATTTGGTGGGATTAAAAGGGAATCCTCTATCAGGAGCACCTTACGGAAAAACCAAACAATTAATTCCAACAAGGACTGCTCCCAGTGAGACCAACTGAAAGAAGTAGTGGACAAAGAGCGTCTGGAATTAGTCAACAGAAAACACAGAACCTTCCATCGGGATAACACAGAACCACACGTTCCTTTGATGACCAAGCAGAAACTGTCACAGCTTGGCTGGGAAGCTCTGATTCATCCGCCACGTTCACCAGACACTGCACTTTCAGATTTCCATTTATTTCGGTCTTTTCAAAATTCTCTTAATAGAAAAAATTTCAATTCCCTGGAAGACTTCAGAAGGCACCTAGAATAGTTCTTTGCTCAAAAAGATAGAAAGTTTTGGGAAGATGGAATTATGAAGTTCCCTGAAAGATGGTAGAAGGTAGTGGAACGAAACGGCGAACACTTTGTTCAATAAAGTTACTGGTGAAAATGAAAAATACATCTTATTTTCACTTAAAAACTAAACAGACTTTTTGGCCAACACAGTATGTTAATTAGATCGAGTATGCTCACTGTGTGGCTCAGGTTGTCCGTCTGTAGTCGACCTGTTCTTGTCTTTCTGTCACTGCTCTGTGACCTTTGGAACCTCATCTTGGCCGGAAGGGGAAGTCAAATCAGAAGGATTTCTAATCCTCTTTGTTTTAGTTTTTGACGGTATCAACGGAACCACCATGGTGTTTACTGATCTGACTGTTCTACCCAAGGTGAAGCCAGTGTACAAGGCGTTTTTGTATTCGTGGGGTGTGTAGGGATGCGGTAGGACAGAGCTTCGCATTAGGGCAGCGCTCGCAAACTTGGGGATGCGTCAGATCGTCTGTACAGTTTGCAACAAATATGCATCCAGACCTTGCCCCAGGTGCACCACGCTGCGCCTGCATGGAGGGCCCGGCTTCCTGGAGACTGAAGAGCTGTCTAGGATGTGCTGGTGCTCACATGCCTTTCAGAAGTTCCTGCAGCGTCCCTCTAGGCCTGGGACACGCCACTCCCGGGAAGCTGCGAAGGCTCAGAAGGAAGGACGGATGGGCTGTCTGGGGAAGAAGTGCCTTGTTCGTGGTGGACGTATAAGACCTCCCCTTCCTGAAAGTCTCCAATATTTGACAGCCCAGGAGGACAGCCACGAATGAGTCTGTGCAGGCTCTGAGGGCAGGCTTCTCCCTTGCTCCCATGGCAGCCGGCGCGGGACCTTTTGTGATGGATCGAGGCGGATGGGTGGGTGGCTGGGAGGCTCACTTAACCTGGAGTGAGACAGCGAGTGGGATGAGAAAACCTGAGCCCCGTCCCATTCCTGCGGCACAGCAGCCGCGGGACTCTGCCAGTTAGAAACGTGTTTTGAAATGTTTCTTTCTCCAGTAAACGGGAGAAGGATGTGTGCCCAGGAGGCTGTGGAAGGGATGACCCGAGACGGCAGTTCCTTGTAGCGCTGTGTAAATTGTGAAGCGACACGAGACACTGTGTGCGCTCACTCCTCTTGGTGGTGCTGGCTCTACTCCAAGGGCTCCTCATGAACCGTCGCCGCTCTGTGACTGCCCCGGCCCCAGGGCTGTGTCAGCGTGGGTGCCGGGCACAGGACGTGTGGGATCGCTGCTGTGCAGGGTGCGCGGGGCCAGGTGTGGGTGCCAGCGGGATGGCTCTCTCTTCTCTCATGGAAATGGTTTCAGTGGCTGTGGTTCAGAGCAGCCCCGTCTGCCTGCAAACAACAGACTGAATGGAGCTTCTGTTTTTTCTGTTCTGGGACCTCAGCTATTAGGGACATAGTGCTTGCATTTGATCTGCCCTGAATCCCTCCTGAGCCTGTGTTACACAACAGGATTAAAGAGATTTAGAAAGGAATCCACCTTTTAAGGCATTAATAGCCAGTACAGGTCAAATCTCCTATCTATATTTCTGGAATCTCAGAACGTCTGATGTTTGGGTCAGACTCACTCCACAGCGGCTTGAGTGTTACCGAGTCTGTGGACCACACACTGAGCCCGCCCTCAGGTTTCGCCATGCGACGACGTGTTGATGAGTTGAGAAGGGGCTGCCCCACTACCCATGGGTGAGGGGACACTAATGTGTCTCTGAGAGAGGCACTACTCTGTCTTTCTCAAGTCTGCAAAACAAAGGGCCCAGGGATGTCCAAGTGGACTCGTGGGTCCCGAGTCTTCGCTGTGTGGGGACTTTCGTTAACAAGTGTGGGCTTGTTCTAGCCCGGAGGTACTACTGTGAGGACGCTTATATTTCAAAGGCATGCATTTTAAAAACAGAGGGAAAGTATACCAACTACCGTAATGAGTTTCTGATGGTGGGAAGCACAGCATGGTGTAAAGAGAACAGGAATTACCTTCTAGAAGAGGGGATGCCAACACGTCCCTAAATCACAGGGGCAGTTTCTGACACACTCTGCTGTTTGGACAACCTCTGTAGCCAAGATATTTTGAGATTTAATAAGGAATCGAATCCTAAGATTCTTCTGGAAGAAATAGCAAATTTATCTTTAACAATCATGCATATGAACTCATGGAATAAAATAACTTAAAATGCATTGATTTTGGTGGAGCAAGCAAGTTTTAAGCTAAATATGGGAGCTTTAAAGCACTTTCAAATGCTCACATTAATTCCTGTTGGGAAAACATTGTCTAGTAAATATTTCATTTATCTTTTAATATAAATAAATCTGAGTATTATCTTGAAAATTTAGTAAGTTGAATTAGTCTTTAACTTATTTTTTTCTGATACTAATACAGTTCTGTTAACATTGTAGGGTCTTAAATTCCACCAAGGAACTTCTAATGGAAAAGAAGTTGCATATCCTTGAAGATGAGCAAATGAACTTTCTCTTGTCGTTTTTGGAATTTTTGGAGAAATTGTTATTACCTAATCCTTTCGACTCACCCAGTGGTCCCACTGAGACTGTTCTAAACACAAGTCATTTGTGGATAAATCACTTAAAGAGTTTAGAAAGAGAGCCCTCTGGTTTTGACACTCAGAAACTTTTGGAATCTGGCAAAGAGATTATTGGAAAAATACAAACTCCTGAAGAGAAGAAATCAAGCTATATTTTGAGACTTATAGAAACAATACTTTTTGAAATCAATCCAAAACTACTGGAATTGTGGATGTATGGCATTCCAAAAGGGTACAGAGCTAAATTGGAACCCTTGTCTGTACTTTTAAATTTTTCTGGTCCAGGAAATGAGAGCATTCTTAGCAAAAGCTTTAACTTTTCCCAGTTTTTTCATTTGGATTGGCCTAAATCAACAGCTGCGAAAATGGATTTTATTCATCTAAGTGAAACTATACTAAACAGTCTCTATGAGTTTGGATTTCTGGGGCTGGAACAAGTCTCAGAAGCTCTGGGCACAGCGCATGCTGTCAGGAACGTGTCCCATCTTTTCTCAGCCCTTTCTGAACCTCAGAAACAAGAAGTGAGTGAGATTTTGACTTATTTATATCAAAATATCTTTAAGGATGAAGATTCAGCTTTTCTTCTTCAGATTTATTCTTCATTTTACCAATATATTTATAAATTCTTGGGCATTGAGAGTAGAGAGTCTTTGCTGTCTTCCCTTACACAAACCTCAAAACACATTTTAGATATCATGGAACAATTTAATTTTCAAAACATCAGTAGAGCGTTTGCATTTCTATATGAGACAACAGAGTTTCTTGGGAGGATTTCTGAATTATCTTACTGTCAACAATTGCTTTCCGTTTTCAACTTCCTGGAGCTTCAAGCCCACTCTCTGATGTCCACAGAGGGCCCGGCGTGGGGAGCGACCCATGCGGCCTTGACAGGCCTCAAGCAGCTGCTCGTGGAGGACGAAGATTTTCGTGTTTCTTTACTTCAGTATGTGAACCAGCTCTTCCAGGGTTCAGCAGGAGCCCCGCTGGGTAGCGAATGCTTTGCTTGGGATAACCAAAGCACTCCTCCTGTGGACCACTCAGCAGATGGGGGGTCTCCCTTGGCTCTGCTGTGGGCACAGTTTCTTTCAAACCTCTCAGCACAGGGCAGCGTGTTCAGCGAGTTGAGGGCTCTGCGCTGCCTCGTCTCATGGCTGCAGGCGTGGGCTGAGGTCTGGGCAAGCATGGCTCAGGTGTTGGAGTGGGACGTTAGCATCTTCGCCCCCCTCCACGTTGGCCTCTCTCAGCTTTTGGATGAACTGGAAAGTGACCTGAAAATTTCCGAAAGTTGCCAGGGACTATTTCCCAACCATCGCCCTGCGAGACTCATGTTACATGTACTTAAAAACCTAACTCAAGGTGGTGGCTTCCGTGACTGGGACGGGTTTCTGACTCTCAGGCATCTCTGGGCAGCACTCCGTGGTGCGTTAGTCAGAGTGAAGTTGCTTCCCCAGGACCAAGTCGAGCGATCCCTCTTCACCGTGGAAACCTCCCTGCGTCAGCTGGAGGCGTTCCCGCTAAACACAAGTGCTGGCAGGGAGTTTTTATATTCCCTGCTTGGTGTCTTCATGGAGTTAAGCAACACCTCAGAATCTAGAGCTAGACATGTACATTCGATAAATCACTTTCTTTCAAATAACCTCACGGATTATGAAGTACAGTCTGAAAATATCATCACTGACCTAAGAGAAACAATATTATTTCTTAGAAATGTGTCACATGACCAAGATTTATTGTCCTGTGCCGATATTTTCCAAAATATTACTGAGTTTATTTTTGAACATGGGTTATATGTAAATACTTCACAGAGGATGTTACATATCTTGGCCATGTTAAATTCCTCGTTTTTCTCTGAGGACACTGTTAGCAGACTGAAAGGATGCATCGACCTGGTGGGCATCATAGACCATCTCTATGGGGCATCTAACCCCCGTTTTTCACAAGGACATCTTCAGGGCATTTTGAGGAGTTTCAGAGACATGGAGGACAAAATTAGCTCTACATTGATGCTCATTACTTGGCTGATGAATACAGTGGAATCTGGTTGTTCACTGAATATGTCAAATATAAATTGTGTGAATATTTACTTAAAAAATGTAACTGACTTTCTAAATGTTATTCTTACTGCAGTCTTTGAAAAAGAAAAGGTACAAAAATTTGAGATATTATTAACTCTTTTAAATGATTCCACAAACCAATTAAGGATGATTATCAACAACTTAACAAGAGACTTTGAGTTTGCATCTCCACCCAACTGGAAACGTTTTACTGAGTTAATCCTACAACCCATAGAAATGTCCGATGAAATTCCTAGCAAATTTCAAAATATTTGGCTGCATTTAATAGCTCTGGGGAAAGAAATTCAAGAACTTGTGAAAGATATTTTCCCTAACATTCTGGAAAATAACTTCTCTTCTAAAGCTGAAATGTTTTTAAATATGTTTACTACCAGCCCAAAGGAAAAGGATATAAATCGTCTACGTGATTCCTTTTTTCATTTAGCTAGTTACCTTGCCTTCAACTTATCCCAGGATCTCCAAAATTCACCTAAAATAATTCCACATGAAATATTGAATGCTGTGGGTCTTGGTATTCAATTGATTAGGGATGTGTTCAACTCCCTGGTACCCTCTGTCCCTCACAATATCCCAGAAGATCCAGGTAATCATCAAGTTTTAAAGAAGGTAATTTCTCTTCTGCTTGCCCTGAAGAAAACAGACATAGACCTCCTGGTAGATGAACTCGAACAAATTGGCGAAAGCCTAATGGATTTCTTAAAGAACATCAGTAGGCCAGTTACTGACAATGTGGGGGTCAGTTTGTTTGTTGGCTTGATGGAAAAATTGGCGGACAGCTCCCATGCTTGGAATGTCAATCACCTGCTGAGGCTGTCCCGCCTGTTTCCTCGAGAGGATGTGAATGTTGTGGTGGGTCTGTACTATGCCCTTCCTCACGCCGCAAGGCTCCTGCAGAGGGTTGTGGACCACAACATCACAGAGGCCCTCCAGGATGTCTATGACTTCACCGTCCTTCATGGCACAAGCATTTCTGATATCACCAAGGAAGACTTTACTGCTGTGATAAAAACTGTTTTGGACACCATCGCATTAGTATCAGATAAACCAAGCATTCTTGCGGAGGCTTTAACTTGCCTTCCTGTGGTTTGGTGCTGGAATCACACAACTTCTGGATTTCAACAGAATACAAAGTTAGAAGCCTGTAATGGCCACTTCTATAGCAAAGTGGCCAGTATTCTTGACCGCCTCCACCTGTCTCCCCCAGGTGAAGTGTCACAGTGTTCAAATGAAAGTTCACAGGTAGAAGTAACTGGGAAAATGGTCTGCGTAATTCATGGACTAGTCGACTGGACCTCCATTCTCCTGGAGCTGTCTGAAGTCTTCCATATTAAAATTTCCATGTTAAAACATGTGAGAACTGTGCAGGGATTTTGGCAGAAGGTGCTACCATTTGTCCCACCTTCTGGAAATCAGAGCAATGGCAACATCTCCGGACTTTGTCCCAGTGGTCCCATAAAGCAAGTTGCTTTACAAATCATAGAAACATTTAAAAATCTCAATTTTACAGAAGTTACATCAGATGAAAACATTCTTGATAAACTAGCTACCTTAAACAAGGTCCTTAACAATAAAAGTACAGAGGTATCTCTTAGAAGCATTTCCTTAAATTTGGAAAGGATGATAAAATTGCTTTCTGGCAATCAGAGCCTAGGAAATAATATTCACTCTGTAGTCTCTCTATTAATGACGTTTCTGAATGCAAACCTTATAGGTGGGAATTTTGAAGCACTATCAAGTTTTCTTAAAAAAAGTGAAGCAGCTTATAGCTTTGAAGATCTGTGGCTTGAATCTGAACAAATCATGAAAGATCTAAATCATGAATTAAGTAGTAGACCCCTGGTCTCTGAAACCAATACAGAAATTCAAATGATTAATTCAGTAGCTCTTCTAAATATAACTTTACAACTTGCCCATTTTTTGAAAAACCTGAATTCATCATCATCACAGGCATCAGAAACTACTGAGGGTTTTCCATCAGTCATAAAACGCTGGCTTTGTAAGTATGCAAATGAAGAATACCCCAGAATGATACAAACATTATTTCTTCTTACGGCTAATAAGAGTTCACCTGATGATATATCTTTGTTGACTAAAGATGTTACTACCTTTTTGGGTTATCTCAAGAACATTTCTAGAGAAGGTAATTTTGATGTTGACCTTCTTACTCAACTTACTCAGCAAGAACAGCCATCTAATTTCTCAGCTGTTCAGTTGCTTTTAGAAAGCTTCTTAATTAATTCAGTCAGTAACTTAGCTGTGAGTCCTTCAGAAGCGACCTGGAGTTTAAGTGACAGTGACCTTCACATCGTGGATCTCATGAACCATACCTTGACTCTGGCAAAGTCAGGAAAGGGTGAGAGAATGCTTCTCCCTCCAGGAAGCATAGTGGAGTCCATGGAACGGCTTCTAGAAACATTCTTCTTTTTGGAAAAGGAAAGCCTTGAGAACAAAGTATCTCTCCTGCTGAAAGGCTCCCACAGGGACACCGCTGCGGAGGTGAGGTGAGTCTCCTATGCGGCGTGGAGCTGTCGCTCAGCCCTGGCCCCGTGGTTTCCCAGGTGCACGCACACCAGCAGCGGCACTGGACCTGCTGCCTTGGAGCGCCCTTGGGCTGACTTTTGTCCTAGTGACCATATGATTAAAACATCGAGGTAAAGTAACATTGGTGATTGTTGTTTAGTAAATATATGGAAACCTAGCCCCTGGCAAAGGTAATCATTTATACTCTCCAATATTTTTGGGTTATGAAAAAATTATGAAATTATATTTTATATAAAATGAAAATTAGCTTTTAAATATTTATGCATATAGAATATGGTCATAATTCAAATTAATGTGTTAACTGTCTAATCATAACCAAGGGCTTTAAATATTTCCAATTTATCTACTGTGATGTTTATTTATAGTTTGAATTAATGAAATTCCAAAAATTTGTGGCTGAGAGTCACATTAGGTTTTCCCCCCTGTATCTTTTTTCATCCCTTTGAAGCTTGCTAGTGCAAAGGTAGAGGGAAATTCCAGATGGTCGTACGGTGTCCGTTCCAGGCAGGGCTCAGCCACAGAAGTAGACCCGGAATAGGGATTGGTGTCCACAGTTTGGGGGGCGGGCTGGGCAAGTCCCCAGTCAGGAGGACAGCTGTCAGGAAGGGGCACTTACAGGCAGGCCGGAGTGCGTGGGCATGAGCTGAAGGCGGTTGTCCCGGCGGCGGCCGGGAAAGACGTGGGGGCGGGTGGTCTAGCTGTTCAGGCGTTGCGTCTGGGGCCACCCCCTGCCTGTCAGAAGGTCCTCCTGCTGAGGAAGTGTGGCCGCCCAGGATGCTATTCCTTCTTGCTGCTTCAAGTTAACTGATGAGGGACCTCAATCACACCTGCCAGTCCCATGCCAGCAACACCTAGGTTAGTGTGTAGGCTGTGGAATGGCCACTGACTTCCTTCCATCCTCCACTCTCACAAGGGGGTTGACCGCGTAGCCTGCTCAGACCGGACACGTGAGAAGGCAGCTCTGGGGCCACCCTCAGCCAAGCCAGACTGTCACGTGACAAGGGCCATCAGGGGTGGTGGTGACTTTGAACACTGAGAATCACTGCAGAGTCGTTCCATATTCCTCCCCTTCCCAAAGGCAAATGTTACGTGGCCCCTTAAATAGTTAGAGATTATCCATGGGATTCGTCTACTCTTTCCATTACTTGGCAACAAAATACTGATTTTCATCTGTGATGTATTTGAGCATTAACAGTTACTCCCCCGCCATGATGCTAGTAGAAAACAAAACAAAAATCACTGTATGTTTTAATCTTTCCATTGTTAAACATGAAATTAAAAAATATGTATTTACAGCTTTGTCCCAAAGGACAAAATTTTAGGAATTCTGAAAGTGGACCAATTTCTCACCTCCATGAAAGAAGACAGATTGATAGACATTTTTTCAAGTTTAAAAGAGACTCTCTATCACCTAATCAAAAGCTTGTCCATGTTAGACCATGGAGACTTTTACTTTGATCATCACCGAGGACTGAAGCTCCTGAGAGATTTATCGAATGCTCTTCTAAATGAGACATCACCGAAGAACAAGACTGAGAATAACATGGAGCTCCTTCCCGCGCTAAGCTGGCTGCTTTTCTATGCAAACAGTTCAGGAAGCCCCTCCCAACTCCGGCACCCGCTGCAGGCGGCACCTCACCTCCTGAGAGCAGCTTTCGTGGAGATGGCAAATCTCTTGGGCACCCTTTTAACCTCTCCTGAAAAGAAGGACTTCCATTCCTCGTATGCTATACTCCAAGATGCTGTACTCGCCAACCTAACCAGTTTGCTCTCCGTTGTAACTAATTCACTACCTCTAAGAGACAGGGCAACGTTCGAGCTTGCTAAGAGACTCCTCCGTGCCGCCGCAAGGGCTGGTGAGGCAAGTCGTGTCCTGGAACCGCTTCTGGAAATGTCCCGGACCCTGGTCATGCTGGCGGGGGCCAGTGCTGACAAGAGCAATCCTGACAGGTTGCTGAACTCCACGGTGACGCTCCTCAAGCTGGCCAAGAAAGTGCTGGGGAAGGTGGCTGCTGTTTCTGGAACCCGCTCTGTCCCGGGCACCCGTGAGTCTGCGCGGTTCTTCGGTGCACTTCTCTCCATTTTGCAACAGGGAGTTCAGAGTGTTGTGAAGGAAATAACTGCTCTGAAAAAAGTGGATCATTTAGTAGTTGAAAATATAAATGACTTATTGACACCATTTCTTGATTTGGTGTTTGGGATGATTGGGGTCAAACCTAATATTTCACAAGACTCTGATATTTTCAATTCGTCATCTGACATATTCTCATATGTGAACCAGTCCAAGGATTTTTCTGATATTTTGGAAGAAATTGCTGAATTTTTAACTTCTGGGAAAATCAATTTGGGAGACATGGAACATCTTCTGGTAGCAATCAGTAACAGGACTGAGATCTTTTCTGTGGATTCTGTCAATATATGGGAGGCAATCCTGGATTCCTTAATTCCTATGAATAACATCACCAACCAGACAGACTTACTGCATCCTGATCCAGTCCCCACACACAGCCTCCGTCCGCATGCCCAGGAAGCGACACTATTTTTGGATGAAATGCTGTCACAAGGCAGCGCAGATGTAGGGACTGACCTGAGAGCGGTGACCGATCTGACCTCCACGCTGTGGAAGGCCCTAGGGAAGGGCAGCTGGGACGTTTCTAACCTGTTGCTGGCATTTGCTCAGCACGCAGACGGCCTTTGGAAAGCCCTCGATACGGTTGCCAAGGCTTCTCGTGGGGTGGAAGGCCACCTCGGCGGCGACCCGAGTGAGACGCTGGTGTCCGACTCCCCTGCGGTTCAGGAGGCGACTCCTTGGCAGCGGGGGGACGCCACCCGGAGCGCGTCAGGGGGGGCGGCGCTCTTGAGGAGACAGCTTCTCTTACCCCACCCTCAGCGGGTACATTCCAGCCAAGCGTGGCTTCGGCCTGTCTTTGAGAGCGTTGCTGACACAGCCGCTGGCAGGAGCGTCACATCAGAGAACGAAGAGCAGGCCAGGGCGGAGGCGGCGCCCTCTTCTCCCACCCGCGAGCCGCCGTCCCTTTTCGACAGCTACCTGAAGGGACTGATTGCAGCGACCGAACACTGGCAGGAAGCCCTGACAGGTGGAAGGTATTTAACACCTAACTCATTTTTTTCCCTACTGTGGTAAAACCCCGCAGCCGTGACCCTGAGAGGGCCAGTGGCCCCGCCTCTGGAGGTGGCCTCTCCAGAGCTGGTTGGACCCGGGTGCTTTTCTCCCCGCCCGCCTCATCGTTTGGCGCTCAAGTACAATGTGAACTTACTCAAAATTTTTCAAAAGTAAATTATTTTATTTTCACAAGTGACAACCTCTTATTCTTCTCCCTTGTCCCAAGATTAGTCCATAAATGCTTTTGTATTTGCGTGCTCTGGTGGCCACGCATCCCCCTGACAGGCGGGGGCCGAGGAGGCCACGTGCTTCCCCCAGAAGATGGATGCTTCCCTTGTAACTGCCGACCCGCCAGGAAGCGCCAAGCGGCCATTGGCTTTCTCCCTCCTTAGAGGCCACCTGGCGCTGTACGGCTGACCCACCTGCGAGCCCCGCCCATCCTGAGCGGGAGGTCGAACCCTGCCCTGACCTGCTGGGCCGTGGGCTTTTGAAGGTCCCCTGCTGCCCGCGGCGGCGGGGCTTGTCCTCCCACGTCTCAAGGTGCTGCAGCTGTCCTAGGCCACCGTTCTGTAGGGACAGTGCCGCTTGGGGGCTTGCAGTTCCCGCCTGCACTGCCTCTCTCTGGTCCCACTGGACAGTGGAGGTGCCACCTGAGCCTCACTCACGTGCTGTTTTCGGTGAGGAAGTTACCCTTGTGGCCGGAGGGCTGCCCGCGGGGTCCCTGGACCGAGGATCCCTGGGGGCAGCGGTCAGCTGTGAGGTACACACTCGGGCAGAATGGTCCTGCCTCAGGACCCACAGTTGACAGTGGTACAGGGGGGACAGGCTTGGTTGCCAGGACACGAAACAGTGTGCTGTTTGTGTTTTTTGTCCCGGAGACCCTCTGGGCCCCCGTCAGCTGCCACTGGCGGGGCTCCCCCAGCGGCCCTGCATTGTGCCGCGCGTCGCCCTGCAGCGTTTAGGCAGCATCTCCGTCCAGCTCCCTTTCTCGGTGACGGCTGCTTTGAAGGGGCGGGGAGGCACCCGTGGCCCGCAGGCGCCCGCCCCGTAACCGTGCCCTGCTCTCCCCTCAGGGCCGCTGGCATGTGTGAGGACTCCTGGCCGCCTGCGGAGCGCCCGGCGGCCTCGGCGACGCTGCGCAGAGCGAGGATGCTGGTCCTGCGTGCACTGCTCACGTTTGCAGGTGGGAAGGGCTGTGCTCTGCGCTCTCCCGAGTGTCCGCGAGTGCCACTGCGCTGCCCCTCCAGCCCGGGGAGCATCCTTCCCGCTGAGCTGGGCTTTTGGTCTCTGCGGGGACGGCTTCCCGTCTCCCGGACGTCACCCCCGCTCTACTCTGGCCCTGGGCGGGGGCGCCTCTCCTGGGAGGACTGGCCCCGTCCTTTGCTGGCAGTGGCAGGGAGCAGAGTTCTGCCTGGTGCCGGGTCGGGGTGCTGATGGGTGCAGCGCCCTCCCCCACCGGTGTCACCGGCACGCTGGCACTGGGCTCGGACCTCACTGGGGGCCGGGTCTGCCCCTCGGCTCCGTTCTGTCTCCGTCTTCCCCGGCCCAGCGTCTGCCGCGAGTGGCTACGCGCTGGTGTTGTAAGTGAGTTCACGGGTCTGCCCAGGTCCCGCTTGCCAAGCCCGGCCCTGCCCAGCTTCTGAGGAGCTGCTTCCGAGTGAAAAGGTGGCGGGGGATGGGCGTGGGCCCAGCCCTGCTCACTCCCCTGTCCCTAACACCAGGCCTTCTCAAGCCCCAGAGTGGACCAGCCCTGGGGGCTGAGGAGCAGGAAACGTGAGTGACGGACGGAGGGGCAGCCAGATGCTGTCGCCGTGCGTGGAGCCCCACTCGTCACGTTTTGTTTTTAGAGAAAACCTGTTTCTGATGAGAGGTGGGAGCCCACTGGCAACACCGTGTGGTGAAGCGTCAGCCTCGAAATGTGCCCAGAGCAGGCGGGTGCCCCGTGAGGCGGCGTCTGGCGCGCCCTGCGCTCGCAACGCACTGCGCGCCCGGCCGCGCTCGGAGGCAGAATTGTTTTGACACTTCAGTCAGCTAATGTGATGGCGCTGAAAGGGATTCAACACTCGTTAACACCTGAAGTTATAGTTATTTTGCCATTCTGTACAGCAGCTGCTAAATTAACACAGCCTACTTAAGATTACATTAGTAACAGAAAATTAGTTCTGAGCTTTTCTGTTTCAAGAAAACTCGAGTATGTCATCCTCAAGCCTGACTGAGGAACAGCCTGTCACTCCACTTCCCTCATCGAACTGTCACTCCGTTCTGTGCACTAGGAGGGTGGTGGGGGCCCGGGGGAGGCTCAGGTGCCGCCCCATGGGGATTCGGTGGGTGGGGGTTGGGCCAGGATGGCTGAGCAGGTGGGCGCGGGTCGCGCAGCTCCGCGTGAGCTCAGCGCACTGGCCTTCTCGGTTCCCGGATGGGTGTGCTGCGGCCTGGGCAGGGCCTGAGGTGCCTGGGGCCTCGCTGCGGCCCAGGAGCCCGTGGTCTGGGGGGCCAGCAGGAGCAGGGGGGCGGTCCCAGGGCCTGGTGGGGCCGGACTGCCTGAGCCGGGGCCTGGCGTGTCCAAGGCCGAGCGGAGGGACAGCGGCAGGTGGGCCGAAGTGGGCCGGCAGCCGGGCCTGCGGAAGCGCCGCGAGGCGCGCAGAGGGCAGAGGCTGGGGGCTGCGCGGCTCTGCCCTGAGAGGGCAGCTTTGGCAGTGGCCGCAGGGCAGTGTTGGGTGCAGGCCTGGTCTCCCCAAAGCCTGGCACTTCCTCCCACAGCCATGACATGGCTGTGCGGTCACCGTCCAGGCCACCAGCCCTGGCCCGGAGCCACACGACAGGCTCGTCATCTTCAACGGCGGTGCCGCCTGCGCTCGTGGGCGTTGGCGACGCCAGTCCTGGCCGTGCCGTGCGTCTCCCCCCGGCAGAGGGCCTGCCCGGCCCCGGGCCATGAGCCGCGTCCCTCCTTGGAGCCGCGTTCTCAGTAGCGATTCTTGAGGGACATGCTTTATGTTTTTGTGCAACAAGGAGCTCAGTTTTCAAAATCAGGAAACAGCAAGCTGGACGAGAAACCTTTGGGGACATCTGTGCTCAGCACTGTATGGTGCTAAGTCCGTTTCATAAAATGTCTTTTTGAGAAACATTGTAATACTATAAGAAGGATGACAGAATTTTCTAACTGAAAAAAATGAAAGGTTTTATTACTCATAAAAATTCAGTTTGTTGTCCTGTAACGAACAATGTGAGAATACTTACCAGGCACCTAGCAGGTGCAGAGCCCCGTGCTGGGCGCTGGCAGTGATGCGGGGCCGGCAGTGGGCACAGCGCTGCCCTGCGGGGCCCAGCGTGCGTGTGCAGGAGGGTCCACGCAGCTGGGGACGCGGGTGCCTGGGGCCGGACCCGGAAAGGCAGGTCCAGGTTGCTGGGGAGGGCGGCCGCAGGGCGGGAGGGGCAGGGGGCTGTGGGGAGACGGGAGGACATGGGCACGGGCTGGGGAGGAGGCGGCTGCGGGGGGCCGTGGGTGGACCTGTCACAGCCTCTCCCTGTAGGAGAAGCCGGAGGGGGAGGCGGCGGAGGGGTGAGCTGGGGGGAGGCCCGGCCGGGGCTGGAGAGAGGGAACGGGGCTGTTGGGGGAGAGGTGCTGGGAGGGGAGCTGTCCGCCGACCTGAGACGCAGGCCGGTGGGCGCCCTCCCCTGCCCTGCGCGTCCGCACCCGCCTCGGCTCAGCGACAGGCGGGAACCGGGGCCGCCCCAGGCAGCCCGGGTGGGGGGCCGCGCCTGAGGTGCGGAAGGGGCCCGTTGGGGGACGCGGTGGAAGGACGTGAATTTCCGTACGTTCAGGGCGGCCCAGGAAAAACACAGTGGTGAGTTGCCTTTTGGACGCGAAAGGCACAGCTTTTCACTCGCGTTCCGCACGTTCGTTTGGGTGATTTAAGAGACCTTTGTGGGTCCGTGTCCCCTGGATCTTTACGAAGTGACGCCGTACGAGCAGCTCGTTCAGGAGGCAGCTGGGTCTGATGCCTTGTCCGTGTGCTTCCTCCGCAGAGCGCCCGTCCCTGGCCAAGGAGGTGCTGTGTGCGGCCCTGGCCTGCAGGCCCGGCGGGCTGTGGCGGCTCGTGGCACTGGCTCTGCAAGGGGTCACGGCGCTGCGCGACCTCCACCAGGTAGGCCGCCTTTGGCGTTCGGGACTGTGGCATCCGCTGGGCCTGGCTCTGTGGGGAGGGCTCGTTGCCCTGGGCTTGCGCCCGGTGACACGGGCGGTCAGGGCTGCGGAGCCAGGGACTCCGTGCCTCGGGCTCTCCCCACGGTGCACTGGGGGCTGCCCGGGCCTGCGGGAGGGCTGCTCCGTTTTCAGGAGTGTTGCAAGTTGGTTGTTACCCACAGATATCGAAAATCGAATCGTGTGAACGTACGATTGAACTGTGTAAGAAGAGGCGGGCGGCGCTCGGGGTCCCTGCCCCCGCCACGCCCGCCCCTTTCACTCTGGGCCCCGCCCGGGGGCTGGCTCGCCCCTGCCGTGCGTGCGTGTTGGTGCGTGGTGCACTGCGTGCCGCTGCATGTCCGTCCCAGTGTCGTGCTCAGGGGCTCATGGTGCCGCTGGAACGAGGCCGCCGTGGCAGCGTTCACGCCGCGGAGACTGGCGCCTTCTACAAAGAAGCCATTGGTCCCCAGAGCCCGTCGTTGACCTCGTCCCAGCCCACCCTGGGCTCTGACTCCCTGAATGCAGGGCACGTGCCCCGAGCACATAGGCCAGCGGGACCCGCGTGGCGCGGGCCTTTGCGTTAATTTGGACGAGAGCCCAGTAGCGCCCCTGCTGGGCCTCCGTCTCAGCCGGATCTGAGGTGTGACGTTTGCCTGGCGCCGGCGTCCTCGCCCGGGTTAATGCCGCTGGGCCGCAGCCGCCGGACCAGCTGGGGCTGGGGGGTCCTGGTGACGCCGGTGCAGGCGGGCGAGGGCCCGCCTCCCTCCCAGGGCTGGCTCTGAGGGCTGTGCGTTGCTTCTGTGCTACAGTGACTCCGCCTGGTTGTCTGTCCAGTGCAGGGGGCGTGTGTCCGGGAAGCCGAGGGACCGGGGACAGCTGCCCTGCGCTCCCCTTGCGTGGGGAGCGCGGAGACGGCCAGGCGTCTGTGGGGCCGTGAGCGGGGTGGGGGCCGTGGGCCACGCAGTCCGGGTGAAGAGGGAGCCCCGGGGCTGCAGGGAGAATCGCTTTCGCAGCCGCCGCACTCCGTCCTACGTGCGCTCGTCTGTGGGGACACCAGATTCTTGTTTCCAGGTTGTGCAGGTCTTTGTCAGGTAGTAAATGTGGATAAAAACCGAAACCTAAGACCCTGGCGTGTCGTTTCCAGTGCTGAGTGAGGTTTGCAATAGTAACACAGGCAAGAATCTCCAGCTTCCAAACAACTGCTCCGTGGCTCTATTTATAGCTCAGATTATTGCATGATTGCAGTGAATCTGGCGGGCAACAGCCAGGGGAGTTTGGATAAACAGCAGAAGAGTCTGTCTCTGATCGGGAACAGAAGAGCTGGCCTCAGGCTGCACAGCCCTGGGGATGGGCCTGCGGTCCCAGGTCTCCAGGGGCGAGGTCCAGCACACCCCCTTTCCAGCTGGCGGCGTGGGTGGGTGGGAGGGGCCGGGCCCCAGGGGCGGGACAGCGGTGCAGTGCGCTCAGCTTCCCAGCCTCTAAGTGCCGTTGGAACACCTGGTTTTCTGGCTGCTGGCAGGGGCTCCCCGGGGGGCAGATGTCTCTGCAGATGGCCCCACCATGAGGCACGTTTGCGTGAACTCCTCACTCTCGTCCACTCTTTATGTGAATCACTAGAAAATCACAGTGAAGAGCTGAGTGAGGACCTGAAATCACTTTTCACAAGTGACAGGCGCCCTGCGGTCCCCACCCCTCTGGGGTGGGCTGAACTGCTGCTCGGGGCTGGTCCTGCATGCAGGTGGAGCTTCCTGTCTCCCTGCGGCCTGGGCTGCGGGCCCAGGGAGCAGCGCCGAGCTTGGGGACGGTGGCTCCCCCGCCGGCCGGCCCGGATGGGGTCGCCCCAGAGAAGGGGCTGGCGTGCGGCCCTCCCGAGGCTGCTCCCACCTGCGCCCCCGCGGCCTTGACTGGGGCCCCGTCCCTCTCCCTAGTGCACGTGCCAGAGTCCTGCTGTTGAACTTAGGATGAAAGCAGGGCAGGGACAGGAGAGGTGCGGAGATGTAATGTGGTGTGCGTGCTGTCACTGCTCCCGAGCGGCAGGCCCCTCGCTGTGAGGGAGGGCCCCACGCAGAGCCGGGGGCGGGGGGCGGGGGGCGCCCGCGGCCTGTGTCCTCTGAGCCCAGGGCTCCCCTCCGGCCCTCCGGTTCTGGGCACGCGCGCCGAGAGCCCTCAGTGCGGCGGATGCTGCCCTGGGGGGCAGCCTCACGCTCTCTTCTGACTGCAGCGCTGCTGTTTTCCAGGAGCTGGAGCGGATGCTGCCCTCGTCCCATCAGCTCAGCTGCGAAGGCCTCAGCAGGGACCTTTCCAGCGCGCTGGAGCACCTCAGGCGCGGCTTGGAGCAGGCCCGCGCCCAGGGCTGTGCGTGTGCGGCCGTGCCGGACGGGGCCCCGCGCCACCTGCGTGTGTACGTCCGCGGGGCCGCTCCTCCCGGGTTTCCTTCGGGAACGGGCTGGCTTGCGTTTTTCAGTGGTGAACTCCAGACAGCAGCCTGTGCCGCACACCTTTCATGTGTGTGAACACGTGTTCTCTGAGCCACGCCAGTGTGTGGCATGATGTCATGTGTTCAGTTGAACGATGCGCGAGCAGCGCTACAGCTAAGGCTCTGACGGCGGCAGGGTGTCGGACCCGAGATGACACTCCGCGTCGAGTGCATCTAGGCTCCTCAAGGCGCTCTCAGGTCGCTGCCTCGGATGGGGCCAGGCCTGTTCCGTCTTCTCTGAGTATAAAGCCCTGGGAGCGGACACGGGCCCTCGGCATTGTGCCGGTGGCCTGTTCACCAGGGCACGCTGCTGTGGCTTCTCAGTGTCCCGCGTCCTCGGGGGTCTGCAGTCAGCTCCAGCCACGCCGCCCACACGCGCGGGCAGCTGCGCACGATGCTTCCTCCTTCCCGGAGCCCTCTGCCTGCGGGGCCCTGAGGAGCACCGCTCGGCGTCCGGGTGTCGGGGGTGGGGCGCGCGCGCGCACTCGGCGCGGGGGCACGTGCTGGCTGGCCACGGGGCGCGTGAGGTGCCATCGGAGGGCTGCCCCGCACGGTCTGCCGTCCCGCCCCCTGGAAGCGAGCTTTAATTTCGTGCTGTTTCAGGTTGGCCCAAAGGCTCGAAGAGACTTTGTTTTCTGGGAACCCAGTTCTGAAGTTTCTCAGCAACTTCACGGTAACTGCAGGTGAGTATGTGCTTCCTCCACATCCGCGTGATGAAAAGTGAGATTTAGTTTCTCACACAAAAGTATGATCGAAAGAAAAGCTATAAACGAAAAGTCACGCCGTTGGGAGTAACAGCAATTGAGAACGTGGCCGGTGCGACGTGTCGGGGTGAAGGAGGCATGCCGTCAGGTGTGGGCGCCACAGCCGGGCGGGAGGGCGGCGGCCCCCTGTGGTCCGGCTCGCCCTGGCCCTGCCCCTCCACCCAGCAAGCTTCCCGGTGCCTCCGGGCCTTGCATCCTCAATAGGCCAAGTCCGAAGGCTCCTGCAGGTCCTTCCGGGATCCTCCTCTTGGGGGAAGAAGAGACGTGCGATGCTGGGGAGGGGGGTTCCTGTGGCCTTTGGTCGCCGCTCCCCAAGCAGACCTCCTCCTGGGGCAGACGTGCAGTCGCGCCGGCCTCCCAGAGCGGGGCAGCAGGGACGCCCCACCCCCCGCGTGGCCGGCCCCCAGGGCGGGCGTGGAGCCCCGGCACGGGCACAGCACCGTCAGTGTCTGGTTCCGAGACGCGGCCTCGCGTCCCTTGTGGCCGCGGCTCCCGCAGGAAAGGGTTCTTGCCGGGGTCCTCATCCGTGTCTGTTTCCACAGTAACAGCCCGAGCATCGATTATGTTGTTATTCCTTTTATTGGCTTTCAGACGTGCGAGTGAAAGATTTGATGAGAAATGTCACCGAGGTAACGGAGGCACTTCGGTCCGTCCCCATCTCGGCTGAAACGGTCGCCAGTGTCCTGGACGCGGGCCTTCCCCCCTCACAGGTGTGCGCGGCCGCGTGGCCTCATCCCTGGGGCTGCCGGCCGGTACGCGCCCCCCGCCCCAGCGGGCTGAGTGGCTGGGAGCGGTGCCCCCCGCAGGCAGGAGGGGAGTGAGACGGCCGGCCCGGGACCGGAGGCCATCCTGCCCTTGCCTGCGCGGGGACCCCCAGGTCCTCAGCCCCGACGCACGGCTCCCAGGGCTGCCCGTCAGCCACGTGGCAAGACTCTCAAAACCACCCAAAACCCATGTGTCTAAGAACATCTACGTGTGGGCTGTGACTTCCTGCAGGAAGAGAGGGCCGGAGCAGCCCGACCGGGGGTGGGGGCTCACCGCGGCAGCGGCGGGCTGCGGGCTGGGCGCCTCCAGGGTGCGGGGACGCGGGGCGCCGGTGACTGAAACGGCCTGGGACCTGGGGTGTCCACGGAGGGCGGGGGGAGGCTCAGGGGACCCCACAGCGTGTGGGGGTGGGGACGATGGTGGGGAAGGAGGGCGGGGGGTGCCTGAGGGCCCCCCGGGTCTGTGGGCGGGTGGCTTCGGTAGGGGACCTGCAGGCCGGGCCTGCGAGAGGGCGTGAGTCGCCCCGGCCCCTCTCGCGCTCAGCCTGGGCCTCGGGTGTGAGGCAGCTGCTGAGGGAGCGCGCGGCCACCAGGTGTCACCGGTGTCCTGCCAGGGAGGGCCCTGCGGAGAGCAGGCGGGTGTGGGGGGCCGCTCGTGGCTTTCCTGTGCCTGTGCCGCTCCCTCTGCTGCCTCGACAGCGGAGCCTATGCGGTGGCACAGCGAGGGCATTGGGGGGCATCCTTGCCACTGGGGTCAACGCTGAGCTCGCTGGCTCTGATGGCGAAGCGTTTCCACGGACGCGGGGCCGTGCGGTCAGTCGCCTTCGGTGAGGAGCTGGCCCTTCGGGGCTCGGGTTGCCCCTAGGGTGGCAGGCGGCCAGCAGGCGGCGCCATGAGCGCCGTTTGTGGTCACTTTTGACACCCGCCTCCCTGGGCTTCGCCACCACGCTTCCAGTCCCTTGTGAGCCCGTCACGTGAGACCGCAGTCCCGCTGTGGCCGGAATCCTCCCGGGACCGACCCTGCTGTCTGCTGGCCGCGTCCAAGGCCTGCCGTGAGGAGTAGAACTGGGGGCGTCTTCACCCCCCGTGACTGGTGTGCCGTCTGTCGTCCTACCTGGGGCCGTGAACAGAGGGTCCTGGAAACGGAGACAGAGGGGCCAGGCAGGAGCCAGCTGTCCCTCGAGGCCCGCGGCGCCCGGCGCCCTCCTCTGTGCGCGGGGCGGCCTGTGGGCTCCGTGCGGGCCGGGGCGGGCGGGCGCGGGCGGGGCGCAGGCAGCGCTGTCCGGTGGGGGGTCGCCCTCGCCAGCGGGAAGACTGTTTCCTTCAGGAGCAAGTGGCAAGGGCTCCAGTGCCTTTGGCTTCTCTCACTTTTTTCCTTAGGCTCGATCACTTTCAATCATAAACTTAGCTCATTCTTATTCCCATTTCTTCACGTTTCCTGGGCGTGGGAAGTGTGTTTTCGCTGGTGGCCTCTTGTTAGTGACAGTGTAGCTGCCAGGCACTCAGCCTCGCTGTCCCGATGCTGACAGCCTCGTGTGATCCCTTTAATTCTCCCGGGGGAGTCCTCTCGGGTCCTACGACGCCTTCTTTTGTGTGGATGAAGGAACTGAGGCCCGCGGACGTTTAGGTCCTTGCGGGAGGTCACGCGGCTCCAGCAGCGGTTGGCCTTCCTCTAGGTCCTTCCGTCGCGTCCCCACCACCCGCGCGCCGTGTGGCGCCCGTCCTCCCACGCAGGGATTTCAGCGAGGGTCCCGAGAGCCCTGTCCCGCCCTCGGGCGGGTGCTCTGTCGCGCCTCCCCGTCCTCGCACGAGCAGGTCTGGGCCCGGGGGCGCCGGCGCAGGGGGCATGTGTTGAATAGGGTCCTAGTGGGGGTGGTCAGGGACGTGCAGGTGACAGCCAAGACCAGGCTGCACGGCAGCAACGGAGGGGCTCCCAGGGGCTGACCCCGGGTGGGGCGCCCGGAAGCAGGAGCTCTGCCAAGCCCACCGGCGAGGCGTTACTGTTTAATGGGATGGGCCGACGGGGGGTGGGGGGGGGTGAGTGGCCGTTCCCCCCATCCTGCCTCCTCTTTGAACCTCACGCCCCCCTGTCCCCCCGGCAGCACATTTGGAAACAGTGGCATTAAGGGACCCTTTCTCAGGGTGTGTCTGCACCACACAAGTGCCGTGCGGAGAAGGGGCTTCCTGGTCAGTCAGGTCTGAAAACGCCTCGCACGGCTCCCTCAAAGATCCAACGTGTCCCTCAGCGGGTCCTCGTCATGGTGTGGGTTCATGCACGTGTTGGCCAGGCCGCTGTCCCCAGATGCTTGGTCAGACGTGAACCCTCTGTGTCTGTGAGAGGTATTTTTCCAGATGAGATTCACCCTGAAGTCAGGAGGTGTGGAGAGAAGCAGGCCGCCCCCCACCTGTGGGTGGGCCTCGTCCAGTCAGGTGACGGCTTCAGAGAAAAGACGGAGCTCCCCAGGGACGGGGTCCCCCTCCTTCGGGCCTCAGCCGCGACGTCGGCTCCGCCCTGGAGCGCTCTGTGCTGCCCTCTGCCCCGCCACAGGCTGGGGGTGTGCCAGCCACACGGTTGTCGAGCCAGCCCCCTACGGAGACCGCTGCGCATGCATGCGCACACCCTGTTGGTTCTGTTCCTCAGGGGACCCTGACGGACACGCTGCCCCGTTTCTCCGTGGCTGTGGGCGCTAGAGGGCGTGGCGTGAGGGCCTGGCGAGCCCTGCCGGCCCCCAGGCCCCGGCAAACGAGCCGCCGCTCCTGGTCTCAGAGGGTCTCGCTCGGCCCCGGTGCGTGTGGACAGGAGTGTGTGCTGCCTGAATCTCGTCGTGCCTGGTAGTGCGTCAGGTTGCGAAGCCACACCCGCGTGGAGGCGCAGCTCCGCTGCCGACCGGCCTGCCCCTCCTCCGGGCTCTGCTTTTCCTTTTCAGAAAGTGACAAGAAGCTCAGGAGTCTGGTTTTCAGTTTGGAAGCGGTGGGGGAAGGCACAGTGTCACAGGGACAGCAGCGAGAAGCGAGGACGGAAAACTCGCAGCCGCAGCCCCCCGAGAGCTGCCGGGGCGGGGCGGGGCGGGGCGGGGGTGGGGGTGCCGGCTAGTGCCAGGCGGCCATCTTGCTCCCGAGCCGTCAGGAGGGGGGGCAGTGTGACTTACGTGCCCCCCTCAGAGACAGTCTGTCCAGAACCTGGAGACAGCAGGGCCCGGGCTCGGGCGGTGCCGGGAAGTCCTGGGCGCTTCGCGAGGACGGGCTTCTGGGCTCCTCAGGGAGCTGGGCTGTGGCCCCGCAGGGCCCGTCTGACCCCTCGCTCCGGCAGGTCCTGTCCGGCGCCCTTGCCGTGGCTCTGTCTGGGCGGTGTGATGAGGAAGCCCTCCGCCTCCTGCTGGCCTTCCCGGAGGGCGAGGCCGCTGCGCGGGCCGCGGCGGAGCTGTGCGGGCTGCCGGGGGACGCAGTGTACTCCCTGCTGCTGTCGGTGACTCGGCACCTGGACCTGCGCGGCCTCATTTACAAAGTAAGCGGGTGGCGGCTGGGGGCCGTGGGAAGTCTGTCAGGCCGTGTCTGTGCTGGCGAGATGAGCTCCTGCGGCAAGGCTGCGGGGTGCAGGCCGCCGGCCTCGGCCACCCGCTGCGTCTCCTGCATGCGGGCCCCGGCGTGGGGCTCGGGGCCGAGGGGTGTCCAGGGGGCTTTGGGGGTCAGGCCCGTGAGGGCATTTGACAGTGTCGGTGGCCATCAGTGTGCTCAACACACAAAGAACGAGCGAGCTGCGCAGCGTTGGTGGGGGCCCCACGGGGCGGCAGCTGCCCAAGTGCACCGACGTTTCTGAGGTTAAGCCCCGGCCCACCCACTGTGAGGCTCCAGGAGCCTGTGAGCCTCCCCAGGCTCAGTGTTTTCCGCGCACGGCCTGCACGTGACCCTGAGACGTGGCAGGGGCTGGCAGTTGTTTCACACATGGGAACGTCTTACCTGGTTCTCTTCCGAAACATCCCCTTTCATACCTCAGAGATAGGAGACGACGGTTTGAAAATGATCTCAGTTTCAGCAACAGGGCACATGTGCGCCCGCCGATGTGGCAGCAGCGCTGGGCGGTTGGGTGCTCCAAAGCCAGCCACGCGGGCTCCGACGCTGGGCCGTCCTCGGAGCCAGCGGGGCCGTCCGTCCCCCAGTGCAGGAGAGAATAAGACCAAACAACGTGCCCCCCACTGAGAGGGCTCCCGTGGGTGTGGGACCTGTGGCCTTGGTCATTGTGTGCTGTGCTTTCCCTTCGAGGTCCTGGTACCAGCGGAGGCCAGAGGCCTGCTCAGCTCCCTGTTGGACGTCGTCTCCAGGCTCGGCCGCCTGCTCCCCAAGGCCAGCCGCGTCCTGGAATACCTGCCCCAGTTTCTTCACGCGTCGGAGCTCACAGCCGTGCTGGGTGCGCCCGGCCCCTACCAGGTGTGCGCCTGGTCCGGGCGGGGGGTACTCCGCTGTGTGGGGCCGCCTTCGGGCCGCCTTCCTGCCGCCTGCGTTGCTCTTCCAACGTCTAACTTTTGCCCGAGACAGCAAGACACAGGAACAGAAACGCCCTTTAAGGGCCCTGGAGGCAACAGCACGACAAAGTGCGAGGTCCAGGTCTCCCCAAGTACCAGCGAGAGAGGCTGTTGACCTGCCTGCCCCACGGGGCCAGCCCCGCCTGGTCTGTGGAGCCGGAAATCCCTAAACTGGCTGTTAGCGCAGACGTGATTCCAAGGGTCCGTTGAACTTATTTCAGAGAGTAAACTGTCTTCAAAAACCTTAACACTTTATTTACATACAAATAATGGGCTTGCAAATTGCACATCATTTGCAATAGAAACACAGACTCAAGGAGGTTAGGGGCGCCATAGCCATCCTTGCTTCAACCTTCTGCTGGGGTGGGGCCAGCAGGGAGGGAGCAGTGTGGGAGCGGCAGACACGGGGTGCAGGACGTGGCAGAGGGCGGGGCCCCAGGCTGCCTCGGGGGCGGGGCGTCCGTGCGCCCATCCATGAGGGACAGTTTGGCAGTAGCGACACACATGAAGAACATCAGCAAGCCTGACTTAGCGAAGTTTCATGGATGATTTACCACTGGACAAGGATTGCTGGTGCGTGGGTGACATTTTTCTTTCCTACCAGGAGGGTAGGCTGCAGGGATTTGCATCGATTCCGGGGGCAGAAGGACCCCAGCAGAACCTGCGTCCCCCTGACTTGTTGAACCCATGTGTTTCCCATGGGAGAGGGGACTGTGCTCTGTGGGGGCATTGTCCCAAGTCCCCGTGTCACCGAAGTGTGTTTCTCACATGTTCTCAGGCACCACACAGTGACCAGGCCAGGGGCTCGGCCTTCGGTTCCTTCCAGGCGCTGATGAGGATGGTTTGCAAGGAGGAAGCATCTTTCCTCAGCACCTCGCGCTTGTTCTTCCACTTGCCTGGCATTAACGAACTCATGGGCGATGACAAAGAAAAGTTCAACATCCCTGAAGGCTCAAGTAAGAGAACAGTAACCCACGCGCGTCTAGCCTCGCGTTGACTTGCACGCTGACTGCCAGCCTCGCCCTGCACGGAGCGCTCTGTGTGGAACGGGGCTGGGGGCTTCTCCCAGACCCTCGCTTTCCTCCTCCCTTTGTAGGGGAATTAAGCAGTTGCAGTTACAGCTGACACCCCATGTTATACCAGTGCCAGGTGTGCAACATAGTGGTTAGACATTAGTACAATTGACGGAGTGACTGCTCCCTCCCACCTGGCAGTGTAGGTGCAAACATCCTCAACAAAATATGAACAAATTGAACTTGGCAGTAAGCTGAAAAGAACATACACCACGAAGAAGTGGGGATGCAAGGTTGGTTCAATATCTGCAAGTCAATGAGCACGATACACCCTGTAAACAAAATGAAAAATGAAAATCATGTGATAATATCCATAGCTGCAGAAGCAGCATTTGACAAAACCCAGCCCCCATTCATGACAAGAATGCTCAGCAAAGTGTCCTTTGTAGGAAGCTGCCGAGCGCTGGTGTGGCACCTGGCCATGTGTATAGTGAGGTCTTCTCTAAGATCCAAATCATTACTGTCTGAATTAAACTTGTAATTTAAAGTGCAAGTTGTTAACAGTACCAGTAAGAGCAAGCTCTGTAATTCGTGCTTTAAAATTCATTATGTAGTCACGCTCTTAAATTACATTCTGTGGGACTATTATATCAATTTCATAGTACTTTTTTGAATAAAAAGAGCTTGTTTTTCTCAAAATGGTGAATTTGGAAGGTGAAATTAATACTGGAACTATTCGCAACAGTACCCTTCACGTCTCGGTGTATGAATCAGAACCTCAAAGCCAAGGCACCACTTCTGCCCTAACCGTTCGCTGCAGGGGCGGCGAACTAGCGGTGCAGGCGCGCATGGCCAGCCTCAGCCCTGGCTCCGCTGGTGACCAGCCTTTGTGGCGCCGGAGACTCCGCCTCCGTGAGGCATCTGTGGGTCGAGCCAAGGGGGCCCCCCCGTGCACCGCGGCCGTGACGAAAGGCGCGCGAGGAGTGGAACATCTGCGTGACAACAAGGCAATTCCTGTGTCACAGTAGAAAGCTCAGTAGCTCTCTGCAGTGCAGCAAAGAGAATGCAGGAGCAGCCGATAAAGCTAAAATTTTATTTAAGAAGTCTCATTCTGGCCCCAGAGCTGTACTGGTGAAATGACTGTTTTCCAGACTAAAAACCAGGGGCGTTCCTTTTCTGTGAGAGTTTTCACCTGCAGGCGCCCCGCTCATCATTTAGTGCTCTTACTGATAAGCTAGTTCGAACTGGGTGGGTCCCACGTTCCTTCCTTCTGAATGACAGGCGTAAACATGGAGTCCTCTGGTTTCCCGAGACAAGAGCTGCTGCTTGCGCGGCAGGAATAGCCGCCCCGCCCTCCCCGCCTGCAGCCACGGCAGCGAGTGTGGCTCACGGGTGCGAGCGAAGGGCCCGCTCACCTGGGCTTCTTGTGTCTTGAGCAACATTTTTTTTTTCTTTTTTAAAATGGCGACAGCTCCATTTTGCTTGAAGCTTTACCAGGAAATTCTACAGTCTCCAAATGGTGCTTTGGTGTGGTCCTTCCTCAAACCTGTACTGCATGGACAGATCCTGTACACACCGAACAGCCCCGAGGTCAACAGTGTCATTCGAAAGGTGAGCTCGCGTGAACGAGGGCCTGACGGACCTCAAGCTTTCAAACAGTCGCTGTAACTGTTGCATCGGTTGGCTAGCCTGAGGGTTTCTTAGGTTGATCACGGTTTATTCCGGCCCGTTTCCCTGCCCCGGCTGTTTGCGCTGGACTTGCAGTTATTCTCTCAGAGGACGCTGTGGTGGCGAGTGCCCTTTGAGGCAGCCGGCCTGGGAGGACGGGGGCAGGGGGGCAGGGGGGCAGGCAGAAGGGCCGGCTCGGGCAGCTCCCGGAGACCTGGGGGCGCAGGCGCGGCCCTGTCTGCGGGGCGGCTGAGGAGGAGCCCACTTGAGGGGTCTGCCCGGGATACGCGGGGTCCCGGCGTTAGCTGCCAGGCCGCGGCCCCTCCCGTGGAGGGCCAGCTCTGGCGGAGCGGCCGCAACGATTCCTGCGGGAGGGTCTCCGCCATCGTTGTTAAATGCTTGTTTTCCCTTCCTTAGGCTGCTCGTTTCTCCTGAGTATTCACGACAGGATTTGGTGTTATTCCTGTTGGCACCTTCCTTAGAAATGGTCGTGTTGTGTTTTCTTGGGGTCGTGTTTTCTTGTCCGATGGCGGCCAGTGAGCCTGCGGGCCCCTGCAGGTCACCACAGAGGACACGGGATGATGGGACCTCAGACCAGACCCAGAGAGGGGCCGCCACGTCCTGTTCACGACCACCTTCCTCACTGTGGAGGGTGGCGGCCTGGGGGTGAGCGGGCCGGCTGGCTCCTGGGAGGGGTCCTGCATCCCCGGCGGGGTTGTCGCCAGCGGGGGGTGGGGTGGGGTGGGGGCTTCGGCAGTAGCACTCCCAGGCGCCCTCCCCACGGGGACGTGGCCCAGAGGCTGCATTTGCGCGCCCCCCCCGCCCGCCTCCCCGCTCCTTGTCCTGAGTGTGTTTGCCAACGTCTGTGTCTGCCTTGGGCTCTCCAAGGCACGTTTGCCCAGAGGCTGCAGCTCACAGTGAAGGGATGTGGAGCCGCTCGTAGGGCCCCCCACGTCCCCCAGGGACGCGGGGCCAACGCCCACGCTCGGTGCCCGCAGGGCAGGGGGCCCCGGGGCTGCGGGAGTTCCCCCCTTTCAGAGGAAACAGCTTCCTGCTCAGATGGATTTTAGAAACAGGCCGCGAGCTTTTCGGTTGATGACGTTGCATGTTGTTGAACTTACTAGCGATGTCACTAATGGCGCCCGCCGCTGTGGGGTGGGCACTGGGCTCTGTCCTGAGACGCGGTGGCAGCAGGCAGCGCGGCTTCTGCTGGGAGCCTGTCCCGCGCGTGCGGTCGGGCGCCTCGGTTCTGCGGCCTGGTCGTCCACTTGTGCCAAGGCATCTGGCTTGGTAGGCATTAGTGTTTTCAGCTGTTTTGAATATTTAAATTAGTATTAAGTATTATTATTTAGATGCAGCTTCACGCTCAAAAAAAAATCTTAAATAAGATGAGACCCCGCAGGGGTCTGTGTGTTTTGTTGTTTGATTAGGGACATAGCTCGTGTCCTGACTGTGTTTCCTTCCCCTGTTTAGTTTTCGTGTGTCAGTATTAATTTCCGTGTTCCACGTTCCTCGGACGCTGTGCCGTTGCCTCACTGATCTGTTCAGTGAGAGCTTCGTTGATTAATTTTCACTTTTTAATTTAATAACAAATAAATTTGAGTCTGAATGTTGGTTATATTCAATATCTTTTATAGCTAATACCTTTATTATTATTTCCTATATAACGTTTCCTAAAGCATGTCCTGTAGTTAGTTTTTCATGATACTTAAAAGTTTTAATTTATTAATTTTAAAAGTGTTTACACAAGTTTTTCGCTAAGAATTTCTAATCATAATAAACACCTATATCATTTATATGTTTTGGAATTTTATTAGCAGTTGCTTTGTATCCTAACACGTTATTAGTTTTAGCAAATTTTTCTTGGGTACTTGAAAAGGGACAGTATGTACGTATAGAATAAGTTAGGATAGTTTACCCTATTTAAGTGGCACTAACTGGCTATGTACAGATATACGCGTAAATAGAAAATATATACAGGTTGGGGCAAAAGTAGGTTTGCAGTTGCGAGTGTGAAACACAGCTTATTCGTGTGTTATTATTTATTAATTGAGTTGTTTTGCATACGAACAACTGTAAACCTGCGTTTGCCTCCCCATGAGGAACGCGTGCGGATTCTTTATCTGTAGATGAACATTGCTCATCGACCTGACAGGTTGCAATAGCAGCGCGTCCCAGCCTGTGCGTCTCTGCACTCTGACCACGGAGGGGGCGTTGCTGAGCCTTGGCCTCGTGCAGGCCTGGCCCGAGGACACGGAGTGTTGATTGTCTCACCACTCACAACAGCTCCGCCCATAGGGGCGTGCGGGCTGCTGAGCCTGTAGCTGCCTAGAGGTCAGGCGGCCCGGCAGAGCGGGGCCAGGCAGGGGCGGGGGCGGGGGCGGGGGCGGGGGCGGGGGCGCCGGGCGGGCGTGCAGCCCATGCCCAGCAGGAGCGCCGTCCAGGGGGCAGGGCCCTGGCTGGCTGTGTGGCGGGAGCACCCTGTCCTTTTTGGGGTGGCCGCCTCTCCCTCCCGACCCGGGTGGCCGGTGCCATTATCGGAGGCTCCCCGGGACCCCTCCCTAATCTTCTCTCTTTGGCATGAGAATATTTTCAGTATCAAAAACATAACATTGCAATAGACATTACATGGGTGTAACGCGGCCATTTGTTTCCTGAGGACAGACTTTTATCTTGAGAGAAGAGGCACGGGCGTTCTGTAGTGGGTCGTGCCTGTTTTCGCGACACTGAATTGCTTTCCAAGCCCCTGGTGCGGCCGGCCCGCAGCAGCAGCCAGCAGGCACGTCCGGCCCGGCCACCGCACTCCCTGCCCCGGGGAGCAGGGCCGTGAGCACGTGTTGGCGGGGAGCGGACCTGGGAGGAGGCGGGGCTCCTGTTGTTTACTCAGCCCCTGTGCGCGGGGGGCCTCTGTCTGGACAGGGAGGTAACTGTGGGGGGCACCTTGGGGCTGCCGAGGGGGCTGTCAGGGGGGGTGGGAGGGCGCGCGGACGAGAGGCCTCAGGCCACCCCTGAGCGGTGCGGCACGGGCACGGGCCACCTCGTCTGCGGAGGCCTCGGCCAGCCTGCAGGCGGCGTGGCAGGCCTTTGCTCTGATGGCTGGTCACTTCCACGTGGGTCTCCGTGCCGCGGCCGCGGTGCCAAGGGTTCTCCTCGCTGACACATGGGCGTGACCGCTCTGCCTTGTTTTGCAGGCTAATTACACATTTCTGTTTGTGGACAAGCTAAGGACTTTATCAGAGACGTTGCTGAGAACATCCAGCGTGTTTCAGAGCGGAGGAAACAGCCAGCTGCTCGGCCGGCTGCAGGTGAGCAGGGCTGTCCGTGTCCGGGGCCGTGGCACACGGGCGGCGCAGCTGCGGAGCGGAGCGGAGCGGAGTGAGGGCTCTGTACCACCCGCGGCGCGGTTTCCCCGTGGACAGACAGCATCGCTGTGAAACTGTGTGAGGGCGCTTCGTAAGCGATCGAGTACTTTGCCCACCGTGCAAGATGTTATCAATAATGTATCAATGGTTGCCGATGCTTTACGTTCCACACCAACTCGGTGCTTTTCCGGGTGGTCTGCGTACTTCCCAGCTGCAGGTGCAGCAGTCACGTGGTCAGTGGTCGTTCTCATCATCTGGCTTGAAAACGAAACATGCCCCGCGTCAGTGGGCTGCGGTCCCCAGGGCCCGGCTCTGCCCTTGGCCACAGGTGCTGTCCAGGGGGCTGCATCCCAGCTCCACGCATCCGTGTCGCCGTGGCCTGCCTGGTGCCCGGTGGGTGAGCGGAGGGCCCTCATTGCCATCTTGTGTGGCTCGCTTCTCACGTGCCCTCTGGGAAGTTCCAGGGAGTGGAGCCCGTGAGGGCCAGGCCGGCCGGGCCCCATCCCCGGCCCTGCGCTGTGTGGGCCTGGATTGGCCCTGAGCTCGCCTAGCGTGGGCTTCCTAGCGTGGAGGGAGGGAGTCGGTGGCGGCGGTGGCAGCAGCTGAGGACGCGTGGTGCGCGTGGGGCGGTTTTCGGAGGCAGGAAGCATTTCCGGGTCCGGGTCCTTCCGGGAGCAGGTGCTGGGATGGGGTAGCACATGCAAGACGTCTGTACAGGGAATGTCTGGCTCTTAGAGCTGAGGGAGAAGAGCCTGGGAGCGCAGGCTGGCACCCCATCCCATGTCCCCTGGGGATGCCCGTCTGACCCTGGGGCCGTGGCAAGGGCAGGAGGTTGGCTGCCAGGGTCGCTGGCAGCCCCGCAGTGCAGCGGACGCATCATCATCGTCCTGGGTCCTGGCCAGAGGATCCTATGCTCCCAGGGATGGGCTTGGCGTGGTGGCCCTGGGCCAGGAGCTGCCGAGGTGGACCTGAGAGCGTGGTGGGGCCCTGGCCGCTCGTTCCTGGCCACGGTGGCCACAGCTCGGAAGGGCCGGCCGTTGCTCTGGTACTGTCTTTAGCGTGTTTGCTCTGGGATTAACTTGCTAACACAGGCAGCGAGCAGAGCTTCTCTGTATGAGGTTGCGAACAGTTCAGACTGCGATAAGGGCCCCAATGTGAGGGAAGCAGTGGCAGGCTCTGCGGCGGGGGGCGGAGACGCTGGGGGCCGCGGCGGGGGGTGGGGGGGCGCAGCGCCCGCCTCGCCTGCGCAGCTGGGGCTTCTGCAGAGGTTGGGGCTGCGGCCTGTCTGCCCAGTCGTCGCGTCAGAAAGTCACGCCGCACCTCCCGTTGCTGGGAGGCCTCTACCGGGAGGACGGAGCACGGGGAGCTGGGCCCCGGTTCTAGGCGTCCAGTCGTGTTCGGGACAGCCTGTGCGCTCCTGGGTTCACGGCGGCCGACACCCGTGATCGGGGCCCGCTCTGCCACGAGCATTAGCTCAGTGCCCTGCTGGGGCTGCAGCCCTGACTTCTGGAAGGACAGGAGGTGCCAGGGGTCGCCCTGCGGAGATGCCGCCGAGGTTGAATGGCTGATACGCGTTCAAGCTCCCGCACGAAGCCAGGCAGGTAGCGAGAGCCCCGTGAGAGATGAGAGACGGGATCCAAAGAAAGCGCGCGCCGAGGTCCCCAGCGGAGCCCTGCCACCTGCAGACGCGCCTGCGTGACACCAACACCTGAGGGACCTGGCAAGCAGTGAACCGCCGCGAGGGATGTGCGGGCGAGCTCCCCACCTCCGTTCCCGGTGGGCTGTGCGGGGCCCCGTCGGGGTCCGGGCCAGGCTCCCGGGCCCGGCAGGCGCCAAGGCCGCCAGCTTGGAGGCCAAGACCATGCCCAGTCTCTCCTGCCCGAGGGGCGCTGCGAGCGGAGGCGGGTGCATGCGCAGCGGCTCTGGGAGGCGGAGGGTCCGGGGGCAGGGTCCGCAGCGCGTCCTGGCAGGTGGCCAATTTGGGGCCGCGTCCCGGGAGGGAGCCGCCACGATGGCCGTGCGGAAGGTGCTTCTGGGGTGATCGGGCCAAGGGTCGGGGTTTGGGCGGGGGTGGCCCTGTCTCCAGTGTTCGGCGCCAGGAGCCCTGCACCCGGCCTGCGGGAGAGGCAGCGCGGGCCCCGCCGGGGGCCGCCCGCAGGCCCACGCGCTCGCTAGCTCTGTGCGGGCGCAGCACGGCTCTCGTGGTCGGCGCTTTTGTGTCAGGACGGTGTCCTGACCACGTTATCCTGTGACTCACTGTGATGTCTTAGAACCTCTTCAAAGATGATTCGCTTGTACGACACGAAACTTGGAGTAAACCAGGCGAGAATCATCCTATGGAAAAAATGATGCCGTTATTGCTGTTAAACTGCATTATTTTCTTTCAGGAAGTCCTGAGAAACAGGTTCATAAGGAACTTCATAGAAAGCCAGTTACACATCAACGTAGACGAACTGACAGAGAGGCTCCAGACATACGGTGAGGGAGGGTGGGTGTGTACTTGTACGTGTGTGTGTGAGTGTGCAACAGTGGGTGCGTATGTCCACATACGTGTGTAAGAGAAAGTGTGCGTGTGGGTGTAGGCGTGGGTGTGTAAGTGTACACGTGTGGATGTGAACGTGGGTATGTATGAGTAAATGGGGGTGTAAGCGGGTGGCTGACCCTTTGGCCGAGGGGTTTCTGGGGACCCTGACGAGCCACTTCCTCCCCGGTCCCTGGCCCGCCATCTGCAAGGCAAGAGGGCCGCACTGCGCGCACCGCAAGGTCGTTCCTGCCTGGGCCTCTGATTTACTGATTCAGGCTTGAATGGTAAAGAAGTTGGTTGAAAAGGAAGAGTTCTGATTTGAACACAAGGCTTGTGAGTTAGAGTCACTTGATAAAATAATGTTTTGGAGCTGGCAGTCAATTGAAAACAATTACATTGATTTGAAAACGTGGGGTTCAGGTTTAAAAAAGGACCACCAGGCAACGGTCCTGCCCCGCGGGGACCCAGGGTACAGCGTGGCCACCGCCGCCGCCGGGGAACCGGATTCTGGGCTGCGTCTCCGGGGCAGGGCTGGGGTGCCGGGCGCCTGGCCACGGTGTTGGGGACGCGCTGTCGGCCGGCCCTCTGTCTCCTGACCGCCACCCATCGGCCTCCATGTCCTTTGGCCCCGAGGTCTCCCAGCCGGGGTGCTGCTCCGCCTGACAGACATGGGGCCGGGTGGGGCTCCCGGCCACCCCTGTTCCGCGGACGCTTTCTGAGAGGGAGCGACGCACACTGGCTCCTGCAGACTGGACTAGGGGGTCCCCAGGGTGGGGGTGGCCCACACTGGCTCCGCCCACACAGCTCGGTGGTTTGCTCCATGTGTGTGTGTCATGGGTGTGTAAAGCACTTGGTGTGTTTCCACGCGTGGTCACGTCTCGATGAACTCTTTCTCTTATCAAGTCCCTGCAAGAGTCTCCGTGGGCCTTGTTGAAGAGCAAGGCCGGGGAGGGGAGGGGGAACCGGTGCTGCAAGCATCGCCCCGGCTCCATGAGGGCCCCCCGCCTCTGCTCACACACTTTGCTGACGCCGTGCCAGACCCCCACGCTGTCTGGTGGCTGCTCCTGCTGGGGGACCCTGGCCAGAGCGAACCGGGGGGACTTGGCTCCTCCGCAGACGCCACCACCCCAGGCCCCGTGACCTTCGGTGACTGCTTTCCTGCTCTGGGCTGCGCCAACGTGCTGGGGAGAGCGGCTTCCTGCCGCCCAGGCTCGCCCTCTGTTTGCTCTCCTGTCCCCGCGGTCCCGTGCGCTGGGCCGCAGCCGCCCTTCCCGAGCCACTGCTCCTCTCCGTTTGTGCGGGAGTGTCTGCGCTACGGGGGCGGCGGGGAGAGCGGCGGGCACGCTCGGCCAGCGAGCAGCCAGTTTGCACGTGGACAGGGTTTGTGTGGCGGGAGTGACCTCCTGGAAGGTGGAGCCGCACGTCGAGGGTGTTCGTGCGGCGTCCACCTTGGGGACGGGAGCCGCTGTGCCAGGGCGCTGCCACATCTGGGTGTTCACGTCCTCAGGAGGGGCCCTGGGCAGGATGCTGAGCCGCGGGGGCGCCGCCCGCATCCTCGCCCTGGGCCGCGCCCTGGTCAACCTGTCCTCCTGTGTGGCGCTGAACCGCTTCCGGGGTCTGGAGTCTGTCGCCGTCCTGGAGGCTGCGGCTCAGGAGCTCCTGCGGAAGAACAGCCTCTTGGCCAGTAAGTGCCCAGCGATGGCCGCGCTCCCGGGGTCCCGCAGGGGCCTGCTGCCTTTCCCTGCACGTGCCTCACGTGGCTCAGAAAGAAGAGCGTCCTGTCCGCACAGGACAGAGTCGGGCAGGCCCGCTGCCCCGGGCGATGGACCGAGGGCCTCGCACCGTACGTCTCCCGGTGCTGCCGTAGCAGGCCTCACGTGCAGAATTCAGAGAATGCACGTGGCAGGGCGCTGGGCCCTGTGTCCACGTTCAGAGTGGCCGCCCCCGAGAACCGGGTCCCGGGGGCGGGGGCGCCTGCAGTGCCGCGGAGGGGAAGCTGCACGGCTCAGGCCCCCGTGGCGTTTCTCACGTCCTGGGAAGTGCAGAACAGGTACTTCGTGTGTGTCACCGACGCCACGCTGTGCTGTTACTAAGTGAAAAAGAGGTCGGCCTGGGAGCTGGGCGGCCCTGGCTGTGGTTCCCGCCAGCCACCTGGGGAATGACCCCGCCCGTGGGCAGAGGGCCCAGCGGAGCCCACGCGCCCAGCACCCCCGCCGCACACCGCGCGGACGTGGGCACTGCTCCTGGCGGCGATGGGCCTGCACCCCCTCCCTGCCAGGTGTCATCTTCCACACGTCCTCCAACGGCAGCAGCGCCCGGGCAGACCCGCCCCGGCTGCCGCCCCGCGTCACCTACACCATCCGGACCAGCGTCCTGTACAGCATGAGGACCGACCTGGTGAAGAACCCGTTCTGGAAGTTCCACCCTCAGAGCCTGCCCGCCGACGGTTTCCAGTACAACTACGTCTTCGCTCCGCTGCAAGACATGATCGAGAGGGCCATCGTCCTGGAGCAGACGGGGCGGGAGGCCGCAGGCCCGGCCACGCAGGTGCAGGCGGCCCCCTACCCCTGCCACCGCAGCGACCTGTGAGTGCCGCCCGCCTGCCCGGCCCCACGTCCACCCCGCCGCGCGGCGTCCCCGCCCGCGTCCGGAGAGCGCGGACGCGCACTGACCCCCTCACGGCCCCAGGGGCGGTTTTCCGGCGCCCGAGCTGTCCAGGGGGAGGGTAGTCGTGGGGGTGGCGTGGCCCAGGTTTGACAGCAGGCAGCTCGGAAGGCCCTTCTGGCCGCCTGGGTGCGCAGCGTCTGCCGGGGCTCTGCACGTCTGACCCCGATCCCACCCGCGCGAACCGGGAGCAGAAGAGGGCGCTGTCCCCTTCAGCACAAACGTGAAACACGGGTGTGCTGCCTGCAGCGGACTACAGAGCGTGCGCCCCGCAGGGGCTGCGGGCCCCACGGGCCAGGGACGGGCCGAGGGCCTGTGCGAGGAAGCCATGGGACGGGGCAGGGACGTCCGGGGTGGGCAGAGCAGGCAGGCGGTTGGCGCTGGAGCGGCGGTGGCATCTGGCAAAGACCTGCAGAGCCCCAGAAGCACGGGGAAGCAAGTTCGGGCCCAGGGAGTGGCCAGCGCGGAGGGCGGCCGCCGTGTGCAAGGCCCCGGAGCAGAGAGCAGGAGGGGAGGGCAGGCGGCCACGCCGGGTCCGCCCCGCACTGTGCGGAAGCAGCGGCCCGAGGGGCCGGGGATGCCGCGGACAGGGCCTGGCCGGGCGCAGGCGCCGGTGGGGAGTGGTGCGCTTGCGGTGGCACTGGGCAGGGCGGGCCGCCGACTGGCTGAGGGTCTGACCGAGACATCAAGGGGGACCTGGCTCTCTGTCCACAAACGCGAGTCACCAGAGTCTCCTGTGGCTGAGGTAGCACTGAAGTTGGGGGGATGAGGACAAGATGAGAGGTTCTGTCATGACACGACTCCTTGCCCCCGAGGCCCCGGTGGCAGGGACCAGGCAGGCTGCTTTGGGCGGCAGGGGCGCAGCCGGCTGTGCGAGGGGGTCCTCGCCCTGGAGATGGAGGGGGCCCTCGGAGCGTGGGCGGCGGCGTGGCCACGAGCGTGTGGGCAGAGGAGCAGGCGGAGCGCGCAGGGGAGCCCGGCCCAGCGCGAGCCCGGGGCCGCGGAGCAAACCGCGAGCCGGGAGTCCTGGTGCGGCTGCTCCGGGTGTGTCCAGGTGCATCGGGCGCGTCCTGGCGGCTCCCAGGCGAGGTCCGTGTAGGTGGGTGCGCGGCTCGTGGAGAGCCCCGTGGCGCTGAGAGCAGCCTCCCCGGGGATGATGACAGCCAGGCGACCGAGGGTCCTGGGCCGGCTGGAAAGAGCCTGGGCGAGGAGCCCGCAGCTCGGGAGCGTCTCAGGAACGGGGAGGGGGGGTGGGCGGCGGCTGGCAGGGAGCTGGGACGCATAGGCTGTCTCAGCTCTGTTCTCATTGTGGCCTAGGACGCCGCTGGGGCCAGTCTGGGAAGAGGAAGAGCCGACAGGGTGTGACTGGGGCCTCGTCGTCTGTAACTTGGCGGGGAGCAGCCGTCGTGAGGGGTGGGCCGGCCACAGAGCTTTTGCCTGCGTAACAGGGTTTAACTGCGCACGTCCTGCCTTCGAACACACATCTCCCCCCGCCCCTCCCCCGACCACCCTTGGCCGCGGGACTCATGGTTCCGGGCACCTGCGGGGAAGGGTCACCGGAGGATCACAGGGTTGCACCGGAGCGGGGCTCTGTAAAGTTGGCTGTCCCCTCCGGCCCGTGGTGCATGGGTGGTCCCGCAGGACGGCTGCACGGTGGGAACGGCGCACGCGTGGACCGGAGAGCTTCCGGGGTTAACACCCCGTCCCCGGAGTAAGGCCCCGTCCGACGTAGGACGGCTTTTGGGCCCCAGAGAGCAGCGGTGCTGCCGGATGGAAGGGCCACCCGACTCCCCGCCGCCTGGGGTTTGGGCCCCTTCCGTTCACCCGGCAGGGCCGTGGGGTCCGATTCATCAGAGTTTGCTGCCCTCACGGCCTCAGGCCCCATGGAGCCCTGTGGACGCGAGTCCCTGCTGGGCGGGGAGCCGGGCTCGGCAGGATGTCAGGCGTCCGGTGCCGCTGCTCTCGTCCGTCCCACTTCCCTGAGAGCGGGGCCTGCTGTCAAAGCCGCCTTCCCGTCTGTCCTGGGAACCTCACACGAGGACTCGAGCTGCCGAAGTGGAGACTCAGGGGGTCGAGCGAGCCCCCAGGCCTCCCGTCACCCCCACGCCCTCGCTCCCCTGTGAGCTGTTAGCCACCAGCCAGGCTCTAAGGGGTGGTGGGTCGGAGAGGCGGCCCCTGTGCCCTGCGGTTGCTGGGTGAGAGCGGCGGGCGGCTCCCGCCTGCACCGTGGGAGCTCAGACGTCAGCAGAGGCCTGTGCACCAGGGGTGTGGGCGCGAAGGGTGCGGGGTGTCTTGGTGGTCACAGTGGGGCAGGTGGGCGTTTAGGGTCTTGCAAGCGACAGGACAGTTCTGCGCAGCGAGGAATTGTCCAGCCATGGGCCAGCCACCACATTTGGAAACTCCCTGTGGGCGCCACACTCTGGTGGGAGTGGGGGGGTGGAGCCTGAGATGCGCGGGCGAGGCCGCCCGGCTCTCCGCACGGCACCCGGGCGGCCTCCCGAGGGCAGTTGCCTCTCCCAGGTCAGCTTCCTGCCGGCCGAGCTGACGTCCGTCCAGGCTGCCGGGGTCCCCAGAGACTGACTTGGAAGTTGCGGCCACAGAGACAGAGGCTGCGTGTGGCGGTGGCAGGGCCTTGACACTGTGGGGCGGGAGAGTGTCCCCCTTCCCTGCGAGGTTCCGGGGCGGTCTCCTATTTAAGTGGACGTCAGACAGAGTGACGAGAGAAAGTCACCTAATTACATATGTGGAGCCCTTCACCACGTGAGGCTCAGAGGTGCTCAGCATGGGACGCTTTTCCACCTTTGAGACAGAGGAATGGTGTGCGCTTGGGGGTGATTGGCAGGGGTTTGGGCGGGGCCCCGGACGGTGAGGGAGGAACGCGGTGTGTGTGCGCGGACTTCTCCGCCCTGCGCCCCCGTCCCTGGGGCCGGGGTGCCACCCGCCCCCTCAGTGGGGAGGGCACCTTGCTCAGGGGAGGTTCCTCCCCTGCTCTCAGGGGGATGCAGGAGGGTCACAGGGTCCTTTTTGCACCGGCTGTTCTCAAGCAACTTTAGTTCAAGGTCACGACTGTGCCCGAGGGACATGCTTCGGGGTGACATGTTCGCTCTCTCTGGCACCTTTGAACGTCTGACTCCGCACCGGAGCAGGAGCCGATGGCTGGCCCGCGTGGCCGAGCAGCTCCTCGCAGTCGGTGATGACCGTGCCTGTGGGCGGCCCTGTGAGCAGGCCAGGCCCTCTGCAGGCAGCCCTGCCCTTGTGGGCAGCACTCAGCAGCCGACGCCCTTCCCGAGACCGACGTTCGGAGCCGGGATGGGACAGACTGGCGTTGTCGGTGGTGCTGGGCTCAAGGGCGCGAGTGTGGTCTCGCGGGGCAGTCAGCAAGCTGGGGTGCACAGCGCGACCCGGGCGGCAAATCCAACCCAGCCTCCCCAGGAGCCTAGTGCCCCCACTCTGCCCTCCCCTTCACAGCCACTGGTCCTAAGGACGCCCGTCTCTCGCCCCGGAACACTGCACGCAGATGCCTGTCAGCGGCCTGCTGGACCAGGGCCCCGGAGGAGGAGGGAGAAAGCAAGACGCCTGGGGCCCGCCCCCTCAGCGGCCGCCACGGCAGCCTCGGCTCTGCCTGGGGCAGGGCCTGGGCTGCGGCGATGGGGTCGGTCGGCCGGGAGAAAGGCAGGGGCCAAGGCCGGGGCCTGGGGTGGGGACCGGAAGTGGACCACCAGCCTGCGCTCAGATCACAGCAGAAACACAGCCAGCTCATCTGCGGGGCCCTTCCCGCTGCGTGGTTTCGACTCAGCCGCCGCCTCCTTGCCGCGTCTTCGCTGGAAACTGCTGGGGCCGACTGGCGTGCGTGCTGCTGAGCAGTGGGTCACCGCCATGGGCACTGGGGCCAGGGCGCCTTAGCACCAGGGCACCGCTGGCTTCTGCCGGGGACCCTGGGGGACGAGAGAGGACTGGGGGGTGCCCTGCAGAGCCGCCGTCCTTGCCCCGTCCGGTTCCTGCTCTCTCTACCGTGCTTCCCTGCTCGCCTGCTGGCTCCTTCCACATCTTTAAAATTCAGACGCGCACATGCCGGCTCATTTTGTTTGTTCTCTTCTTATGCTTTTGAATAGCCCCTCCTGGGTTTCCTTTACTGAGCCTCCTTTGGTCGGTGCTTGCTTGGCTCTCTGGGGGAGCAGGCGGCTGGAACGGGCAGGCGGAGGTGGTCCGTGGCACTTCCTGTGTGTGGATGGCTCCCCGCACGGAACGCCGCAAAACGCGGTGGTTCAGCCCCCGAGAAATCACTGGCCGGGGATCTGCAGGCCCTCGCCCGGGGGGACTCTGCGGCTCAGGAGCTGCCTGCGGTCGGTCTTCACACGGATTCGCCGAGGGGGCGGCTCACTGCCGCCTCTTGGGCAGGAAAGTGCATGAAAACAAAGATGTCGATTCCCTTTCTTTTCCCTCGGTCAGGGTTTTATTGGTGCACAGGGGCTTCCCCGGGGGCGGGCCGTGGCCGCGCTGTGGGCTCGCAGGCCAGCGCAGGGCAGACGCCGCCGGCCCTGCAGGCGTTCCTGCTGCGGGGACGCCCCGGAGGAGGGGCCTGGAGGGGCTCTGGGGCTGCCCTGCCTCTGCCCCTGGGCGACACCCTTGTCCAGCGCCCGCACCCCATCCCGCCTCCCCCGTCCCACGGCAGCCTCCCGACGCCCCGCCCCGCCGCACGGTGTACGCGCCCGCCGGCCGCCCCTCTGCCGGGGCAGCATGCGCAGGCTCCCGCGGGGCCCGGCCTCGGCCCCCCGCTCGGGCACTTCTTCCTCAGACACCTGGGGGCCGCCCTGCCGGGAGCGGTGCCGCCCCCGTTCTGGAGCTGGTTCCTCACCTGCTTCTGCCCCGTGCCTTCTCTCTCTCTGTTGGCTTGTTTTAAGTGCCCCCCCACCCGCCCCTGAAATGCAGGACCTTCCTGTTTGCTCCCCTCCTGTGTCATGTGCCCTGGGAAATGGGCCGTCCCTGTGGTCGGTCTTGGTGCTGCGCACGCGGTGCACGTGTAAACCCCGCGCTCAGAGGCCACGGGGTGAGGGGTCAGAGGCCTGAGGGGCTGCCTTCGTTGGGGGGGGGGTGCGCAGAGGCGGTGCTGCGCGGGGAGGAGGCAGTTGGCGGCAGGGAGGGCGGGAGGGGAAGGCTCGGGGACCGAGTGCAGCTGAGGGGTCAAGAAGGACAACGGCGGAAGAGCTCCCGTTGGGTTTAGGGTGTGGCGGCCGTAGGTCCTCGATAAGTCGCTCCAGGTGTGCGAGCTTGTGGAGTGTCCAGCGGCAGCGGGTTGAAAAGCGAGCGTCAGAGAGACGGGGAGGCTTTCATCTGCTGGTCGTCTGGGGCCCCAGCGGTGATGATAGTCTTCAGCCAGTGGCCACCACGACCTGAAGGGAGAGAGCGGCCCGATCTGGGGGCACGTGAGGCACGAGTGAGTGACGGCGGCTCCCTGCTGCCGCCTGCGCTGCTGAGCAGGGCGCTGGAGACCACGGGGCGTGCGGGCTCAGACCTGTGTGTCCCCTCTGTGAGTCTGCACAGCTGCCAAACGAGGACGCCGGAAGCCACCCTGCCCGGCCCCAGGCCTGTTGATGTGGCCAGAGAGGCAGTGACCCTGGTGGTGCTCCGTGGCCTGTGGGGGACAGCAGGAGGCAGAGCCACTCTGCTGGCCCTCACGTGGCCCTGGGGTCCTTCCCTACAGCTTCCTGAACAACGTGGGCTTCTTCTTCCCCCTGATCATGGTGCTGACGTGGGTGGTGTCGGTGGCCAGCATGGTCCGGAGGCTGGTGCACGAGCGCGAGATCCAGCTGGACGAGGTGCGTGGCCCCGGGCTTGCCCGGGAGAGGGGCTCCTCCCGCCTGCCCTGTGCCGGGCCCGTCCTGGGAGAGTCCCCGTGGGTCTCACACCCACCCGAGTTGAGCGGGCATGTCCTCTCCGGGGGAAAGGGAGCAGAAGGCACAGGCAGGGACAGAGGGGAGCCCACGTAGCTCCGTGAGCAGGTGTCAGACCCCCAGAAAGACATGGCTCCCGGCTTTCCCATCGTAGGTGGTGGCTGGAGCTCCTCAGGCTCAGCCTTGCTGCTGTCGCCCTGGTGTTTGACAACTCAGGCTGTCAAAACTGCTTCTAAGAATGAAAGTTCATGGAGGTCCCTGGGAAAACCCACCTCCCCTCAGGGGGGAAGAGCGCGGCCGTGGGCGGCAGGTGGGCGTTGGCTCCCGGGGGACTCACCAAGCGGAGGGGGGCCTGGCCGGCGCAGGGAGCCTGGCCCCAGCTCGTGGCAGCGCTTGCCTGCTGCTGTGCACGCGGCTCCCGTTGCCCGCGCGACTCGTGCTCGGTTCCTGTGTTTCTTCCCTGATCCCGCCGGGCCCCTGGGCCGGGGGCCTGGGGTGACGGCTCGTCTCACGGGCACCGCTGCTGCCGCGGCCAGCGGTCGTTCTCAGCGGTGCTTGGAGGTGCTGCGGCGCTGGAGACGAGCAGACGGCAGGGCCAGCGGGCAGGTCGGTTTTATTGCCCTGCTTTGAGCTGAGTCACTCAGCGAAGCGCCTTCTAAAGCCTGTGCGATGTTCCTCCAAACTTAGGGAACAGTGTTTCCCCTTTTGTTTTTCTCTTTATCTTTATGAAAAACCATCACAATCAAAATGAAAGACAAAAAAGAAATGGAACTGAAAACACGAGCGAGCAAACACGCGAGCCTGTGGCCGTCAGCCGGAGGCCTGCACCGCACTGAGCCTGCCCGTGCGTGGCCTGGCGCACGGGAGCTGGCTTTCCCGCGGGCCCACCTCCCTCGGCTCTGCCTGCCCTGCGTCGGAGGCGGCCGCCTCTGGAAGGGTCCCGAGAGCGAAGGCAGGGCTGTGGGAGGCAGCGACCCATGCACTACCCGCGAGGCGGTCAGCACCGCCCGCCCGCCCCCCGCCAGCCCTCTCTTCCCGGATCTCTCCGGCCCTCCTGCCTCAGTGCCCTGCTGGGCTAACCAGGGACTCCCTTCTCCTGCAGTACCTGAGCATGATGGGGGTGCACCCCGCCACCCACCTCCTGGCCTGGTTCCTGGAGAGCGCGGTGGTAGTGACCATGGGCAGCGCCGCCCTGGCCGTCGTCCTGAAGGCCAGCGGCATCTTCGCGCACAGCGATGCCCTCGTGGTCTTCTTCTTCCTGCTGGACTTCGGGGTGTCGGTCATCACACTGAGCTACCTGCTGAGCGCGCTGTTCTGCCGGGCGGGCACAGCCGCCCTCTGCGGCAGCCTGCTGTACGTGGCCAGCTTCCTGCCCTACGCCGTCCTGCTGGTCCTGCGCGGCCAGCTGAGCGCCGCCGCCGAGGCCTGCCTGGTAGGTGGGCTGCTGGGTAGAGCGCCCGAGGACACAGCAGTGCTCCGCCCGGCAGGGCGGTCACCGCCCGCCCCTCTGAGCCGTCTTCCCAGTCACGCGGCGTGGACTGCCCCCCGTGCCGCCGCAGACGCGCGCCTGGCTGTGGGGGCTCGGGGCCTGGCGGCAGTGTGGCCGGGAGGGCACCGGCAGCCCGGAGCTCGGGCGTTGCTCAGGGGACAGGTCTGTCTGGTGAGGGCTCTCGGGGCAGTTGCCGGCATCGACGAGGAAGCCCAGGACTCCAGTCTCTTTGTGTCACATGTGGAAAGAAATGGATTTCCACAGCTACTTCAGAAGTAAACAATCAGCGCTTTTCTTGAGCATCACGCATCGCCTCACATTAAGTGGAAGGACCTCTCCCTGAGTCACTCGCCCACTTAAAATGCACCCCCGGGACTGCGCCAGAGCGGGCTCCGGCCCCGGCACGGAGCGCGGAGGGGATGGGGGCCTCTGTGCGGCTGTCCCTGGCAGCGCAGCGCGGGCCGCGGGGCGGGGACTCGCTGCGTGTGGGCGGGATGAGCAGATCCCCGGTGAGACGGCCGCGCGTTTCCAGAGCCAGGCCAGGGCTGCGGCCGCCGGGGCCATGAGCACGGTTTCGCTCTTCTTGCAGGTTGGGCGGGCCCCTCAGGTGGCCGCTGCGCCCGCCCTCGTTGGGGAGGGGCCCTTCTCTGCTTGTTTCGGGCCATAGGGTGAGACAGTCGGTGACGAAAGCCCAGTTGCCCCCCTCCAGCGTTAGCAGACCTGCCGCGCCCCGTGTGTCCCACCGGCCATGCACCTGGCTGGGGCGGGGCGCCCTGTTCCTTCAGCAGGCCAGCCACGGCTTCACGCTCAGCGTGTGAGCGGCTCACGTCACACCTGTAAAAATGCATAACCCACGCTTCTGGGTTAGCGCTAATGAAGTGTTTCGGAGTAATTGCTGCCTCCTGGCCGGTTGGGGCCCCGGATACGCCTCCAGGCAGAGAAAGGGAGGTGGGAGCCCAAGGGACTCCATGCCTGCGAAGTCCACTTGCCTTTTGCTCCAGCGGGGGAGGCGCCTAACTCCGGCACATTGCGTGTTTAAAATGAGCCGCCCTTCCCGTGGCTTTCTCCTGCCTGGGGGTCCTGCACTGGAAGGGAACAGGTTTCCCTTCAGCACGCTGTCTTTCTGGTGCAGAACAGCGTGCGCTCCGCTGCCCACTCGCTGTGTGCCCTGGGGACCTGCTGAGCAGTGGACAGCAGTAAATGCTCAGCCCACGCCCCGCTGCCGTGCGCTGCCACGTGGGCACAGCGCAGGGGATGTGGGGCCCCTCAGGCACCCAGCCAAGAGAAACCATTCCTTTTAATGTGGAAAACTAGCTTGTTGCCACGTGTGTTTTCAAGCAGGCTGACAGCAGGCGAGGCTTTGGGCTCAGGCGCTGCCTAGTTGCCGCCGCGGGCCGAGGGGGACCGGTGGCTTCTCAGCTCGGAGGCGGTGCTGCGGGCCCGTCTCGTGCTGACAGGCTCTTTTCTCTCTCCACCGATGCGCAGTGCCTCCTCTCCACAACCGCCTTCGGACAAGGAGTGTTTTTCATCACGTTCCTGGAAGGGCAAGAGGCAGGTGAGAAGGCGCATTTTAAAAGAGTGACTCTCAGTGATTCGGGTCGTGGGAAATTTATCATTGTCCCGTGGCCAGCAGGACAGCGGGAAGTCTTCATTGCAAAGCTGAGCATTTGGAATGGGACCTGGCGTCTGGCGTGGCTGAGGGACCACTGCCCGTGGCTGGTGGCCCTGGTTCAGGCACAGTCAGAGCGGCCATGCGCCCGTGGTTCTGCCGCCACCTGGCTCCACCTGCCGGCTAACCCACCATGGCGGCTCGGCGGCCGCGGCCACTCAGCGGCTTCCGCGCTCTCCCAGGGACGGTGCGCGCGTGGCCCCCGTGCGGGGCGGGCGCTCTCCCGCTGACCCCGACATCCGGTGTCTCAGCCGCGCTCCCCGCCGCCCGTTCTAACCCTCCCTCTCCCGGGTCGGCCGCTCGCAGGCCGCCTGTCTCGTCTGCACGCCGGACCCTCTGGGCCTCCTGTGAGGCCGCGGCCCACGCGCAGAGTGAGCCGGGTGGATGGCGTGCGGCCCTCGCCTTCGCCTTCTGTGCACTTTGTCCCTATTCACTCAGCCTGACGCGGTAGTTCAGGAATTGGTTCGCAGCATTTTTCACTTACGTAGAGATTTTGACAGCGCACTTCTCAAGCCAGGACAGACCCATTTCTTGCACGTTTGTATGTTTTTGTGGTGTGTTTCTGTAAACACTCACAGGTGAAATGCGTGAGCAAGTGCACCTCGACTCCAGCCACTGCGGTGCTGGCGCTCGGCACCGGCCTTGAAGTCCTCAGACGTCTGGGTGACCCCGGCGAACTGCTCTAAGTCCCGAGGACGGGCCGTGCCGAGCGCGCGCCTGCGCGGTCCTCCCCTGCACCCAGGCGGCCCCCCGACACGGCGCAGGCGACACCAGGCCGCGTTCTGTCCTCCGAACACTTTGACTAAATTCCAACAAGCACACAGTGTTAAAGCATTTCCTTTATTGGGGCCTAGGCTCGTACCATAGGGAAACTGAGCGAATGGAGTGTTCTAATGTAGGTTTTGATCCAGCAATAAGTTGCAAACATGTAATAATGATTATTTTCCATTTCAGATTTTCTGTCCTGTTTATGTATTTTCTAAGAGCAGAGAGAATAAGATAATTTAGGAGTTGGGATTCTCAAGGAGCCTTCTTTATCTTTTTTTAAAAAAAAAATAACATGTTTATTTTCTCTAAATATGTAAAGCAAGCTTTAAAAATTTTGAATGTTAGATATTCAAATGCTAGTGGTCACGCCGCCTGTATCACTGAATCAGGTCGTGGGGCTAACAAGCTCTCGCTCCTTTGGAGAGTGTGGCCCATGGCCTTGGCCTCCATTTGCCGGCGCTGCCGTGGGCTCTGCTGGAGGCTGCAGGGCCGACCAGCCCCCCTCGCCCCTCTGGGCTCTGACTCTGCCGCTCCCTCCCTCCCTCCCTCCCTCCCTCCAGGGGTCCAGTGGGGCAACGTGGACCAGGCCCCGGAACTGGCGGGCCTGACGTTCCGCTGGGTGTGCTGGGTGATCCTGCTCGATTCGGGCCTGTACTTCGTATGCGGGTGGTGCCTGAGCAGCCTGACTCATGGTAAGAGCCCGACCCTTTGTCAGATGGGAAAGTGAACGTGAAGACAGTGTGTGCCCGTCCCATCTCCGCACGGCTCTTCCTTTGGGCCCGTTCACTGGGCGCCGGCCCTGAGGGCCTCAGGGGAGTGCAGCGAGGGGCCCGCAGTGGCCCCGGGTCAGGCTGCGGGGAGGGAGCCCCGGGCTGTGCCTGGTCCGCGCAGGGATGTGCGTGGAACCTGCTGGCGCCGGATAAAACGTCGTATTGATTAGGAGGGTCTGTCACCGAACCTTCTCCTGAAGAGAAAAGTAGCTGGACTGCCGCGCTGGGTGGTGCCGTGGGTCGGAGCCTCGTCCCGTGCCCCGGAAGGCTGCGGCTCGGGTCCTGGGCCGGGCCCGCGCCCTGGCGTGGGTTCGATGCCTGCTGGGGGCGCGCGCAGGGGGCAGCCCATCAGAGCTGCTCTCTCCCATCGCGGTTTCTCTCTCTCCCCTCCCCTCCCCTCCCCTCTCTCTAAAAGCAATGAAAAACGCGTCCTCAGGTGGGGACGCAAAGGAAAGGACGCAGCCAGGCTGACTCGCCTGGTGCCCTGTTTTCCAGGGGCCTTCGGTCGGAGGAAGCCCGGGCGCTCCCTCTTCCCCGCGTCCTGCGGCAGGGGCGCGTGCGGCTGGGCGGCCCAAGGGCGCCGCGGCCTGTGGGCCGGCCGGCTCTTCCGCAGCGAGGCCTCGGGCCCTGGAGGTGGGTAAAGAGCAGCGCGCGGGATACGTGTTTTCCTTCTCGTGGGCTCCGTTCTGTTTTCCTCCCAGTCGAGCCTTTGTGCCTGGGTGCGTGTTTCCCGGCCCACGTGCAGGCCGCCTTGGGCTCAGAGACAGGGTGACAGGGACGTGGCCAAGTGCTGAGAGAGCCCCCTGGTGGTGGTCACGCTGTCGGGCCAGGGCCCCTGTGCGGCGCACCCCTCCCCGCCCCCGGCCCCCTGCCCCACGTTGCTCACAGCCCCTGTGTGTGTGGGTTGTGTGCATGGGTGGGCACTGGATTAAGCCCAGAGCCTGCGAGGCCGAGGGTCGTCCTGAAAAGGGGGGCTTATTGAGCCACGAGCGGCCAGGGGGACCAGGTGCTGGGGCTCCAGCCCGGTCCCCAGCCGCAGGGCTGGGTGGAGCCGACAGCGTGACCCCGGCCTGGGGACGACGGGCTCTGTCGCACGGGGTTTGGCGGGGGAGGGGTGCACGCGGCTTGGGAAGAATTTGCAGTGGCTCTAGGTGAGGGCCCGATGGGGTGAGGCAGAGGGAGTTCTGGGGCAGGCGGGCTGTCCGCAGGAGAAGGAGCCCGCTGCTTCTGGGCTGGCCGTGGCGGCCCTGGGAAGCCCACGTGCAGACAGGGCGCGGTGGCGCCTGGTGGCCGGCTGTTCTCTCGGAGAACCGTGGGCCCAGCGCCTGGACGCCGGTTCGGCGCTCAGGTGCTGTCAGGAGCGCGAGCCGGCTCCTGTGCGGCCCCCGCAGCGGCTGCTGTCCGGGGTAGGACACCTCGGAGGTTTTCTCTGGCCACCTGTGGGTCAGTCTGGCAAAGCTCCCGTCCCCGGTGAACCTGTGTAAACAGTAGAAGCAAAGGTGGGCGGCCAGCAGGGGCAGGGCACCTGGGGTCCCCTGAGTGTGTCCCCGGGGACGGCGCGCCCCTGCCCCTGCCAGGGTGGGGAGCTGCTCCCAGGGGCAGGGCCCCCCGCACCGTGGTCGTGGCTGCCCTGGGCCCGCCCCCGAGGACGACCCAGCGGGACCGGTGAGAGCACAGGCCCCGCCAGACGGGTCCGTCCCGCAGGCCAGCACTGCGGTGACGGCGTCCTCGTGACGCGAGTGGGACGCGGGCCTTTGAGAAACTTCGGGACAGCGAGGCCTGTGACCTCCCACCTCCGCGGGAGGCCGCTCCTGGGGCCTTGCGCTGTGGGGCTGCCTGCGGGCGGCTGCCGTCTGCGTGGCTGCAGGCGTGTGCGCTCCGGTCCCCTCGCACGAGGGCAGCGCAAGGGCACAGGCCTTTGTAGTCGGAGGGGCGCTTGGCTTTCGCCTCCCCCCACCCGCCACTGGCCCCTCGACGTGGTGAGGAGCGAGCCAGAGCTCAAGTGCAAGGCCTCCAGGGGAGGGCCGCGCGGGGCGGGGGCCTGGACGTCACCTGCGTGCCTTTGCACCTTCCTCACAGGCCCGTCCCCGCCACGCAGGAAGGAGGAGCAGGAAGGAGGCGCCCCAGGGGTCGCCCTGCTGTCGGTGACCAAGCAGTATGGGCTCCACAAGGCGGCCGTGCGGGACCTGACCCTCACCTTCCACAGGGGCCAGATCACCGCCCTGCTGGGGCCCAACGGCGCCGGGAAAAGCACCGTGCTGTGCGTGCCGCCCCCGGGGAACCCGGGGCTTCTGTCCTCGGGCGTCGGCGTGCCTGGGAGGCGGGAGGCCGGGTGTCCTTCCCGCGCTGAGTCTCAGCAGCGGGGTCAGTCGGGGGCCCCTGGCTCCTGGCGGCCTGCGAGGCCATGGCCGGCGCCTGGAGGCTGGAGACGAGCTGCTGTGGACACACGAGCGGTAGCCGTGTGCTCGCGTTACCGTCACTCACGTGAGCGCCCAGGAGAGGACCCGCCAGGTCCTGTGGGCGGGGTGTGCCTGGTGTTCAGAAGTAAAGAGGTAGCGGGGAAGCAGTTGCGAGTGTCAGGCATAAGCTCCCTGAAGCAGCAGCGGCGCGGGCAGGCCTCGGGGCCCGGTCTGTCAGGCGGGGTCTCGGGGCTGCTGCGCGCATTGTCACGGGTTTGGCGTGGACGGAAGGCGGGGAGGTGGCAGAAGGAGGGCCTGCCCGTGCCCGGACCTGAGCCTGGGGACTCGGGGGCGTAGGCCGCCTCCCTGGCCTCTTCTGTCATCTGTGAAAACGGAGCGGGGTTGCGGTCCAGACCCCGTGCCGCCGCGCTGGTCTGTGACCCCAGCACGTCCTGGGGCGCAGGCGCCTGAACCTGAGCCCACGTTTCTGAGGTGGGGCCGACACCGCTGGGCTCCTGCAGGCCCCCAGCCGGGGCAGAGGGCAGGGTGCCGCGCGGCCGCACTGTCCCCGCTGACCGGCCGTCTCTGCAGGGCCATGCTGACGGGGCTGCAAGCTCCCACTTCTGGCACCATCCTCATCGACGGCAGGAACCTGCACACGGACTTGCCCGCAGTCAGGAAGGAGCTGGGCGTGTGTCCTCAGCGGGACGTCCTGCTCGACCGCCTCACCGTCCGGGAGCACCTGCTGCTCTTCGCGTCCCTCAAGTCGCCGCAGTGGACCTGGGCGCAGCGGCGGCAGCATGTGGACGCGTGAGTGGGGGTCCCCTCTGTGCCCAGCCCTGCCCGTATGGGTGAGTGGGGGGGCCAGAGAGAGATGCTTCCCAGCGTCTTTATTACGGGAAGAAAAGTTAGCGACTGGTTCTCGACTGGACTTCTGACACCGCTGCCCACACTGGGATCGCCGGAGAGGCCCCGGGGCGGGGTGGCGTGGACCTGGACGTGTCCTTGAGGTGGGGGCGGAGGCTGTCGACAGAAGCTTGCACTGGGGACGTGGGTTCCGGTGGGAGCCCTGAAATGGAACGTGCAGGGGGGTAGGGGCCGGGCGTGAGGGGCTGAGGGGTGGGGGCGTCGTCCTGCAGGAGGGTGACCCCGAGACCAGGGCACCTACCTGTGACCAGAGCAGAGGCAGAACCCGGAGCGGCTGGAGACATGGCCCTGAGAGCAAGGGGTGGGGGAGGGGCTTGGGAGAGGCAGTGCTGACCAGCCCACGTCTGGGCGGGGGTGGGGGGTGTCCTGGTGGAGGGTCAAACAGCGCCCTGGGAGAGCAGCGCAAGGGGACCCGCGGGGGGAGCCGGCTGAGACTGGGAGGCGGAGCCCGCCGTTGGCCAGGGCAGGCGAGGGGCGGAAGGTCTTCCCAGCGGGGACAGGAAGGAGCTGGAGCAGGTGGGCGAGGAGGAGCCGCGCTCCCTGGGCAGCAAGCAGAGCGGCACTTCCCGGGACGAGCTGGCAGGACGGGCTGGAGGGGGCCGTGGCCGGGGATGGGGGACCTCGGCCTCGTGCCGGTGCCGCTCCCCACGTGTGGGCGGCTTGTGCCCCATGGCAACGCGTGTCCTCGGCCTCGTCCACCGCACATGGCAAAGCGGGGCCGAGCCAGGCTGCCCGGCGGGAGGAGGGGCGCCTGTCGGTGCCGATGTGAGCCGGCGGCGCCCGCCTGGGGACGGTGGGGGCTTGCGGACCCCTCCACGCCTGCCGGGGGTTCTCCCAGAAACGGGCCCGCAGGCTTCGCGGTTAGGGCGAGGGCCTGCCTGTGCGTGGGCGAAGGCGGGAGCTTGTGGGCGGTGGGTGCTCTGTCCTTGGTGGTGGAGCTGTGCCCTGCGCCGCCAGCCCCACGGCGAGGACAGGGACGCTCTTCAAGGTGTCACCTGGGTCACATTCCTGGCAACCCAGGGATGCCTCTCAAGTGGCACTGGGCCACGGGCCCTGCCCTCCGTGTGGCCGCCTGCCCCCTGCTTTGCGCGTCTACCTCTGTCTGTCGCCTCGCCTGCCCGGAGCGCCAGCCCCGCCCCGCCCCGCCCCGCCTGCTGCTTCCTGTCCCCAGCCCCCGCCCCGCGGGCCGGCCCGTGCGGGGCTCGGCTGAGCTGCGAGCCTGGTTCCTGCGCCCCGTCTCCGTGCGAGCGCTGACCGCGGGTGCCCGCTCACCGGGAAGGCGTGGCTCTGCCCTGTGGCGCCTGCCATCAGCGTGGGCGGGCCAGGCTGGGACGTGCCCGCGCGCCACTGAAGGGCTCGCAGGCTGATGCAGCCCAAGTTCTCTCCGGAAGTCACAGCCCGAGTGTTGTAATTGAGAACCGCGTCTGCTCTGGATGACCGCAAAGTCCACGTGACTGGGTGTAAAATCGAGTTCCTGACCACGCTGCATGGCTTCGTCTCCCACCTGGGTGCAGGCGGCCTGCGTCGTTGTCAGTCCGGTGCCTGTTACCTGGCAACGGAGGCCATTCAAACCACGGCGGCGAGAGTGAGTGCCCGTCTAGGACAGCAGCTCCTGGTCCCCAGCTCCAGGGAGGGGAGCTGGGCCACCGTTGTCTTCCTTAACGTGCAGCCGCATTCGAATGTGAGTTCGGGGCCACAGGCCCCCGGGGGCCTTTACGGTGAGCCTTTGTCAAGACCCGGGTCTCGCTGTTTTGCGTTTAATCGGCCTGGAGAAAGAGGAGTCTGGGAGAGACGCCAGCCGGCAGGACGTGGTTGCGCGGCACAGTCAGCGCCTTGGTCCCGGCGGCTCCCTTCCGGGGGCTCCTCTTGGCGGCTGCGTGGCTTGGTGGTGAGATGTCGGGGGGTGTGCGCAGGGGCACAAGAACAGAGGGCGCTGGACTGAGCCCTGGTCACTCGCCCGAAGAGGACACAGCACTGAGCGGGCCGGCCGGCGGGCCGGGAGGAGAGGGCACCGGGGTGGGGCCAGGTCGGGAAGCGGGTGGCCGGGGTAGCAGGCGCCATGCAGGTCACGGCAGGGGGCACGGGGCGGCGGCCTGGGCGGCCGGGCGCTGGGGCGCAGTGACGGTGGTCAGCACACCTGCCGTGGCGCGCCGGGCACGAAGGCCCCCGTGGGGTCTGCTCGAAGGGCCTGGGAGGAGCCCACAGGGAACCCTTCCTCCTGGGAGTCTGGCCGCAGAGGAGCCGTGAAACAGGCGCCGTGAAGGCCGGCGGCGAGGCCCGGGGTGGGCTCTGCAGGGGCGGCGGCGAGGCGGAGGGCGCAGGGCGGGCGGTGGGCGCTGGGCTGTGACCCAGAGAGGTGGGGGTGGGGGCTGGCGGGCACGGTGGTCGGAAGAGGGCGCCTGTCGCCCTCCGCAGCTGCTGCGGGCGGGGTCAGGCCGGGCGTGGCCTGGCTGTCAGCCCCCCGAGGCCGGGTGGAGGTCAGAATAAACAAACGCAGGGGTTTGGGGCTTAACATAAAAATGCTATCCGGACGCGCGTGTCTGAGAACACCTGACTTCCAGCTGCTGGGACTCTGGTTTCTCAGCTGAGGGGTCTCTGGTTAAAGTGACTGAGGGGGACCTACCAGTCACCTCCTGGCGGAGGGGGGCTGCCCAGGTGGGGTGGTCTTGGTGGCGGAGGTGGGGAGTGAAGGGTCAGGATGTCCGGCTGCTGAAAACGAGCGTTTGTCCCACCGGCTCAGCTGGGGTGCCGTCAACAGTGCCGGGCTGGGAGCAGGGATGTGAGTCGCTGCTCTGAGCTCAGGCAGGACGGCCTGGCGGTGGCCTGGTGGGCATGCGCTGGGCCGGGGGGCGCAGGAGGCTGGCCACTGAGAGGCCGGGGTCCCCATGGGAAGCTCCTAAATCACTCAACCGACACGGAACATTTACTCAGTGATCGGGGCAAATCCTTGGGGTTTAGGGGTCTGGAACTTTCTAGGGCCCAGTGGTTCTTGAGGCCCAACTGCGGGGGATCCCTCCAGCTCCTGTCCCTCCCGCCTCCTGTCAAGTGCTCCCTGGCACTCGGGGACTCTGTGCTCTGGGCCGGCTTCGGGAAGGCCGTGCCGGAAGTGGGGTTCCAGCTGCGTGGGGGGCCTGGGCGAGGGACAGGAGGGGCCGCGGCGGGGGCAGAGTTGACGCGGCTCCGTGGGGAGAGCGGACTGTCCTGTGAGGAGGGCGTGGGCCCCGAGGAGGGGCTGGCGCCTGCCGTGGGAGCCTGCTTTGTGCCGGGCACCTGGGGACCTGGGGGAGGGGGCGTGTTCCCAGTGTTGGCAGCTGGGCGTTCACACTGCGCACGTGGGTTGCTGGGGCCACATCCCAGCCCCTCAGTCAAGACGGTGACTGGCACAAGTCGGTGCTGGGGGCCCAGAGGCCAGGCCTCCCCTCACGCCCCCCCGCAGCGTGAGCGGTGGAGCTGGGCCCTGCCTTCCCTCCTGACCACGGGCTTGGAACTCAGCCTCGGCTGCCCTCCGTCGTGGCCCCGGGCCTGCTGGCCCTGGCGAGGCGCAGCGGTGAGACAGAGACGCCGCTCCAGCGAGGTGCGCGCGGCTTTCCGGCCACCACCCGTGGCAGGCCCCGCGGCAGGGCGCACGAGGTCGGTGGCCCGGGTCCTCCTGGACCGCGAGGCGAGGGCCTCCTGCCCGCGTCCCTGGCTCACAGAGCCCGCAGTCGCTGCACGCCGCCCCTTGTGGAGGGACGTCCCCAGCGCAGCTCGGAGGGGCCCGGGAGTCAGCGGGGGCTGCTCTCGTTGCAGGACCCTGCGGGACTCGGGGCTCACGCAGCACCAGCACAAGCAGGCCCGCGCCCTGTCCGGCGGCCTGAAGAGGAGGCTGTCCATCAGCGCCGCTCTCATCGGCTCGCCGAGGACCGTGGTCCTGGACGAGCCCACCAGCGGGGTGGACCCCTGCTCCCGGCGCAGCATCTGGGACGTCCTCCTCAAGTACCGGCAAGGTGGGGTCGCGCTCCCGGGGCAACGAGCCGCGGGGGAGGCAAGTCGCGTGCGAAGGGAGGCGTGATCTTGTCCCCAAAGAGAGTCTCCCACGGGGCTGTGGCGTGCGTCTGTCGGGGGCCGCGCCTGCAAGGCGGGACTCACCACCTGGGCTCCGTCCGGAAGGTGCCGGCCGGGAGGGGTGTGTCCCCACTGGTTGCCGGTGACTCAGTCATCACTGACCGTCCACGCTGTCGTTCACCAGGAGCCCCAGGATGTTGGAAGGGGTGTCCGAGCTCCACCCTGGAGCAAGCCCCCCGCTCCTCGGTTGAGGAGACTGAGGTGCAGAGTGGGGTGCCAGCGGCAGGTGGGGGGAGCTCACGCGTGGGGGGCGGGCCTGGGCTGGGGGCAGGGAGAGCACCGCTCACTGCGCTGCTGTGTCCTCCCCGCGGGGCCTGGGACGGCAGCCGCTGGTCTGCGGGGGTCTGACTGAGAGGCGGCCCTGCTGCAGGTGCGCACACAGGCACCCCAGGTCTAGAAACGCCGGGCGGGGCGCAGCTCGGTCTTGCTCCACCGGGGGCGCTGCGGAGCCGCACCCGGCGTGGGTTTGCGTTTCCCTCCTGCCCTTTGAGTACCAGACCTTCTTGCGACACCTCCCTGGGGAGATCAGGGTTTGCAAGAACAGGGACCGGAAGGGACGCCCTCTCCCCCTTGGTGTGGGGGGACTGGAGTCACGAGGTTCCCTCCTCGGGGAGGGGTTGCTTCTCTGTCGCTTAGAGCTGCCTGAGAGCTGAGGTCAGGGAGGAGGAGGTGGCACGAAGGGACGTGAAAGGGCCCCTCTCTCTGTCCCAGAGCTTTCGGGGATGGCGGGAGGAGGAGACAGGCAGGGGCAGAGAAATCGGGCGAGCGGGCGTGGCGCCCCCTCCTCTCTGGGCGGGGCCGGGGTGGGCCTTTCCCCAAGATGCGTCAGCACATGGGCCCCCTGATACGGGGGTCTCCAGGCTGAGCAGAGCGCGGGGCCCAGGGAGGCCCCCGAGAGGGACTGGGTCGCCATGACCTGCCGTGAAGGGCAGGGTGGCCTCCTGCCGCGGAGGAGGCCTCGGCCAAGCCCTGGGCCGGCAGCCGGGTGGACGGAAGCAGGGCCGTGGGAGCAGGAGTGCGCCCTGACCCCCCCAGGGCCCCGCCCACCTCGGGCTCCTGCAGTGGGGGCGGGGCAGGTGGGCTCGCGGTTGTCCGGAGACCCTGGCCCTTCCCACGCTGCGCCCCGCACCCCTCGCCTCCCGGAAGAGATCACAGAGCTGCCCTTGCCCAGAGACAGAGGCGGCAGGGGCCACAGGCGTCGGACCGAGTGGGTGCACTGGCTCAGACTGGACCCGTGGTCCCCGCCCAGCTGCTCCGCGTGGGGCTGAGGGGGGAGGCGGGCGCGGACGTGGGTCCCAGGGCCCCTGCACGGCGTCTGAGCGCGCACGGATCGCTGCCAGCACACTGCTCCCTGTCATTCTGGGCCCCGGAGGCCCCGTCTCGGGTCAGCTGACAGCACACGTGAGCCTTGAGCGTAGAGGCGGCTCTACCCAGAGAATCAGCGAGGACAAAAAGGACCAGAAACAGGCAGCTTCGTTTGTACCCTGTTGTTATAAAAAAACCTCTTTCCCGCTGCCGGGGTGGCTTGGCACTGACCCCGGAAGTGGAGGCTCTTGTCCGGAGTGTCCTGCGCTGAGTGCCCTGCGGGGTCAACAGGCGTGGGCGCCCGTTAGAGAGGGGCTCTAGAAGGAAGAATGTTGTCACCGGTCAAAGTGGAGGGCGCTTCGGGAACCACCCTCACTGGCTCTGTGAGAGGGACCCAGGGCTCCCTGCTGTGCGGAAGGCGTGTCTCCATCAGGACTCCGGTGCCCTGGAGCTGTCGGGCGGGGTGCCTGGCGGCAGGGCTTGGGGGTGGGGCAGCATGCAGCCCCGCAGTGAAAGCCGCAGATTCCTCTGAGCTTCGTTTTCCCCAGGGCACGGGGGGCCAGGTGCCCCGTCCTGCGCGCCAAGGCACCGCTGCGGAACAGCCGCTGGGGAGGCCCGCGTGCAGGGACGCAGGGCAGCGAGGGCCCCCAGTGGGACCCCCATCCTTTCACGGCTCCTTACGTCCCGCAGGGGCCATCCTGGAGGAACCCCGAGAACGCCACCTACGTTCTCTAGGGCTTGAGACTCCTCTTTCCTTTTCAGTGACTCACTGTCTGGGAAGGTGCCCCCCGGTCTGCGGGGTGGCACTAACCAGAGCCCCCACAGCCCCGAGCGCCAGATCGGGGACTGGCGCTCTCCGCGCCCCGAAGGGCGTGCGTGCGAGTGGTCGGCCGCGGTCCCCGGGGCCCGTGGCGGGGGCCGGTGGTCGCTGTGGGGTCCGCAGGCATGCTTTCTCTTCCGATGCACCTGGTCTCTCTATCTTTCTTTTCTGTTAAAAGCATAAAATGAAGTAGAGTTGAAACCACGTTGAGCCTTTCCTCTTGGAAATTTGTTTCTGAGGTGAGATTCAGTGTTTGAAGGCGCGGGCCCCCTGGTGGCCCGTGGGGAACCTGGGAGCCGACCTCAAAGACACTCCGCCCAGGAGGGACCTGCGCCCCACGGAGGTGCTCTCCAGCGTCCCCGGCCTCGGTTCCCCCGCGGCGGGCCTGAGCCCTCTTCTTCCATCGCGCAGGGCTGCAGTGTGATGAGGTGGTGGAATTCACAGGGGACACGGGCGGTGGACGTTGGTTTCTGCTGGGCTCAGGGACGCGCCTTCTGAGATGGCCCCGCCCCCCCGCCACGCTCTGCGTCCGCCCCACCCCCACCACGCGTGATGACGGAGAGAGTCCTGCTCCGGCACCGCCCCTCCCCCGCTGTCCCACAGGCCGTCCCGTGTGCCACGGCCACCTCCGGCCGTCATGCAGCACCGTCCCGTTTCCTTGCCCGACAGCTGCTCCCCCCAAGTGTCCGTGAGATTGTCGTCTCACGGTGGGCGAGGGGGCCTGCGTGTCAGGAGGCACGGGGCTGCTCCCGGCGGCGCCCGGCGCGTGGTCGGGGTCCTGGAGGGCGGGGTGCAGGACTCGGGCGCCTGTGCTGGGGCCCCGGCCTCGGGCTCGGGAGGGAGGGAGGGCGCGCAGGCGCCGCGCGGCCCTGAGGGAAGCGGAGAGCGGCGCAGCGCCCCGGACCCGGGGCAAGGCCCGTCCCTGGTCCAGGTCCCCATTCTCTGTGCCGAGTCGCCTGGTCGTCTGCTGAGGACAGGGTGGGCGGGTCCTCCAAGCCTCCGTCAGGCCGGTGCTGACGCCCCTCTCCCGGGACGCAGGGCGGACGGTCGTCCTCACCACCCACCACCTGGATGAGGCGGCGGCGCTCAGCGACCGCGTGGCTGTGCTGCGGCGGGGCCGGCTCCGGGGCTGCGGGCCGCCCCTCTGCCTGGCGGAGGCCTGCGGCCGGGGCCTCCAGCTGACGCTCACGAGACAGGTGACCGGGGCCTTGCCTCCCTGTCTGGGCCCAGGGAGCAAAAGGGTGTCTCAGCTTACACCTGCCACTGCCTTTTCACCTTTCGGGGCAGCCCGGCATCCCGGAGGCGGACACCGCGGAGGACACCGCATGCATCACGTCCCTGGTTCAGACGCACATCCCGCAGGCGTCCCTCAGGGACAGCTGCGGGCCCGAGCTGAGCTACGCCATCCCGCGGGACGCAAGCCGTGCCGGCTTCAAGGGGCTCTTTCAGGCACTGGAGCAGGACCAGCACCGCCTGCGCCTGGCGGGCCACGGGCTCACGGACACCACGCTGGAGGAGGTACCGGGGCTCTGGCGGCCGCGTCGCTGGGCTTTGTCGCGGCCCTGCAGGGACGTGGGGTGGGTCCTCCGTGGGGGGTGCGTGGACCCCGCGCTTGTATTTCTCTCCAGCTCCTGACCGGTGTCAGGCACGGCCCAAGCAAAAACGGCGTTCCCCTCGCCTGGCAGGTGCCTGTTGCTCCTCAAGGGAAGCCAGCCTTTTTATAATGAGAACGTTGGCTTCTGACCCGGAATCACCCGTGGTCCCAGCTGCTGTCGGCAGATGGTGCCGGCTGGTTGTCCTCGCTGGGGGTGGTTGGGGGGGGCCCTTCCGTTTTCACGACAGACCTTCTGTTGCTCAGGAGCCCAGGGTGCACGCGCTCCCCACGTCGGGCAGAGTAGCTGAAACCAGGCCTGTGGGCGCTGCCCGCTCGGGCCAGCCCCCAGGCCCCTGCCCTGAGACCTCAGCGCTCGGTGTGGTTTCCCGTGTCCTGGGGGTGTCGGGCCAGACGCCTCCCCCAGGGGTCGCGGCCCCACCAAAGGCCCGCCTGGTGCCGGGCCCGGCGGCCTCCGTGGGCCGGTCTGCGTCTTCCCCACGTTGCTGTCACCCACAGAAAGCTCTGTGGGTTTAGAGCAAAAACCAAGTGCGGCAGGTGAAAGTGCAGAGCCTGGGGAGGGGCGGCCGCACTTCCTCTTCCTCTGGGCTCCCTGGGCCCGGTGACAGCGCCGGCCAGGGCGCAACGAGAACCCGCAGCGCCGCGGGGCTGTGACGCAGTGCGAGACCGCGGCGGGAGCCGACACTCTGTGCTTTCAGGGCGTCAGCCCTGCTTTCCCGCAGGGTTCGTTCCCCGCAAGGCCCGTGGCACTGCAACGCGCGCGAAGCTCACAACGAGCTGGAGTCACGCAGGGACGGACTCGCTGGCGGCGCTGGGATTGCTCCTTACGGGCCGGCGGCGGGAGATCAGCGATGAGGCCTTTCTGCGCGTTAGGCCCTCTGTGTTTTTAACATTATGGGAGGGGTTTCATTGTCATTGTATGAACTCCTGAAATTCTTTTTGTGCTACATTCCTTAGGTATTTCTTTTTGCGTGCAGCATTCATTACTGTTCTCCAGCGTACTTTTATTGATGCTTTCCCCACCCATGTCCCTTTTGGAAATTTCTCGATCTTCCTCCTCTTTGCCCTCTGTTCTTTTGAAAATATTCATTTGTGACGTTGCACATGGTAGAATCCACTCCTTTCAGCGTTGACAAATGCACGGGGTTAGGGAGCCACGCCGCAGCGCAGAGCGCAGCTCGCCCACAACGCAGCCTCCGCGGCCCGCGCGCGTGCCCCTCCCTCCCTCCCATCCCCCGGGAACCGCCTGCAGCCCCGCAGCAGGCCCGCCGGCTGCCTGGTGCTGGGAGCCTCCCCGTGCCCTCCAGTCGCTCGCAGTCCTTCCGCCGGTCGCACCCACTGCGCTCTCTGCACCTGACAGGCGCTCAGGCAACGCCTACCGCCCCGCCCCCTCCGCTTCCCTGTCACCCACCCACGCGCTGACGGTGGAGTCGCCCGTATGGACAACCGCACGCAAAGGGCTGAGCAGCACAAAATACAGTGTGTTTGGATCTGTTTGAGGAATCTTAAATCAGAAAGAGATTAAGTGCTTTAAAAAGCTTTCTTTTGTGTGGCGTAGTCTATAAAGTAACCATCTCGGCCAATTTTGTCCTTTTCCACTTGGCAAGTATTGACTTGCCTGTCTCCCGCCTGGTATCGACGGCGGCCGGCGCGGTGCGGCGCCTGGCCTTCTGCCGAGGAAGCTGGTTTCGTTTTAAGCGGCGCTGTGTTTCTTGCAAACCATTGTCCCTAAATGGACCCCCACCAGCGAGGTTGAAATGTAAAATTTGATCGCAGTCGTCACCAGTTTCCAGACACGATTGACCCTTTCTTCTCCGGTGCCAGGACCGGCATCGGCCTGGGCGGGCTCCGGGCGGGATGCGGCGGGGCTCGGCGGCCGGCAGGGGCGCTCGCGGCCACCTCTCTGCGGAGCCCGGGCGCGGCTGCCGCGCCGTGGGGTGGGGTGGGCTCCAGTGGTGCGTCCTCCCGGTGCCGGGGTCGCAGCGGCGCCGAGCAAAACGGGCAGCCACCCCCCCCCCGCCCCGGCCCCCCAGGGGGGCCGCCCTTCCGGGATCTCCGGCCTCGGGCACCTCCCGTGACCCCGGGGTTCTCGGCGACTCTCCGCCCCAGCCGGCCACCGCTGCCCTCAGCTTGCTGTCGGCTCGGGGGGCTCCCTGGCGTCCCTGTCGGAGGGTCCTGGGGGCCCACCCCGCACACAGGGGTCAAGTGTGGGTCTGAATGAGCAGATCGAGTGCGGGCTGAGAGGAAGGGCCCGGCGTTCCCACCTTTGGAGAACCACCTGCCAGAACAGGGAGGGGCGCGGACTTCGCTGCCGTTTGCTCGCTCCCTGTGCGGAGACCGGGGGTCGCCTGCACGTGGGGCCTCCTGTCCAGCCTCCCCGCCCCCCACCGGGTCCATCTGGCTGCCCCCTCTCCTTGTTGCCCCTCCTCTGACAGCGAGGACCTCGGCCTCCATGTCGTCACGCCCAGTCCCCACTCCGCGGTCCGCCAGCCCCCGGGCCCCGCTCTGGGCTGCCCCCGCCCGAAGCGCAGTGACCCCCGCCTGGCGGCCGCCCTCCTGCCCCACACGAGAGGCAGGGCTCTTCGGCACTTTTTTTTTAAAATTTAGGGCAGCCTCAGGTTCTAAGTACTTATGACACATGGTGTCACCTCAGTGCGGAAGGGGCCATTGGCCCCTTCAACGCAGGGCTGTGGCCTGCTCTTCGTTCTCTCTGTGGAGGACAAGGGGGTGCGGGGGGTGCGGCCCCGAGCTGGACGCGACGCAGGCTCTCCCACCTCACGCCTCCTCTGCTCAGCCGCCCAGGAGCTCCGGGTCGCGGGTGCGCGTACCCCGCGTGCAGACGAGGAGACGGGAAGACGGAGCCTGAGGACGGCAGTGGGCTGCCCGAAGTCCGGAACTGGAACCTGCCTGGGGAGCCCCAGGCTCCCACGCCCTGTGGGCTTTTGCTGTCTCTGCCGCGTCTGCCTAGGGACACGGCAGGCCCGCCCTTGTGTCAGGGGCGAGCCGACGCCGCGCTGAGCCCGCGGGTGCGCCCCCACGGCCCGGCCATGGCCCTGGCGAAAGGGCCCACGTGGGTCTGGGGGCGGGAGGTTCTCCTGGTCACCTGGGCGCCTTGGTGTAGGAGGGACACAGGGTGCTAGGGCGGGCGGCGGCGCTGTGTCCGCGGGAGCAGAGCCCAAGTGCGAGTGCGAGCTTGGAAGACGGACAGGCTGTGAGCCCAGGCGCACAGGCGGCCACCAGAGGGTGGGGCCTCAGGCCAGGACTTCAGAGCTGCCAGGCGATACGTTTCTGCTGTTTCAAGCCCCCGTTCCCCGCCCCCGTGTTTGTGGAAACTTGTCACAACAGCAGTGGGAACTCGGACAAGTCCCTGTGACAACGTGAGCGGCAACGCCTGTCGGGGCAGCTCCGCGCGGGGCCCGGGCCCGGGTAGGGCTGGCCAGTGGCCCTCACGCCCGTCGCCTACGCTCGGTGCGCCGTTCGGCCTCTGCTTCTGAACAAAGCACGTGTGGGAGACTGGAAAGATACGTTTTGGCCACAGCTCAGCAATGCTTCCTCTAGGCGTGGCGTCTCCAGTGGGGTGGCGCCCTCGCCGCCTCACACAGCTTGCCTGCCGGGCGTTTCCGTAGCGGCGCCGCACGTGGCACTGCCCATGGCGCCCTGAGGCGGCCGCCCGCCCCACCGCCAGCTGGAGTGCGGGCCGGGCCCTGGAGGGACGCAGCCCTGCGCCGGAGGGCCGCCGGCAGCGGGGCGCCCTGGGCCGTTGCCGGCGCAGACCCTGCCTCTGCTCCAGGCTGACAACGCGCGGGCCCCGCAGACAGGCCCTGCGGCTGCTGCACGTGCCCTCCCCTAATGGAGACAGGGCAGCACTTCCCTGCGCTTTGCACCAGATCCGTGGTTTGTTAAGTTTTAAATTGTTTCCATGCTGGTTAGTGTCCTGGAGACTTAATTTCCATTTTTGCAGTGTTACCGGTCTGTAACATTTTATTAATTTCAGGAATACAACATCACGGTTTGACGTACACACGTACAACTGGAAATTGATACCTTTGACCCTGCCTCCCATCCCCCACCCTGTCCCCGCCTTTGGCCATCACCCAGCTTTCCTCTCTCCCCGCGAGGTGTCCAGGCTCCACGTGGGAGTGGCGTTCCCCGGGGCCCGCCGCCTCGGCCGGGCTCACCCCGCCCAGCGCCCTGCGTCCCGGGCCTCACGCGCTACCTCAGCAGCAGGTTTCCTCTTCCTTTTTTACCCTAGCAGACCAGTATTTCATGTTCTGTGTGTATGTTATATATGTACATAGCGTGTACGTATTTTATATAAAGTGTGCATGTGTGTCTTATCTGTGTGTATGTAGACATAAAAGCACACTGAAATTTCATGCCTCCTCCTTCCACTCATCCCCTGGGGGCCGCCGCGGCGGTTCCCAGGGCCTGGCTGTCGTGAACGACGCTGCGGTGACTTGGGATGCAGACCCCTCTTCAACGTGGTGACCTTATTTCCTCCAGGTGAACACCCGGCGTGGAATCAGCGGGTGTGCGGTCGCTCTGTGTTTAATACCTGAGGCGCCGCCAGGCCGCTTTCCGCAGAGGCCGTCCCCGCTCACTGCACAGAGGGGCCGCTTTCCTCCGCGCCCTCTCCGCTCTTGCTGTTGCTGACTGATTGGTGGTGGCCGTTCTGACAGGTGTGAGGTGGTGTCTCATTGGGGTTTTGGTTTGCATTTCCCTGATGGTGAGCGATGGTGAGCATCTTCTCATATGTCTGTCGGCCACTTGTTTGTCCTTCTGGGAGAAATGTCTCTTTGGTTCCCCTACCTATTTTTTAACTGGGTTGTTTGTTTGTTTTTTTTTGCGATTGAGTAATTCTCTCATTTCTTATTTAATTTTTATTCTTTTAATGTGATGAATTTACTTAAAAGTTAATGAATAGGTTGGATAATCCTCATTTGATTGGTTTTTGACTTGGGAAGCCTGAGTTAATTCCAGTAAAATTGAAAATACTAGATAAGATTGAGAATGAATTCCAAGTGCTTTTATATAGATGAGGCCAGGCGTGGGTCCTGTTTGGTCCATATGAATTGGCCTGTAGCCTATTCTTAAAAGTTATAATGAAAACACCCAAGTAGGAGGAAGATAGTGAGTAATTTCTTTCCACACCTGAGTTCAAAAAACACACGAAGCAGCATTCTCTGGCACGGTGGCCGGTGCAGCCGGGACGTGGGGTGCTCAGCCCACGCTCAGTAACTTCCCGCATGGCTGCTCAGTTCTTACTTTTCTCTCTCTGGAGGGTGTTTCTATGTGCTGAGTAGACTTTTCCTAATCTTCTCTAAAACGGGAGCTTTTGCAGTATTTTGCATTTCCTCATCATTGTCCAAATGCAACAAGGCGTACGGTTCCCCTTTTGGCTTAACTACAACATGTGAAGATTTGGCCTTTCGGTGCAAGTATTGCTTCAGACTTGCACTAGAAAATATGTATCAGATCATGGAGGACACAGGGAACTTGGAGGAGTGGGTCGAACCCTCCCACAGGTGCCCCTTATCCCGGCCCAGCCGTGGGGGCTGCTCTGTTCTGGGGGCCGCGTGGCCCTGCGAGGCGCGCGGCAGGGGGGGTGCAGGGCGCAGCCCAACCGCTGCCGAGAGCGCGGACCTTGCAGGCCGGGGTCACCCGGCGACGCCCACAGTGCGGAACCCAGACCTCTGAGCGCCCGTTGCTTTGGAGAGCCCTCGCTGTTCGCCGGGTGGTGCTGCCATGTTCTCAGCCTCTGGGGCGCAGGCTCGTGCGCCTGCAGTTAGGGCCGGCCGGCACGAGGGGGCACCCGCGGCCCCTGGCCCCGCGGCCCCGCCTTCGGTGGGTGTGGAGTCCTGGATCCTGACGGGGAACCCTGGGGCTCGGTGTGGACACCGAGGCCGCGGAGGCGAAATCCCCGGCCTTGCCCTGGTCCTCCCTGAGGCCGCGCGTGCGCCCACACCTGCCCACGTGCACACTCAGTGTCGCTATGAAAGGAGGACGAGGAGCAAAGCTCCAAAAGGATGAGCATCGCCCTCACGAATGCTTCCTTTGCTAGCCAGACATGCTTTATAGGTTCTTTTTAAAAAGATTTATTTATTTATCTTTAGAGGGGACGGGAGGGAGGAAAAGAGGGAGAGAGAAACATCTACGTGTGGCCGCCTCTCACACGCCCCCAAGTGGGGACCTGGCCCCAACCCAGGCCTGCGCCCTGACTGGGAACGGAACCCGTGACCCTTCGGTTCGCAGGCTGCGCTCAGTCCGCGGAGCCACACCAGCTGGGGCTATGCATTCTCAGTGATACTGGAACATGAAGTGAAAACTCACTTTAGAATAAGGTGCAAAGGAAACTCTTCGCTCGTGAGTGGTTCTTGCGCTGTGTCTGTTGTCTCTAACTTCATTCCTAGTAAACACGTTAGAAGAGCGTGTGTCGCGCTGGGGGCCTCAGCTCTGTGCCACCCCCCACCCCCCACCCCCGTCCCGCTGCCGTGGGGACACAGCACGGTCCCGCCCGCTGGCTGCGCGGGAGAATTAAACCTGGGACACCTGTGGCCACCCCCGCCCCCGCCCTCCCCCGCTGCTGGGAGGACACCAGGGGGCAGCAGTGGGCTTTGTTCTCCCACTTGGTGTGTTGCATATTCAGTAATTAGAGGCACTGAACAGTGATGCCAAGCCATTCTCTTACATGAAGCGCGTTGGGGAACGCGCACCCACCCATGGAGAAGACGCACCTGGCGGGGCTGTTCACGCATGACGCTGTCCTGTGCCCTCAGGGTCACGGTCAGGTTCCCGCGTCCGCACACCCTGCGCGCAGTCTCACTGCCAGCGGGCCGAGAACCTGGCGACCTTAGAGCTACGTGGGTTCAGCGAACACAAACGGAGGACGATGTGTTTGCTGAATGTTGTCGCACTGACCTACTGGGGTAATGAAGGCAAAGGAAAAATCGCAGTGTGAAAGGAACCTAATATAACATGAAACTTTTTTTTATTTGCTCTCAAAAAGGTGTTTCTGAAGCTTTTGCAAGAGTCCAGAAAGCAGCCCGACGCTGCTGCGGAGCCGGAGCTGGAGCCACGGAGCCATGGGCCTCCCGCGCGCGCCTCAGGCCACCGCCGTGAGTCCCGGAGGCGCGGGCTGCAGTTCTGTGGGAGGGGCGCGCCGCCAGCCGGGAGCGGCGGGAGGCGGGGGTGGCGGGCGCGGGCAGCCAGGGGGCAGCCCAGGGGCCCAAAGCTCGGCCTCATCCTGCCGTGAACAAGGCGACTGCGTGTGGGTGGGACCGCTTTACCCTGTGCGCAGACTTGACTTGTCACGTAAGCAGTTTCTCAGTCCACTGCGTTAGAAGGACAGGGACGGTCATCTCGTTTCCTGTGCGTGCAGGTGGTCTGGTGCCCTGTGCTCACAGCGCGCCAGTGCGCGCAGGTGCTGGGCCGGGACCGGGCTGCCGTCGGGGAGTTCCCCCTGGGAGCCCCGCCTCTGTGGGGCTCCTGTCCCTTCACCCCCAGACTGCGGTTCCGGTCTCGTGGGCGGACGCAGAGGCGTCGGCGGTCGGCCAGAGCCCAGGTTCGGTCTCCGTGTGTGCGCCTGCAGCTCCGCCCCACCCGTCGTGCCGTGTGGGTGGCGCTGACACCCCAGGGCGTGCAGCTGCGGGTGCACACGCAGCGTCACCGTGCGGGGAACAGGTTGGCCCGTGTCCTCCGGCAGCTGGCATTGTCAGGGCTAGAAATCGGCCTTGTCTTGGTGCGCAGGGGTTTCTCATGTGGGTTACTTGCTTTCCCTGGTAATTCATCACGTGGGGCACGTCTTCTTTTAACAGCTTTATAGATACAATTCACATCCCATATAATTTGCTCATTTAAAGTGTACAATTCGCCGGCTTTTTGTTCAGACAGGGTTGTATAGCCATGGCCACTATCAATTTTAGAACATTGTTGCGCCCCCCAAGGAAGCCCTGTGTCACCTGACCATGGCCTCGCCTCGCTCCCAGGTCCCCCGGCCCCGGGCGGCCTGCGGCCTTGCTGTCTGCGGCTACGCTGCCGCCCACTCGGGATGATGTGGGTCGGTCGGGTCGCACAGTGCAGCCTGGCTCCTCCCACGGAGCATCGTCACGGCGTCGGGCACCCGGGGTCCTTCACGTTGTAGCGGGGGCCGGTGTTTTGTCTCCTGATTGCTACGTAATGTCCCCCGTGTACCCGCACTGCATGCGTGTGCTCATCAGTCGATGGTGCTCAATGAATGTGCTGCTGTGAATATTGTGTGTGAGCTGCCCATGGCCAGAGGTCCTCTCGGGTAGATGTTTTGGGCTGGGAGGGCGGGGCCGCAGGTGTACCCGTTTCAGGACCTGCCAGGTCCTTCCTTCGGTGGCTGCCCCATCCCCGCAGCACGTGAGGGGGCCAGGCCCCTCTCCCCGGCAGCTCCCCAGCGCGCTGTGACCTGGGGTTTGGGCCACAGACCGCTCGTGGGCGTGGGGTGTGTCTACCCGTGGTTCTGATTGCGCTTCCCTGATGGCTCAGGACACCGAGTATCCTCCTGTGAGTTAGTGGCTTTTTGCACATCTCTCTGGAGAAATGTCTGTGCAGATCTTTTGCCCATTATTAAAATTGGGCAAATTATACCCCGCAGTTGTAAGTTTTTTATTTTGAAATTGTATGAAGTATGATGTTAACTGTGGGTTTTTTATAGATCCTTTCATGAAGTTGAGGAAGTTTCAGTCTATTCCCTGTTTAATGAGTGTTTTATCATGAAAGGGTGTTGAAGTTTGCCAAACGATTTTTCTGCATCTATAGAGACAATTGTTGTTTGCCTTTTATTTATTGATGTGATGTATTTCATTGATTGGTTTTTGGATGTCAAAACAGCACTGCATTGACAAACTGGCATAAATTCCACTTGGCCGTGGCGCACATCCCTGGATTTCACTTGCTAGTATTTTTTTTTTTTTGAGGACTGTTGAGCCTGTATCTGTCATGAGTGCGGCCTGTAGCCTTCTTTTGCCGGCTGTCGTTGGCGTTGCTGTCGCAGGCCTCTTCACCTTATACAACGGACGTGGGACTCTTCTGTCTGCTGTGTTTCGGAAATGTTTGTGGAGCCTTTGTATTAGTTCTTTAAGTGGTGGTAGAATTCACCAATGAAACCATGTGGGCCAGAATTTTCTTTGTGGGTCATTGTTTTACTGAATAATTCAATAATTCAGATTGTCTATTTCTTCTTGAATCAGTTTTGGTGTTTTGTGTCTTTTTAGAAACTTTTCTCACTTCATGTGAGTTGTCTTGTTTATGGGCGCACAATTGTTATAAATAATAACCTTCCTTTTTTAATTTCTGGTGGTAGTAATTTGTATCTTCTATCTTTTTCTTGGCTAATCTAGTCAACAGCTACCAATTTGTTAATCTTTCTAGAATCAGCTCTTAAATTCATCGATTTTCTCTCTCTTTTTCCCTCCCTTCAGCTCTAATTTTTATTATTTCATTCTTGCTGCTGGTTTTAGATTTAGTTTGCTCTTTTTCTCTCAGTGTCTTATCATAGAGGTTTATATTATTGATTTCAGATCATCCTTCTTTTATAATATGGTAATTTACAACCATAAATTTTCCTCTAAGCTCTGCTCTTTGTATCCCACACGTTTGGATATGTTGTATGCTCAGTGTTCTTTAAAGTGGTTTCAAAGTTCCCTTCTTAGTTCTTGTTTGGTCCATTGGTTACTTAGTATGTTTTGAAATTTCCACATATTTGTGAGTTTGCCATACTTTTTTTTTGTTAGGTCAAAACCGATTCGCTGCCCAGGTTAAACACGCGGCGCGACTTCACCCCTCTCAGTGCCTCACGGCCGCGGGCGGCGGGCGGCCCCGTTTCCCTGGCGGCGGCCGCAGCCCGCCCCGCGTTGCCCGCCGGTGGCCTGGCGAATTTCTTTCTCCATTAGCCGTGCTCGAGCGCTGTTGCTTCTGGCACTTACTGCCTGCTTGTCTCCCCTCCCTTTCGCTCTGGCAGGTTTCCTTCCTGGTGTTTGGGGGCCTGTTGGACGCAGAGGTGACCGCAGTTTCGGTATTTTCCCGTTGGAGCGCTGCTGCTTGCTCTTCAGAATCTCCTTTTCTTCCTGTATTTTTTCGGCCCCTTTTTAGCCCATGTTGACATCGTATCTGATGAAACAGCTCTTGCAAGAACCTTGGGGCCGGGCTGCCTTGGATCTCAGTGGTTTTCTGCCAGTCGACAGAAGCTATGCCGGTTTGCGGCAGACCCCTCGCTGCTGGTGGCTTCTGCAGGGACGATGGAGGGAGCCCCCACGGGACTTCCCTGTGTCGTCTGGTTCGAGGGACCAGGTCTCTGAGGCCGCCCCTCATCTTTTCTTTAATCTAGGCAGTTGGGAGTGGGGGAGAACACCAAAGAGGACACTGGTTGGTAACCCCGTTTCTGCGTGTGTGTGTTTATCGCGGGAAAGTGGTCGCGTGCGTAACGCCCGTTTCGCCATCTTCAGCGTGTGGCCCCGAGGCTCCGCAGGCTCGCGCTGTTTTGCGGTTGTCCCCGCCCGCCCGCCCCCGCTCTGTCCCGCTCCTCAGCGGAAACCCTGTGCACAGTGCACCCCACGCCCGCCCCTTCCTTCCGACCCCGACAGCACCCTCTGCCCCCTGCCTCTGCCCTTGGACTGTCCTGGCTGCCTCGCAGGAGAGGAACTGTGAAATATTTGTCCTTTGTGGCGGGCTTATTTTAATCGGCACGATGACTCCAAGGCTCATCCCCGGTGGAGCATGTGTCCGTTCCATTGTTAAGGCTGAACAACGTTCGCCTGCATGTGCGTGTCACTTTTTGTTTATCACTCACCTGTCAGTGGGCGCCTGGGCCGCGCTCGCCCTTTACCTACCGTCAGCGGCGCTGCTGGGAGCGCGAGCGCGAGGAGCCGGCTTTCCGCTCCCATCGCTCTGCTGCACGTGCAGAGGCGGAAGTGCTGGTCCTCGGGATGGCATCTTCTTTCTTTTGAGGAATCACCACACCATTTTCAAAAGTGGCTTCAGGAGTTTACATCCCAGCAGCAGTGCCCGCCTGTTCCAATTCTCCGTATTCTTGCCAATACTTAACGCTCTTCTCTTTCTATGGTAACAGCCGCTCAGTTGTGTGTTAAGGGGGATGGCATTGTGGTTTTGTTCAGTTTTCTAATAACTAATGATGTTAATGATGTTGACCATCTTTTCATGGATTTCATGTCCATTTGCATACTGTCCTGTGTCGTATTTGGGGAAATCTATTCAACTCCTTTTGTAATTTTTAAAAATGGGCTTTATTTTTGGAAGTGCTTTTAGGTTCACAGCAAAATGGAGAAGAGCATACAGAGAACCCCCTCAAACCACCTGCCTCCCTGCCCCACACAGCCCCTCCCGCTCCCAATGCCCCGAGCCTCGTGGGCGCGGCGGGCCTGCTGCCATAGGGGCCTGCGCGTCCCCCCGGCGCCCACGAGGTGTTTGCTCCTGGCGCGGGAGGCGCTGTGACCTCTGGGACCCGTGCCACGCACGCGTCCCTCGCTGCAGCCTCGCGCGGCGGGTGCGGCGCCCTGAGGAGCCTCCGTGTCCCGCCCGCGTTCCCGCCCGGCCCCAGGCCTCAGGGGCCGCCCGGCCCTGCGTGTTCTCCTTGCGCTGTGGAGTTGTCGCAGTTTTTGTTTTCTGGATATCAGTCTCTCAGCAGATATGTGGAAATGTTTTCTCGCGTTCCACCCATGTTAGAATCATAGACTATTTTTATTTCGATGAAGCCCAGCTCACCTGTTCTTGCTTTTGTCTGTGCTTTTGCTGCCACGTTCAAGAAATGGGGCTCATGGGTCTCATAATTGTATATCTACGTCTTTCCTCGGATTTGGGGTTTTCTGCCATTTTTCTTCAGGTACTCGCCCTCCCCTTCCCTCTCTCCGCCCGAGACCCTCATCACGTGCTTGCTGGTTTTCTTCACGAGGTCGCACAGCCCCTTCGGCTCGGTTCACTTTTCATTCTTTTTCATTTTGCTCCTCAGAATTTCAAGTTACTGTCTTTAAGGTTATTGATTATTTCTTCCAGCCAGGTATGCTGGTGTGCTTTTCTACTGAATTTTCCAATTCATGACTGTATGTTTAGCTCCAGAATTTCTGCTCAGTTCTTTTTTAAGATATAGTTTCTGTCTCCATTGATGTTCTCATTTGGTTGAATGTTAATTTTTCTAGTTTAACGTTAGCCTACGTAGGAAGTTATATTTATCGTGCGTGTGCTATTCTGCAGAACGCTTTGCTCATCTGATGTTTTCCTGCACTTAGATACTTCATGTGTTAATCCTCATTTTTTTTGCTAAAACATAGTATTTTGGGTCACATTGCCTCTTCCAGTCATTTTATTGAGTCGTATGGACATTTGTTTTCATTGTTGCGTGTTACTGTCCACCCTGTTACAGCTGCCCTCCTTTGTCCCCCTTTGCCCTCCTTCACCCTGCGCCCCCCCCCCCCCCGCCGCCCGGCTGACCCCATGCCCTTGTCCGCGTCCGTGGTCAGTCATCTACGTCCTGCATCCAGTCCCCTGACCTGCTTTGTGCGGTCCCCCTTTCCTCTCCGGCAGCCATCGGTCCACAGAGACATTTCCTTTAAAAAGATGGTATAATCCCATCTTAAATCGCTTTATTCACCTGTGACATGGAATAAACGTTCTCCACATCAATGAGTGTTTAACTACACTGTTTCCCAGTGAAGCAGGTGAACACAGTTCACTATAGAGTTGTGTTAAATTGGCCCATTAATCCCTGGTCAGACATTTAAGTTGTTTCCAGCTTCTTGCTACTGTTTTGTCTAAGATGTAACAAACTATCTTGTTTGATATTCTTGATGAATTTCTTTCTTTTCTAATGGTGCAACTGCTGGGTTGGAATTTGCGGACGGGTGGTCCATATTTGTGCCCTGCAGAATCACTGTGACTGCCCCCAGCATTCTGCCCCCAGGCCTGCATGAGAAGGCCCGTGTTTCCAAACACTTCCAAATACTCGGTGTTAACACCATCTTTGATTTCTACCCCATTGGTGAGCGGACAGTCTTATTGTTGCTTTACTTTACGATAATCATGTATTAGCTGTTTTGCAGATTTTTTATAAGGGGCGTGTTCATGCCCTCTGTGTGCCTGTGTTTCCCTTGGGCTCCTCCTTTTTTGAGGGCACTTGGTAACGCGGGGCTCCCGTTCTGGAGTGCGCACCGAGCCCCTGACGCTTTAAGTCGTTTCTCACTGGGCGTTCACGTTTGGACAATTGGAGCCACTCAACCAAAAACACAAATCTTCGCACATTTTCCCCAAGCAATTTGATGGTCAGGGCGAGGGAGATGCATAATTATGGATGAAACTAGAGTCCCTGAATATAATTGCACTCATAAGTCAAATAAGACAATTCATAACAATTTGGTTCAGCATTTTAATTTTGTCTGTTAAATTATTCATGAGAATACTTTTATGAGTTTAGCCATGAATATTTGATTGGTGTTGATTCATGAGCATAAACTACCGTGGCCCTTTGTTTTTCCCATTTATGTCCAATTAACCTACGTGGGAAGGTGGGGGACATTTATAATGCTTCATACGAACAAAGCCTCTCCCCACAGACTTGCCGAGCCCGCCCGACGGCGTTTACCGTGACCACGGGTCGGCACCGTGCGGGTCCTGGTGGCTGAGTCAGTGCTGCGCCAACATTGGGCGTCGCCCCAGGGGATCTAGTCTCAGCCCCGCCCCACAGCTGAGGGCGCGGCTTGCGGAGGGGGCGGGGCCGGCCCCGGAGGCCCCGCGAGCTCCTGGCCACTGGCGACCGCCTGTCTGGGCCTGGGGCACCGAGAGCAGGGGCTTCCCCGGCCACTGGCGGGGCTCCGGGCCAGGCGCGGCGCAGGGCGGCCACCCTTGGCTGCACTCCCGCTCCGCCGCCACCCGGCCCGTCCACGGAGCAACTCCCCCACTGGCGTCGGCTCGCTGCTGTGGGCCCGCTGCACAGACGGGGCCTGCGCTGGGGCCCGGGCCTGGGGCGTCCGGCGGGCTGCGGCGGCTCCGCGTGGGCCGGGGGACGCGGACCCGTAGCCCCGCTGTGGCCCTGCCGCGCCGGCCGCCTCCCTGCAGAAGCCAGACCCGGGGACCCGATGTCTGTCCTTGCTGCCGGCATCGCGGCGCGTCCTGGCATGTGGAGCTCACCAGAGAGGCCTTGCTCGGCGCCGAGCGTCGTTTCGGGGCTCAGGGCGCCCCCGGTTCATGGACAGCGGGCGAAGGGGCCACGCAGCCAGGGGCCTGGGATCCTGAGTGACCAGCATCGTCTCTTGTCCCACAGGTGGCGCCCGGGCCAGCGCCCTCACCCAGGGGGCCGCCCTGCTGACCAAGCGGCTGTGGCACGTGCGCCGGGCCTGGGGCGGCGCGCTCGCCGACCTGCTGCTGCCCGTCGTCTTCGTGGCCTTGGCCATGGCCTTGTTCATGGTGAGGCCCCTGGCCATCGACTACCCTCCCCTCCGACTGACCCCGGGCCGCTACGAGCAAGCTGAGACCTACTTTTTCAGGTAAGGAACTTGCTTTTCCAGGGGAGGACCTTTCCTTTCCCCTTCAAAATTACATCAGAAAAAAGCGTGACGCCAGCGTGGACGTTCTCAAGGCTTTCAAGTGCACGTGTGTCCTCGTCCCCTGGACGGCTGTGTCCACGGTGGCGTGGGCTCCAAGGGGCTTGGCGCCCGCCAGCGCCAGTCTCCAGGCGGGTGTCAGGGCCCGCGAGGCCAGCCCGGCCTCCACCCCCCTCCCCAGGGCCGCCGGGGCCGCCAGGACCGCGGGGACACTGGCCGCCGGGGCAGGGGGCCGGGCCCTGCCGCCAGGCCTGGAGCAGGAGCCAGGGATATCTGTTCCAGAATCTGATGGGCTTAGAAAAGTTGACAGACTGTGTATCTCACAAAGCCGCCCACGGCCGCCCCGGGACCGCAGCCCGCGCCCGCAGGGCCCCCGCGCAGCTACCGGGCCAGGTGGGGTCGGGCCGTCGGCTGGCGCGGACCAGCCGAGCTCTGCTCCCGGCGCAGGGACGGCCCCCCGGCTGGGGCCTCATCACCCCACCGTGGGGCCGGGGCTGGGAGAGGGGGCCCTGAGCCCTCGGGTCCCCCCCTCCGCTTTGGGCGGCGCCTGCGGACTCGGGGACGCTGCGTGAGGTGGGGCCCGGAGTGGGAAGCCGGCGGTAGAGCGCCCGTGAGGGGCGCGCGTCCGGGCTCTGCGGCCACGGGGCGCTGTGAGGCCGGTTTTTTAACAGTGGCCTCCAGATCTCAGCAAAAAGAAAAAAAAAGAGAGAAAGAAAGAAAATAGTGAAAAGTAAACCATGACTTTACCTCTTGCTCTTACCGAATTATTCCAGGCGAACTCCTTTATGGGCCAGTATTGGTTTCCTTCAGAACAAGCGTTTCCGACCCCCGCCTTTGTTCTTGGGTCTCTAGGGCAGGAGAGGGGGCGGCGAGAGCTTGCACAGATGCCGCGGGTACTGTGTGTTTCCTACGGGCAGCAGCTCAGTGGGAAATGTGTCTCTCTCACCGAAAAGTGTTTTCTCATTTGTCAGAAACCTGAGAGCCGTTCACACGGGGGTCGGCTGCCCCTGATGAGACGCGGCCCTGGGGCCGACGCCAGCGCTTTTCCTCGTTGTGTCTTTCTGGCCGTGGCCGGAGGGAATCGTATCGGGCTGGTTATAAACCATGTTGAACTTCACAATGAAAAACCGTTATTTTTATCAGCAGAAATGGGTTTACTGGGGGATAGCAGAGAACTGCAATTCGGGATAAGGACGCTATAGCGAAAGGTGTCAGCACGTCAAGGGGACGAAGGGGAACGTGGCAGCGGTGGCGGCCGGGAGGTGCCCGCACGCGGCCCTGAGGGAAGGGCTTGGGCGGCGGCTCCCTCGGCCGGGCCGGCGCCGCCCCTCGGGGGTGTAGCGGGGTCCGGGGCGCTGCGGGGGCGCCCCGCCCCTTCAGGCCGCCCGACTCCCGCGTGTGCGAGGGCTCCGGGGCTCAGGGCCCCGCCGCCCGGACACGCGAGTCCCTCCGCCGTGGTTCGCCCGCGGGAAGGACAGCGCTGTCCTGTGAGGCCCTCCGGGCGCGCGTGCTGCGGCGAGCGGCCCTTTGACGCGCCAGGGACGGCGTCGTGCGCGGCGGGAACGCGAAACTGGTTTTGTGTGACGCCCCGTCCGCCTTTCTCTTCCGTGAACACACTGTTCTCCCGGAAGGGTGAGAGTCCGGGAAGACCGGTCCTGGGGGTCAAAGGGCTGGGTGGACACGAAGGGTTGGGCCTCGGGTTTCAGCTCGTCGGTCGCCGCGCAGTTGGCTCACACGCTGTTTTCGAGGGCGCGCTCTGCTGCACTGCTGCCCTTTGCGCATGGACTGTCGGTAACGAGAGTGGAAGGGGCCGTGGTCGACGTCACCGGGTGCCGGGGCAGAGAGGGGCGGAGGGGGGGAGTGTGCGGTGGCCGAGCGGCCCGCAGAGAAGGGGCGCGGCGCCCGACAGCGGGGGTGGTGTCCGGCCAGGGAGCGGGTCGGGGCGCCCCTCGGGGGCGGCACCTCCAGGCGGATGCGCCCGTCGGGAGGCCGGCCGGCCGGGCGCGGCGCCCTGGGGGACATGCGGGGGGCTGAAGGGTGCGGAGGGGTTTGCGTGCAGGGTCGCAGCTCCTGGTCGGGCGGCAGGAGCACGCGATGCGTGTGGAGCATGAAGGCTGCCCGGAGGGTGTGTGGGGGGCGCCCCGCGGCGGTTCGGGGAGCGAGGGTCTCCTGGGAGGCCCCGCCTGTGCAGCCGGAGGCCGCGTCTCACCCCGGCTTCATTACCGCGTCCCGGGCGTGCGGGCACGGGACCCTCGGAACCCAGGCCCACGGACGTGAATGCTGGTGACCACGCAAAGCTACATGGGAGCCAGTCAGATCTTCGCTCTCCGAGAACAGGGGAATCCACTAGAAAAGTCCGTGGTGGAAGGAACCCTGAGGTTTCTCATGTCCCCAGGAGAAGCCAGTGTTGAAAGTTCTTTAGAAGAAGCCATTTCTGTACAAACGTCAATGTGTGGTCTACTTCCTCCAAAAAGGCGTGAGGTCACTGTGCACATGGAGGTGACCCGTCATGCTGCCAAGGCGTCCTCTGTATTTTTGGGAGTAAGGGTCCCCGAGGACGGCCACTCAGAGCATTTTGTAACAGGCGTGACAGGAGTTCTGGAAGGTGTTAGCCTGTGTTCTTCCATACACCCCATCGGGCAGATTTTTAATGAGTCGAAGGGAGCCCTACTCGCGGGGAGCCCGCCGTGCGGAGGGCCGGACCGCCATCTCCGCGTTCTCTCCAGGCGAGCGCGTTCTCTGCCAGCCGTGGGCTTCGCAGGCCCCCGCGCTGGGAGCGGTGCCTCGGTCCAGGGGGCTCGGTGCGGGCGGCCTCGGGCCCGGCCGCGCTGCTTGCGGCCTGGGCGGCTGGGCCCGTAAAGTGCACAGTGCGACTCACCGGGGCCCCTGCTGAGGATTCCGGACAAGAAAATGTGGTCCCAGGTCATTCATGCACAGAAACAAAAGTGCAGACGTAAGAAGCTGCCTCACTGCGGGGCTATGACGTGAGGGAGCAGAGTCAAATCCAAGCCGAGCGCCGATGCTGGGGTGTGTGTATGGATTGTAATGCAGTGACACGATGTAACATCACGCAGCCTTTGAAATTCATATTATAAAACGTGCAAACACACCAAAGATGGCCGAGGCGGTAACATGAAGTGAGAACAGCAGTGAACACCATGAGGGCAGGCGTGTGCACAGCAGTGCTCGTTTGTGGCAGCGAAACTGCTCTTAAGACACCTCTCAGCGCCCTCGCTGGCGGCTCTCCCGTAAGCGCTGCGAGCCCTCAGCCTGACCTGAGCTGCCAGGGGCCGTGCGCCCGGCACGGCCGGGCGGGGGCTTGCCGTCAGGCGGACCCTGGGCTGCGGCCCCGGTCGCCCGTCCGTCCTGATCGGCCCCCGCGTGTCCCCTGTCTCGTGACAGCAGCAGCGACGGCGATGACGCGGAGCTGGTCCCGGTGCTGCTGCGGGCGTTCGGAGACGAGGAGCTGCTCTGCCCGGACCGCGGCGCTGGCCCGTGAGTACCCGGTGCCCCCTCTGGCCGGAGGGCGGCCGCACCGCGGCCTGTATGCGCGTCACATGCTCAGGCTCCACGCGGTGACTGTGCGCCCGTGGACGGGGTAGCGCTGCGCAGGCTACAGGGCGTGGCCACCCGAGAGGGCCGGAGCTTGGCTGTGCGGTCGCCCCCCCCCCGGCCCCCGTCCTCAGTGAGGGAGGGGCTTGTGTCCTCGCCAGACCCACCGGTCCGTGGTTAAGGGCGCGCAGTTTCTGCGATGAAACCAGAAGCCGAAAAACTAGCAGCTAAATGTGACACATATATCAGGTGTTATTTATTTTTAGGGAAAACTTGTGCACGTAAAAAGTTAGCTGTAGGGTTTTTCTTTAATTTTTATTTTTTTTATTACTAAAGGGACTGAAGTGAGTCACTTCAGTTGAGGAGTGAGTTACTTTGGGTATTTTTCTCCTAGGGTGAGAATGATCACGTAGAGAGGGGCATTGAGTGAAAACGCAATACGGCGCATCCTCCTTGACAGGCCTTTCCCTCCTGCCGCGCGCGCCTGTGCTGCACGGGGCCCCCAGGGGCGCAGCGCTGCGGTGGGGTCCCGGCCGCTGTGGGGTGGCCCTGGTCTCGGGCGCGGAGCCCGCGAGGAAAGCAGTAGAGACCCTTGCGATGTGTTCAGGACAGCAGGGCGCGTTTCCAAGTTACAGATACAAAAATCCAGACAGAGACGCAAGATTGGGAATACCTTCCTTGAATTGATGACCACACGTTTTGCCCTGCAGTCGCGTTCGCCATTAGCTCCCGACTGCATAGCTATTAACAGTCTCGGTGAGGAGCAATTAATACAAAATTAATTACGCTGTTTCCCTGTAGCCGTCACTTGAAAAACAAAGTAATTTCTTAAGCTAAATAAAAGCTGCTCTGGTGATGCTTTTCCTTCCCTTCTGAAAGGAGCCCGTGAAAGCGCGGCAGCGGCGGCGGCGGGGACACGGGAGGGTAACCCGGGCCTCTGAGGGTCCCGTCCGGGCCCAACGGGGCCGCAGAGACGGGGCCGTCGGCAGGAGAAGACACATTTCTTCATCCAGTCCCTTAAGAGGAAAAAAGCAGAGTTAACAGCCAGGGGCGGCAGGACACACGCGAGGCCGTCTGGACAGCAGCGGAATGTCCGGGTTCCTCCCAGGAGCTGCGCGGGCCGCCCGCCGCCCTGGGCCCCGCTCCTGCCCCCCGGGCGCGGGTGTGGGCGTCGCCTTCACTGGGTGAGACCCCTGTGGTCTGATCTCAGCGTTGTCCTGTGTGGCAGCCATTCCTGCCTTTTCACGGTCCAGGGGCAGCAGGCCGGGCTGCGGGCGGCCCGTAGCGGTGTCACTGCTGGTGTCCACGTGGCACGGGCCGCGCCGGGTTCCTGAGGTTGCAGGTTGGAGCCAAGGTCTTCCCTTAAGACAGGGAAGAGGCCTCCTTGAAGTACCCAGTGTTGCTGGACCCAGTGGTCCCTCCCCTTCTGGCAGACGTTAGCGGTCCCTTGGCGGTGAACTGGGGGAAGCCATGTTCACGAGGGACCACGTGGCGCTCCGGGCGGTCTGCTCCAGGCGCCGATTCGGGGGGCACGTGCGGCGCCTCTGAGCCGCACCCCCTGCTGTGGAAGGCGGCGGGTGCTGCGGCGCAAGCCTCCCCTGGAATTCAGGGTTCCTCGTGAGAGGTGACAGGTGATTCGAAATTTAGAATGTGCTGAAGTTGCTAACTTCTCGAAACAACTGGAAGATTTGAATGTTTAGTTTCATTCTATAAGGCGGACGGTCTGGGGACTCCAGTGGCAATCCGTCTGCCGCGTTGGAGGTAAAATGGTCACTTTCCCACCATTCTTGCTAATGTTTTATATGTATGTTGAAAGTGGTAGTGAACTAATCCAATATTTCTGTTGAACACCAAGAGCCAGGTGGGCAGGTGCAAGGCGAACGTGCGCGCTGGGCGCCTCGGTGGCGGCGGGGGCGGCGCCGTGGCCTGAGCCGTGGCTGTTCTCGTGTCCCCTCTGCAGGGAGAGCCCCGCGTGCTGGCACCCGGTTCCCCTTCTCCGCCCAGGAGACCCGGCTTCCTGTGGCTGCCTGGTAGGTCTCAGGGGTGTTCTGGGTTTTTTTGTTCGTTTGCTTGTTTTTTTAAAATCTAAACCTCAAGGAACAACAACGTTGACTTCGTTTGTGACATGTGCCTTCGTGGTCATCAGCGAGCCTCTGACCCTTCGGTTTACTTGAGGAGGTGCTGCGGGGAGGGCTCCATGACCTAGAGTGAGCGCGTGCGTACCGCAGACATGCTGTGGGTTTCCCAGCCCTGCGCCTCAGCACGGGCTTCACCCTCCCCTAACGTGGAGGGAGCGCGCTCGCCCTGGGGAGGAGTTTCCTGCGTTTGAAGGGGCTGACAGTGCTCTTGCCCCATGATGACGTGTGAGCCTTCTGAGCCTGGAGCGTGACGTGGAGATGCCACCCGTCTCGTCTGAGGGCGGCGGACTCCCGGGGGGACCTGGGGGTGGGTGTGCCTGTGGCGAGCAGGGCCGCAGGGCTGCAGGGCCACGGCCCCTGTCCGCAGAGGGCGCCTGCTGGGACCTCTTCGCCAAACGGATTGGATTCGTCCCCGAGGAAAGCTCCAGGGGCGGCCGGCGCAGGCACGGGCCTGCAGCGGCCGCCGGGGAAGCCGGGGAGGGAGGTGGGGCTTCGGAAGCGGACGGGGAAGGTCCGGAGCGTCACGTCCCACAGTCACAGTCTGTCCCACACGTCCCGAGTGGAGAGGGGCGCCCAGCCCAAGTCCAGCAGCGCAGGGGGGCGGCCCGGGCCCACGGGGGAGGAGCTGTTTAGTTTCTCCTGTGGGCACGTGGGAAAGAACACGCCCCACGGATTCCCGCGCTTCCCGCCCCTTCGCTGAGCCGCCTCGGACTCTGCCCGGGGTCACCGAATGCAGGGCCCCCAGGGGAAACGTGCCCCTCGGAGGCCTCACAGACCCGCCCACCCGTGCACACAGCCGGGTCCCTGAGGTTCCCAGACGGGAGAGACCGCAGAGGCCCCGCCGGGTTCTGATGGGGTTCTCAGACGGGGGGCCCTCAGGGGACTGAGAAGTCAGAGCACGTAAACGGCCGCGGGCAACTTGGCAGAAGTCGGAAACCGCGGAGAGTCACCCTCGGAGGTGACGTCAGTGAAGCTGCTTGTGGGCGGGTTGCAAACGGGCGTCTGTCTCTTCTCTCTGGAACAATGACAGGCCTGCCCGAACGCCAGCACCAGCGCCCCCGCCCTGACCAGCCGCCGGGGCCACACGCTGCTGGACCTCTCGGCCTCCCGCCTGGAGGAGCTCCTGCTGCTGCCGAGCGACAAGCCCCGGTGGGTGCCAGGCGGCCGCTGCCCTGGGGAGTCTCTGCCTGCGAACACGATGCTCTTAGGATGGGAAGGGCGTCGTGGAAACGCCGTGAGCGCCTGGGGGGCGGGTGCTGGGCCCTGACTGCCCGCAGCCGCTGAGGAGCATGAGAGCCAGCGGGGCTCGCTGGCCTCCCGGTGGCGGCTGTTGGGCTCTGACCCGGGAGTGCGCGGAGCCTCGGGGCGCCAAGGCGGGCCCTCGTGTGCCGGGACTGGGCTGGTGTCGGGTGTGCATGGCCCCTCCGTCCGCATCCCTCCGGTGGGTGGACGGGTGAGTGAGCCGAGCCCTGGCCGCCCTGGGACCCCGTCGGGGCGCCTGCGGCGAGGACGGCGCAGTGGCGGTTATGCCTTCAGTCTCCTCCTGCCAGGCAGTGGGGAGTCACGGGCACAGGTGCCCTGACGTCTAACGTCCGATGTTTTCGGGGGCTTGCCGGTGCAGGGACCACGCGGCCCCGGGTGCAGAGGGAGGGAGAATCCCCCCCAGGAAAGTCCCACCCAGCTGGGTGGCAGATAAACCGCCAGACTGACCGACCACAGCCAGGGTGGCAGTGGCTGCAATGGTGGGCAACGAGGGCGTCGTGAGGACCCCAAAGGGGAGGAAATGGGCGCTGACCGCTTGCCCGGGCCGCCTTCCCGTGCAAGGCCCTGTTCGTGCTCGTGCTGGAGAGGCAGCGTGGGGACCGCGCAGCGTGGGGCGGGGGCTGGTCTGTGGAGAAAGGGCCGTCCGTCCGTGGGGACAGCGCGGGTGCTGGTCGCATGGCCCGTGCCCTGGGCGGCCTGTGCTTCCGGACGAGGTGTGGGCCCGCGGAGCAGCCTCTCCAGGCGGCGGCCGGCAGGCGCAGCCCTCCCGGGCAATTGCCTGTGCGGGGGGCCTGTCACGCCGCTGGGCGCCCGCCCCTCTCGGGCGGTGTATGTAACCAGCGCCTCGGGGAGGGCGCCCTGGGGGCTGGGGGCACGCGCTCCGGGTGCAGCGCTGACCCGGGCTGCTGTCCCCAGGCTTGGAGGCTGGTCCTTCGGCGTGCGGGTCCCGGATGCCCTTCTAGAGGCTCGTGCAGCGGGGTCTGAGCGGAGGAGCCTGGCCAAGGTAACAGTGTTCCATTTGGTTTCCTTTCGCTTTGTTTCGTTGTTGCTGGTGCAGAAAGCGTTAGGGAAACTGGTACCCACGTGCACCGGGTGCAATCCCAGTGTGTGTTTCTGGGAAAGAAGAAGTTACCTGCCCAGGAACCCTTGAAGGAGAAATTAGTTTTCCTTTTGACTGCACAGCCCGCGGTCACTGTTTCCATCGGACCCAAATTCACCTAACGGACCGGAAGCAAACAAGAAGGCGGTTTTCAGTGACGTCCACTGTCAGCACCGCTGTGAGGGTCCCGGTTCCCTGGGGGCAGAGCCCCTCCTCCCACGCAGGCCCTGACGCCGCCTCCCCCGGAGGCCACCCACCCGCCCGCTCGCCCGCAGGCAGGCAGACTGCAGCCCCCGGCCGGGCTCCCGCTGGGCCTGCCGGCACTGCCGCTGTGGGTCGGGGTGGTCCCCATGGTTTGTGTGTGGAGAGGGGGCGCGGGCGGGGGTGGGGGAAGATGCCTGTCCCCCAGCAGGGCCTCAGGAATGCTGAGTCAGCGCGGCCTGCGGGTGGGGACGAGCGGCAGAGTCCACGCTGCCGTCTGGTGACTAGGAAACGGCCTGGCATCGTCCTGACTTAAGAAAGAAACGGGGAAAGAGCAGGTCGTGGCAGAGTGTGGCCGCTTGTCAACTCCTCACGCCGCGCATGTGAGCCCGGAGGGCAGGGCCCCTGCCCCTGGCTCTGCAGGGGGGCGTCCATCTCGCCTGGGAGCCCGGAGAAGCCGGTCGGGTCAGGGCTCGTGGGCTCGTGTGTGCGGCTTACTCAGCGAGACGCGGCCCCTGCAGGGGCGTTTCACACGCCCCGCCACGGGAACCTCAGTGTTCATGCCAGCGGCGCAGCCCTGGGGGGAGGCAGGCTCCACAGGCCTGCTCCACAGAGGGGCCCCGGGGGCGCGCCCATCCCTTGCGGGCGGCGGGAGCGCCCCTTCAGCCGCAGCGCAGGCGAGGAGCGGCACCGGACTCAGAGCCTGGCAGAAAAATGGCCTAACGTGCAGTGGCTGGTTTTTTGAACACAGGATGCATCTGTTACTAGAACATGCCTGGTCAGCAGAAGGAATCTGTCCATTTCTTCTGTTCCCGCCTTTTCATCTGCACTCACTCCACCTCACGCTCGTAGGGGGCTGCGTCTTGGCTGGTGTCGGCCGGTGGCTGGGCGTCCCTACGCTCAGCTGCAGGCTGTGCCTGGCCCGCGCGTCCCCTCCCCTGCTCCCTTCCCTGTGTCGAGATCAGCCTTCTGTGCTGATGTGGGTCCGTAGGGGCTTATGCGGTTTTGATGTGGCTGGTCCGAGACTGTCCAAAGCTTCGGGGGATTCTTTGCCAACCTCCTGTACAGAATTTTTATGAGCTTATTTGGGCCAAACTGACTCCATGCTGGGAAACAGGACCTCAAATATCTCGATGCCCTGGCGAGGAGCCCTGCGCGGTGCCTCGCGCGAGTTCGCAGTGACGGGGTGCGCAGGGGAGGCTGCGTGGAGGTGGGAGAGTGACGGGCGGGGGCGGCTGCCGGTTACCGGGACCACGTGCTCCGTGGGGGCGGCTGCTCCCCGAGGCCCCGGGATGGGGGCCTCCCAAGGACTGTCACCCTGGATGACCAGCAGGGCCGGCTCAAGGCACCAAGGCACCCTTCAGTGAAGAGGCGATGTGCCTGGGGCGTGACCGCCCATGACGAGCTGTCCAGTCACAGTGTGTGGCCATGTGCCCGTGGGGTCACGTTAGTTAGACTGATTCCGGCCCCCGCTTCTCATCCTGACAGCTGCTTGGCACGCACTTTGCCGGGCACAGCAATGCACAGAGGCTGGGTCTGCTGGTGGGTGAGCTTCCCCGCCCCGCTGCCCCCGGCCCGGGCACGCCTGAGCCTGGTCCTGCCTGGGCCGCAGGGCACCTGGGTCAGGAGTCCCGGGGGCGGCTGGCGGGACGTCGCGGCGCACTGCGGCGCTCGCCTGCCGCTCATCGCCAGCCGGCCTTGCCCTGGGCCTTTCGGGCACCATTTTCATCATCTCTTTGAAGATAACACAGAAAATTTTCCCAGGGAATAGGCTTCACGTGAATCACATTCATTACACTGTAGAATGTCGCTCAGGGAACCTTCCTGAGTTGTTTCCTGCACATCTGGAGTCTTTCTCTTGTTTCATCGAAGTGCCGGTAGACTGTGCACTTTGGAGAAAAGACCCTCTCCCTCTCCCTCCTGGGGACTGGCAGGTGTCCTGCCCTGGGGGAGGTTCAGGTGCTGGGACCCCCGCGGAGGGTCCTTCCTTCCAGCGGCTTCGCTGCTGTCCTGGGAGACTGTCCCTGGTGACCCCGACAGGAAGGGCCCGCCTCGCGGCGTCACGCGACGTCCTGAAAGGGGGGCGCGGCCGCCTCTGCGTGTCGGTGCCGACCGCGCACGGGTGTGTAGGCGCAGGTGGGATCCTGCCGCGGACCCCCGCAGAGCTGACCAGGGCTTCCGAGAACCGAGCCTGGGGAAAAGAGAGAAGAACCCTCCTCCAGAGGGCCAAATCTTAAATGTTAATTTTAAGATCATCATAAACACCGTGTTGCCTACGTAAAGACTTTGTAAAATTTCTCCCAAATAAAGGCCAGTTCTTAGAAGTGCTGCAATGAAGTTCAGGAACATTTCTGACTCTGTTCCTTGAAACTTCATCCATCAGCCAGTCAGCCTTTAGCAGGTGAGTGCCGACAGCAAACAACGGCACGCTATTCGTGCCGCCAACAGCACGCGCCCACTGAGCGGGTGGCCCTGGGGGCTCAGCCTGCTGTGGCCTGCGCTCAGCCAAGGGTGCCGGGACCCTGCTGTGTGGACGGCGCCTGGACTAGGCTCCGCCCCTCCCGCGGACCGTGGGCCCCGTCTCTGCGGCCTCCGGGAGCGTCCGCCGTCGCCCTCCGGGGCCAGGTGTGCAGAGGACTTTGGAAACGTGCCTTTTGAACAGCTTCCCACTTCCTGCCCAAGCGGGGCCGGGCACCCCGGGCCGTTGGCCCCCCCACGGGTGGGTGGCCCAGTGGGGCGCTTAGGTCTGGGCCCGACTCCGCACAGCGGTGGCAGGTCGGCCGTGCGCAGAGAGCCCTAACGCTGCCACGGCTGGGCCGACCGGAGGCGGGCTGTTCGCGGGGTGGGCTGCCCGCTGACGGCGTTAAGGCTTCTGCCGTCGGCGCATGAACTCCTTCACGACGCTTAGAGCCTTCCACGGCGAGACTGTTCTTTAAAAAGTCTCCTTGAAATACTGCTGTCTTGGAATACGGACATTGATGGCTCGGTCTGCCCTTCTCCACGGGCCCCGTCCCCACTGGAGCGCCCGCCTGTCGGCCGCCTGGCCCCCGCCACCCGCCTCTGTGGTGGGCCCGCCGCCTTGTTCTCGTGCTCAGCAGCGTGCAGCTCCATTTATTTTGAGAAGTAACGTCCCACACTCGGTTATTAATTTGAAAGTAATCTCTTTTTTTTGATCACTTTCCCTGCTTTTAATTTGCAGGTCAAATTTCATTACTTACCAACTGAGAGAGAAAACAATGATGGGTTTGGGTTCTTTTTTCACTGTGAGAGTATAATTATAGAGAACACCCACATTGGTTCTGGGGGAAATTAGTCTATTTTTAGCTGTAAATTACACGCTTGTGATAAACAGAAAGTGAGCAGACTGGGGCAGCCGCCTGCGTGAGCCGGGCCGAGCGACCCCCGGGCCGTGCTCAGGTGCCGCGGAGGCTCACGGACCGTGGCGGGGGGCGGCGGGCTCAGCGCTGGGCTCCCTCCCGTTGCAGGTGTGGTACAGCCAGAAGGGCCTCCACGCCCTGCCCTCCTACCTGAACCACCTCAACAACCTGCTCCTGTGGAGGCTCCTGCCCCCCGCCCGGGACTGGCGACAGCACGGTAATGCCATTGGCGTGCGTGGTGGCGCGCTGCCCTCCGAGGACGGCGCCCCTAAGGGAGAGCGGAAGGGTCTGGAGCAGGGCCCCACGGGCCGTGACCAGGCGGTCGTTTCCGGCCGCGGGCCCGCTCGCCTGTGCTTGTGCTTTGCCTTCATTTGTGTCGCTACGAGGCTTTGCCTTCTCCGCACGGCAACTTGTCCGTCCGACCAGGGGCGTAGGGGGTCTGAGGGCTCGCCCCCGGGCAGGCGCTCACGTCACACCGCAGCCGGTGAGCTTCCTCCACCGGAGGCGCCGGTGACAGGCACCTGCGGGCCGCCCTGGTCACCGGGAAGGTGAGTGCCGTGGTCCCTTCTCAGCAGGTGGACGGATACAGAGGATATGGGGCGTCTTTCAGCCACAAAAGGAAAGGAACCTGAGGCTGAAGGCAGTAGGGACGCACCTGGGGCTGCGCTGCGCTTCCCAGCCTCTGATGGGGTCCCTGTCCCCTTGGCTTAGTGGCTGCTTCTCTCCTCCCACCATTCATTCGCTTGGTGTATTTTCTAGATGTTAACACTGTGTTAGATCATTAAAGCAATTAGCACTTTTTCAAAAAGCCCCAGGTGAGGCTATGGGGATGGATTTTAGGGAGAGAAAGTGAGAGAGAAACATCCCTGTGAAAGAGAAACGCGATCGGGTGCTTCCCGCGGGTGCCTCCCCCGGACGGAGCCTGTGCCCAGGGCGGCGCCCTCGCCCCCGGAGCCCCCGGCCAGGCCAGCCGCGGGCGCTGTTTCTCGTCAGTCGTTTACAGCCCCTTCGGGAATGGGAACGTAAGCGCTTCACAGAAGGTGCGTCTCTCCCAGAGGCCTGTGTGTTTCCCAAAGCCCTTGCCCGTAGGAGGCGCGCAGTGTGCTCGGTAGACAAAGGCACTTCGGGTGTGACTGCGCGGTCCCTGCAGGGGGCGTGACTGCCGTGGTCAGGCATCACGGGTACTTGGGGAGACACACGTGTTGCAGGAGGAGCACATCCGGTAGAGGCGGCTCGAACTGGAGACGAGCGGAGGACCTGCCATCATGGGGGACGTGGGACCAAAACTCAGATGAGCCACCTCACAGATGGCAGGTGCGCAGCAGCAGGAGACCGCAGGAGATGCAGCTGGCGCAAGACTTGTAAATGCGGAAGCTGATTCCACCCCTTCCCACGTTGCTGTGGGCCAGTTCCTAGAAAGAAAAGCCAGAGTATAAGTGATAAGAAAAATCAAACAATGAGAAATGATTTCAGTGTTTTCAAGTGCACGTTTTGAAACGTTTCTGAAAGCCTTCGGGCTGAGGGGAGGGGGAGCCGAGAGAGCTCCTAGGCTCGCGCGCGGTGCCGACGCCCAGGCCTCCTCCGGGACGGCCGGCCGGGCTCTCTGCTGCCGCCATGGCCCCAGGTCCCACCACAATGCCGGCATTGGCCACCTGCGATTCAGAGCTCACGTGACGTGGTTGAGGGAAGACCCAACGCAGAGTTTGTCCACTGCGGCCCTGGGAGCACAGCGAAGGCCGCCAGCGCGGAAGACGGGCGAGCAGGGATCCAGGCGGTCAGGGACGGCGGCCTCGCCCTGCGGCCAGCGGCGTTTGGCCTGAAGAAGCCACCGCCTCTTCGCTCCGCCTAGAGCCCTCCCCGGCGCCCCTGCCTCCGCCCCAGCCCCAGCCCTTGCGCAGGAAAAGGTGCAGCCCTCGCGCAGGAAAAGGTGCAGCCCTCGGTCTGCGCGCTCTCCCAGGTTCTGAGCCTGCCTTTCCAGGCCAGCCCCTGCCTCAGGCACTGACGACACGTCCGTTCCTCGCCCCGGACAACGCTTCAGCCCTGTGAGGGCACGCTCACGCTCCCCCGTGCCCCCGGGCTGGGTGCGCACGTGTGTTTTCAGCCGGCCAGTTCCGGGTGTCTCCTGCGGTCCTGAAATCACACACTTTGCAGACCGCCACGCAGCCCCGATTCCCTGGATGTCCTCTGATCGGGGCGCCTCATTCCCCTACGCAGCCTGGAGCCCCGCACAGCGTGGCGAGTGCACCCCCGCTGTCTGCCACACCCGGCAGGACACGGGCCCCACCAGGCAGGACCTGCGCGTTTATGAGCGCCCTCTGAAGTCCTTCAGCGTCTCTGCAAGCTCCTGGCGGGGTGGCGGACGCTGTGTGTGAATCGGTGCTTCAGCAGAGAGCGGCAGGTCCTGTGAGGGTGGGGGAGTCGAGTTCAGGGAGGGACAGACGGGGGCGGGGGGTCCGGGGGTCCAGGTAGGCGAGGGGTCACGGCCCCGCAGCTCAGCTCACAACAAGCGGGTCAGCCAACCCACAACCAGGGGACCAGGCAGAAGCCTTGGCTCGCGTGCCGGGCCTGGCGAGAACGTCAGGGCAGCGCTGCTGCTTTGTCGGAGGGGCAGCCGGGAAGCTGTGCAGGGCAGTGGCCGAACCCGGGGCTCCTGTCCTGCTGCCGGGAAGGACTTGCGTCAGTGTGTGGCTGAGGCCCGGTGGGAAGACAGGCTGGAGCGGAGGCTGGAGGCGGGGCCGTGCAGGTGGCCGACGGACGGGCACCCAGGGCCTGGCGGCAAGATCGCGGGGTGTGTGGAGTCCTGGTACCGCCCCAGCTCTGAGCCTTTATTTACACTCCTGTTCACCCCACGGTGTTTCTGTGAAGACTCAGCACGCCCTCCGAGGCGACGGGAAACCCAGGGAGCCAGGAGAAGAGGGACGTGAAGGAGTGTCACGTGCCCGGAGCTCGGGCACCCCGCCTGGCGGGGCGTCTACGTGCCGGCCCCAGACCAGGCCCCTCGCGGGGAACAGCCGGTCAGACGGGGCGGCGCCTGCCAGCGGCCATCCGCCGAACCACAGCCCGGGCCTGAGCCGCGGAGCGGGGCTTTCCTGGGCGGGCGCGCCCGCCTTGTGACACCGTCAGCGGCCCTTGTGAGCAGCCCTTCCGGTGACGAGTCGGTGTCAGTTTCTCACCAACGCACTAGCTCAGAGGAGCAACAAAGCCAAACAAAACAGGCCCCAGAACGAAGTGGGACCCGAGCAGTGCTGCCCCCCCCCGCCCCCGCCCCCGCCCCCGGCGCGGCTGGGCGTGGAGGTGGGTTTTTGAGTGCTGACCTGGCTTCCAACACATCGCCCCCTTTGGAGGCTGTGGTTCAGCCTTTCTGAGCCTTGGATGTCCTTCCTACGTTGCTTAGGCCAGCTGTTTTCCACCGTTTTCAGGACACACACAAACTAATCACTAAAATTCTGCAGCACACCGACAAATGTATTTTTTTGCCAATCTGACAAAAATACGTATAATTTGATTTAAAAAATAATAATAATAATAATAGTAATTACCTACCTTTTAGCTCCAAAGTGACTTTTTAAAAAATCAGATGCCAATCCTTGCGTATAAGGATTTCTGGTACCGAGAATTAACCGATTGGACGCAACCTTATTATCAGCCGTGACCAATATGCTGCAGCTCTGTCGTATGACCTATGTATTTATATTTATGGTGCAAGACGGCGCCGCACGGACGGCCACTGCTGTGTGGGCTGCTGTCATTTTATCGCTGGACCCTCTTGGGGAGAGGCCCGTGCCCCTGACTGGCAGGCAGGTGTCACATGTGTCAGAAAAGCTCACAGCACACGGGTTGAGAGTCGCTGCCTTAGGCCACGGGATGAGTCTGAGGCTCAGGCAGTCGAACGTGTCCCCGTGTTAGTGCCGGCTGTCGTGCATGTCTTGCATGTTGGCACGTGCCGGTTCCGTGGGGTGTCCTGCTCCTGCGCGCCGGGGGTGCCTGCCGGGTCAAAGCAGGCAGGGAGTCCCCGTGGGCATGGGGCTGCGTGGCTCGGTGGTGGGCTGTTGGCTGGCCGTGTGGGGCGGGGGCTCACGGGCTCACTTTCCAGTTTGTCTCCCGCAGGAATAACGCTGTACAGCCACCCGTACGGAGGGGCTTTGCTGGGCGAGGACAAGATGTGAGTTGGGGGACGGGGCGGGCGGCCTGCTCCGGGGCGGAGTCTGGGGGCCGCTTGGGGGGATCTGAGGCTGCTTCTGCACGTGCCCCGAGCGACGTCGGCACAGAGGGTCAGCGGCACCGGCTGGCCTCGCTCACAGAGTGCGCGGACGGTGACTGTCACGTGAGGAGGTGCGCTGGCGGGGGGCGAACCAGCGAGCGTGCCGCGCAGCCGCCTCTCTACGCGGAGAACGTTCTGAGGGGCTGATGTCCCTGAAGTCACGGGACCCCACGTCTTCCAGACAAAGCGCTAAGCGCAGCATTCACCCGGGGACATGCCTCCTTGGGAATGTCTCAGACAAGGCGTCCAGCGCGGCCTGGGTGGCGTCGGGGTGGGGGGTGGGGTCCAGTCAGCTCTCACCCTCTCAGAAAAGGTGACACGCCTCTGCCTCTCTTCCCGTCTTGCCTCTGGCAAGCTCGCCCCGGGCCCGGGGTTCTAGGCGTGGCCTGTTGTGTTATGAAACGAGATGTGGCGGGTGAGGAGGCCGCCTTCCCGGCGAGGGGGCGTGGTTGGCTTGGGGGCGACGTAACACCCCAACTAAGAAGCGATCACAAACGTGCGCAGTGCATGTTATTACAAACACCTTGAGCCAGTACAGAGTCTTTTTGGTGTTTTGAGGTTAAATTCAGAGACGGGCCAGGGGCGTGAGGAGTGGTAGCTGGCGCCTGCCCCGCCTCGGTGTGGGGCTGTCCGGTGGGGCCCGGCCTGGGCAGGGGCCGCGACCCCACAGCTGTGCCCTGGGATTCTGTCCCCGTATCGGGGTCGGGTTCAATGGTCACGAGTAGGCTTGGTGACAGGCAGACTCAGAAGTGTCCCTCAGCTCTGCACCCCTCAGTTCTGTCCCCTATAAACGGGGACCAGTAACCTATGACACCAAGGCCTTTGAGGGGTGCGAGGCGGGGAGGGGGCCGTCTCACCCTCAGCCCCGTGCTCCCCTCCGGCCGCTGTCACTCACCGTCCGCTGCAGGGAGGGGCCTCGCCCCGCCCCCGGCCGACGCCCTGCCCCCCAGCTGACGCCCACCCTGCTCCCCGCAGCCTGGAGAGCATCCGCCACTACGGCGTGGCCCTCTGCATCGTGCTCGGCGCCTCCTTCCTGACGGCAGCCGTGGGCAGCGCCGTGGTGCGGGACCGAGTGACCGGGGCCAAGTGGCTGCAGCACATCAGCGGCCTGGGCCCTGGCACCTACTGGTTCGCCAACTTCCTGTTTGACATGGTAGGACCTGGGGCCCTGTTCCTGTGCCCCGCGCCCGCCATCTGTTTACGTGTGTATGTGTGCATTTGTGTGTGTGGTGTGTGTGCATGTGTGTCGTGTGTGGGTGACTTCCCAGGGCTAAGTCCGTCACACAGAACGCGTGGCGTGCAGAGTAAATATGCTCAGATAGAAGCCGACGCGTGTCCCTCGATGTCACAGGACGCTCTCCTTTTCGCTCCCCCAGCTTTTCTACTCGGCGTCCGTCGGCCTGTGTGTCGTGGTCATCGTGGCCTTCGGCCTGCCGGCCTTCACCTTCCGCCAGAACCTGGCGGCCACGGCCCTCCTGCTGCTGCTGTTCGGGTGCGTGAGGAGCCGCGCAGCCACTTGGTGGGGGCTGTTTTTGGAGGCAGAAGGCCCCCGGTGGCTCTGGACCGCTGGGGGCGGCGCGGTCTCCTCTCTTCCCAAGCGATTGTGCGGCTCCTGTGGGGGCCGCCCTTGCGTGAGACGGGCCGGTGCTGCGAGGCCCGCGGAGGAGGGGGGGCCGGTGATGGGGCGCGGGGCCCCTGCCGCGCCCCGGACGGCCCTCGGCTTGTCGCAGGCGCGGGCACCCGGGCACGGTTCCCTCCGTTCTCCCTGGGACGTGGACCGGCGCCCAACGCGCCGCCGTGAGCCCCAGCACAGCCTCTGAGGATTTTCCCTGAGCTCCGGGTCTGGCACGTGCCCCTCCCCTCTGGCGTTAGCAGTTGGGAAATGTTTTGTCTAACGTTTATCTCTTTTTCTCAGAGAAAAATGCAAAAGCAGAAAAGCGCTTTTATGCATGTCTCATTTACATGCGCTCAGTAGGACCCTCGCCAGTGTCCCGAGCGGGGTCCTCTTGTGTGCCGCACGCAGGGGTCTGCGCCCAGGCTGCGCTGTGAGGGGTTTGCGCGTAGCAGGGAAAGGACTCACGTGCCAGTGCGTTATAATTTAAGGCTCTTTTTTTAGCCAAGCTGCCTGCTTTTGTTTAAGCTACAGGATATCAGTGAAATGAATTTTACACAAATCACAGTTATGTCAGTGACCCAGGCTTTTTCAGAACATTTCGGGGACAGGGCTTAGGTGAGAAAAGGTCACACCATCGTTGGGTGAGTCGACGCGTTGGCAGATGGATGGGGAGGGAGGACAAGACGTTTTTGGGGAGCATTGACATAGCCACTCCCCAGCCGGTGGCCTTGAAAACCCGAGAGGGGTAGGGGGCGCCGAGGAGGCGCACGCCGCGCCGCCCGCCAGGAGCGGACTCCGGAGCGGGAGCAGGCTCTCCGGCCCGGGCTCACGCCCATGCTCACGCGGGGCTCGCGGGTTCCGCGTGCTTGAGGCGGTCAGTTCTCACTGCCACCAACAGGTATCATTCCCGCTTCCGGGCCCAGGGCAAGGCCCCCGGAGAGGACTTGGTGGCCTCCCTCAGGACGGCGGAGTTGCGCGTCCAGGCCCCCGTGTGGCCGGGTGGGGACCCCGCTCAGTGGTGTTGGCCCCTCAGCAGCCCGGAAAGCTGCTCCCCGCGCGAGGAAGCCTGGCCTGGCCCGGCCAGGAAAGCCTCGTCTCGCATTCCGCTGTCAGAGACACACGCGTCGCGGGGAGACAGACGCGCGTCTTCCCCGGGCCCCCCAGGTACGCGATGCTGCCGTGGATGTACCTGACGTCCGGGGTCTTCTCCAGCGCGGGCGCCGCCTTCGTCTCCCACGTCTCGCTGAGCTTCGTCTTTGGCCTTTGCACCCTGCTGATGACCACCATGCCGCGGCTGCTGGCCATCGTCTCCGGGGCCCAGGTCTGCGCCCCGGCGCGCACGTCCCAGGCACTGACTCCAGTGCCATCCTGAGGGCTGGGCCAGGCTGGACGGCGGCCTCTGTGTCTCCCCCGTGAGGCTGCCGCCGAGCCTGCCCACCCTGCGCCCCTGTGCGTTGGGAAATGACCGAGACGTAGGGGCCAGACCTCCCTGCTCTGGGGCCGGAAGCCGCAGGGCAGGCTCGGCTGTGGTGCTCAGCGCACTTGGCGGGCGGCCAGTGCCCCGCCCCCTCGGGCCCCTCCACGCGCTGTCAGTTCTGCCGCCGTGTGGCGCGGGGGAGCGGCCGTGCCCCCTGCTGGCTCCTCCCGGGCGGCTGCCTCCTGGCCTCTGTGGCTTGACTCTAGAAGGAGTTGCGTTTCTGCCTCCCCTGCCCCTGCTGCTCCCCGTGTCCCCAGGGGAAGGGACTCCGACCTGAAGGGAAGGCTGTCGAGTCAGACAGTCTGTGTGGCTCACTAGCCATCTGGGGGCAGCGGGGACACGGGACCAACACGGAGAACTGGACGCTGTGACGAGCCCTTGAGGTGACTTCTGCCCTCTCTCTGTCCCCACGCGGAACTTGCAGGACACCCACGACACCCTCAAGTGGGCCTTCACGCTCTTCCCCCCGTTCTGCCTGGGCCAGGGGCTGGTGGAGCTCTGCTACAACCAGATCAAGCACGACCTGGCGCTCAGCTTCGGCGCCGACTCCTACGTGAGCCCCTTCGAGATGAGCTTCCTGGGCGGCATCTTTGTGCAGCTGGCCGGCCAGGGCACGGCCCTCCTGCTGCTGAGGCTGCTGCTGCACGGGGCCTGGGTGCGGCGGTGCAGGTGCGTGCCGGCTCGCTGCCCTTGGAGGGCGAGGCGCCCCCCCGCCCCCCCGTGCAGGCTTAGCGTGTGCAGACCCCGTGGGCGGAGCTCCGGGTCCTCTCAGTGGTCGGGGGGTGAGTCCTGGGCTCCAGGAGGGACGGCGTCGCAGGCGCGGCTGCGCTGTGGGGCGAGCCTCTGCTGTCTCCTCGTCTCCGGGGGCCTTCCCGCTGTGGATGCTCGGGGCCCCTTGCGTTTGGACGGAGGCGTCTCCAGGGAATTTGGATGAAAACGTAGCTTATTTTTGTGGTGGGGTGGCTTCCCTCCCAGAAGCCGGTGTGCACGGCACCTCCGGGCCGGCGTGTGCTTGCCCTTTGCCAGGTCCTGTTGCCATTGACGCTGGGTCTTCTCTTTGTTAGAAGCCGGTGGCTGTCGGGGGATGGGTGTCGGAGGGGACGGTGTCGGGGAGCAGTGTCAGGAGCCTGTGGCATACAGGCGTCTCTGCGGACCTAGAGGGTGGTTGTTCCACGTGCGCTGGGCCCGCCTCCTGCCCTGCTCCCTGCCCGGCGCGGGCCCCGCCTGGGGTCCTGCCGGCCTTCGGTGGTCTGCTCGGAGCCGGGCCCGTTAGACGCGGAGCCCGGCACGCCCCTGCCAGGCGGGGTGGGCCTCAGAGTCCTCGCTCCCGGGCCTGCGGCAGGACCTGGCGCTCTGCCCCTGGTGCGGCTGGGCGGGCGGGTCACGTGGCCGGGACGGCGGTCCTCTGCTGCTGTGCCTGCACGTGACCCCTGGACGCTCCTGCCGCACCTGCTGCCCGTCAGGCCCCTGGCGTGGCTGTCGGCTGGTGGGCGGCTCGCAGGCAGGGTCCCGGGCGCGGCGGGAGGAGCTGCGCTGGGTCGGGGTGGCGCGACTGTCAGGGGGACCCCGGTCCGTTGCCGTCCCCCTGCTGGGATCACGGGACCTTTAGGCAGGTACGACGCTTGCCCACGAGCCCTGAGGGCGGGCGCTCCGGACATGAGACGAGGGGTATTTGTAAAGCTCCCCGGCGACTCTTGATGGTGGGAGGGCCGGCCCTGCCGCCGGGGCGCCCTGGGGCGGGTCCTGGAAACAGGCCGGCAAAGGTCCCGTTAGGGGGGCAGCAGCCTCCGCGGGCGGGCGGGCGGGCGCAGTCCCACAGGAGAGGCGGCCCCCGTGCGTCCTCCGGGCTGAGCGCCCTGCGCCTTGGCGAGGCCCCGCGGGGCCGCCCGTGCTCTCATCTCCGCTGATGGGCTTCCCATGCTCTTGCCTGTCACCTGCATGGGATCATGGAATGTAAAGAGCTGACCCGCGGGCCCGTTTTCCCATCGTCCGTGTTGTCTGCTGATTAACTTACTGTTCACCTGCTGCTGATTTCAGGTACAGAACAATAGCACAGGGAAAGGACCCAGGGGCACGGGGCGCTGGGGGTGTGGGTGTTTTATTCTATTCTAGGTAGCTGCTCATTTGGATATAGTTTAAGAGACAAGAAATTGTCAAGTGATTACAGAGCCCCCATGTACCCCTCATGCAGTGTCTCCTGGTGACACTAGACAATGGGACGCAGCGTGTAACAACGCCGCGTGGACAGGGCCTGGGTGTGGGTGTTGGTACAACGCTCGCTTCGCGGCCTGCACCCGTCTAACGATCCCGGCATCGGCAGGTGCTAGCTCGGGGGCGGGGGGTGGTGAAACTCACCTGAAAGTCAAGATGCACCAGGTTGACAATCGGGAGGAGGATTGAAAAGCGAGCAGCTCGGGCTTCTGAGTAAACACGTTAGAGCTGCAAGTGGCGCTGGAGCTCGCTGGCCAATGCTCGTTAGACGTGGCCCGGCGTGCGCGGCACGGTCACAACGTTGGGCGCTGTCGCCGCCGGCGGACTCGGTAAGCGGCCCGTTCGCTAGCCTTACTCAGGCAGCGCGTTCTGCAGGACGCCCTTGGGATGGCCCCTCTCCATCCAGCGTGAGTCCGGCGCGATGTTATTTTTTGTGCGGTGGAAGGCGGGGACAGGGACCCTGGCCGGTTGGCCGAGGGGGCGGGGGCGCAGGCTGGAGCCGCCCAGCAGCGTCTCTGGGCCTGGCCTCTGTGCGACCGACCTCCCACCCTCCACCGGAAGCCTCCGGCCCCTTCTCCCGGGGGTGACCTGACCCGACCCCTCCTCCCAGGCGCCGCTCGGCCGTTCAGGGCACACTCACGCCCTGCAAGGACATCGACGTTGAGAAGGAGCAAACCCGGGTGTTGAGAGGAAGAACCGCCGGGGACCTGCTGGTGCTGTGCAACCTCAGCAAGAGCTACTGGAGCTTTTCCAAGCGGAGCACGGCCGTGCAGGACGTGAGCCTGGGCGTGCGGCGAGGGGAGGTGAGGCGGCGCCTGGCCAGGGGTGGGGGCAGGCGAGGGGCGCCCCGGGGGGCCTCCTGAGGGAGGGGCCTCGGGGGTCCAGGGTGAGGGTGAGGCTGATGCAGGCTCTGCTTTCCCGCTCCTGACGAGCGTCGCTGTGTGACTGCTCGGAGGCCGAGGGTCCGTGGGTGACCGAGACGCTGGGTGCGCCCCTGTCCCTCTAGGGGCACCCAGGCCCGTGGTGCTGCCTCAGAGCTTCAGGTCGCAGAGGGCAGCCGGGCAGGGCCTCGGCATGGACCCCGTCAGCCCGGGCCTGAGCCCTGAAGGACCGGCGGGCGGCTCAGGGGTGCGGGGCCTGACGGAGCAGCAAGGACCGGACAGGCTGGGGGCTCGGGGGGCCCGAGTGCCGGGGCGGCAAACACCCCGCCGAGGGGACGGCGTGGCTGTGGAAGCAGCCGGGGAGGCAGGGCGGCCGCTGTCATCCAGAGGGACGGGGTCTGTCCCGCGATCGCCGGTGGGCCTGGCAACAGGAGACCCTCCACAGTCAGTTTCCTGCGAGCCAGGGGCCCCGAGGCCGGCCAGGGTCGCGGACAGGGCGCTGGCCGCCAGGAGACGGGCCCTGGAAGGAGGCGGGCCAGCACCGCCCCCGGCGCCCCCGCCCGGGCCCTCCAGCGAGGGGCGGCCCACGTCCCTGCTGGGGCCGGGTGGAGCCTGGGCCTGGGCGAGGGCGCCGGGGGCGCTTTCCACAGGGACGCGGGTCCGGGTGGGACCACGCTGCTGACCTACACGGAGTGCCCGAGCCCAGAGCGGGCGCTGCCCTGTGGGCCGGGCAGCCCAGCCCGGAGCCCTCTCGGCGGGGGGTGAGGGGAGGGGCGCGGGCCGCGCGGACTGTGACAAGTGGGCGGAGGGCCGAGAACGCCCGGCCGGCAGCGGGGGCGCTGGAGCCCGCCGGTTGGCCCCAAACAGCTGGGCCGGGAGCGCGCGTTCCTCGCCGTCGCCCTCACGTGTCCCCTCCCAAGCTCGGCACACGCGAGTTCCCGCGTGCGTCAGGTGCTGCTGGCACTGTGACGCGTCTGATGCCACGACCGTTTCAGAAGTCCCCCCGCGTCCCCCCGCCGCCTTGTACAAACGCTTGCGTTTGGAAGCCCACAGATCTCACAGAAACGCGGCCGCCGGATGGGCTGGGGGCAGTGTTGCTCCCCATCCAGTCTGACTGCCATCTCACTTGCCTCCCCCGCTCAGTGCTTCGGGCTCCTGGGGGCGAACGGGGCCGGGAAGACCACCACCTTCCACGTGCTGAGCGGGGAGGCCGCCCCGACCGCGGGACACGCCGTCGTCAGGACCCCGACCGGGTGAGAGCCCCTCCGCGGCTTCTCCGCCCCTGGAGCGGCAGTTGGGCCGGGACCCCTGTCCCCACGGGACGGACGCCTGAGGACGTCGCCCCCCTCCCAGCGCGCCGTCGCGGGTGCTCCTCCTGAGCGTGGGTGAGGCAGCTCGGCGCCGGGTCGGGGTGCTGGGCAGACGGGGCAGGAGGCGCGGAGGGGCTGGGGCGTCCTTGCCCCTTGCCCCTGGCCCGGTTTCCGAGGGCACCGGCGCCTGGCCGCGCTCAGTGGCGAGGGGCCAGAGCCTGCTTGTCGGGCTGCATTGCTCCAGCTCGCTCTGCCGAGGCCGGCGCCTGGCAGAGTTCCCTGGGCCGCCGGGCCGCCGGCCCCTGTGGCTCCTTCCCCGGCCGCCCGTCCCGCTGGCCCTGCTGTGCTCCGGGGTGGTGACGACGCCGGTGCTGCATGAAGACCCCGTGCCCTCGCGTGTGGAAGTCCCCTGCACCAGCCCCAGGCCAGCGCTCCTCACTCGAGGACTGACCCGCTCCCGCTTCAGGGAGGAGGGCGGGGACGCGGGGGCTTGTCTGCCCACCTGGCTCCGCGCTGCGGCCGAGCCCCAGGGCCGTCCCTGCAGCCTGCACCAGGCGGCCGCTGCCATGATGCGCGGCTTGGCCAGGTCGGCGGGCGAAAAGTCCGCACAGTTGGAGGGGATTACGGTCGAGAACGGCCCGCAGAGTGAGCGCGGCCGCTGCGGGTCCGTCCTGCGGGTCAGGCTGCCCCGGGCCGACTCGCTCGAGGCCTGTGCTGCTGATTTGCCTGCGACCGTAGACCTGAGGAGGTGCTTTTGTTGATTGGGTGGTGGGTTTTTTTATTTTTTTTTTTGGTAACTTCTCTATTTACAAGTACAAAAGGACAAAATAATCAGAATTCAAAAGGAAACAAAAATATATGGTTAATTTTCTCATCCCTGGGAGGCTTGGCTGTCTCCTTTATAGTTTCATTCTATCGTTTCTAAAATAATTGGAAAATGAAATTCAAATAGCTGTTCTCAAAAGCACGAATGAATTTCCATTTTCCTGATGGTCTGCAAGTCCCTTATTAGACTGCATGTCTGTGTAATTAGTTTAATTATAACTAAACCACACTTGCATTAATTATATTTTTAACCTTGGTTATTTGTAATGTTAATTGGACATTGGTGTTCGAGGAGTTAGATGAGCAGCGAGGACACCGCTGAGCGCAGTCACGGGACGGCTGGCGTGGGCCTCCCGGACGGGCACGGTCGGCTCCGCCCCCCGTGCGCAGCGGCCGCCTTCCCTTCGGGTGGCGCTGTCGGGGAGGCTGCTGTTTCCTGGGCCCGTCCACCGGTGTTTGTGACGCACGTGCCCAGACGAGAGGCTAAGGCACGTCTAAAGGGCAGATTTCAACCTGGCCTCGCGGTCTCACGCACGGCCCCGCGCTCCTCCTCGGGGACAGCGCTGTGGCCTCACACAGAGCCTGTGCTGGGCCGTGTGCACCTGGCCTGAGGGTGCTGGGGGGGTGCCGCGCCCCGTCTCCGTCCTCCCTGCCGCCGCCGCTGCCTCGCTGCCGACGCCCTGTGATGCTCAGGCTGGGCCCCCGCACCCGCAAAAATCAGTGCTGCTAACCATAGCCATGACTTCCGGGGGCTCCACCGGTCACCGCGTCCTGCTAGGAGCTCGGCCTTCTGGTTGCCTGGATCCTGCGCCAGCCTCGGGGGAGGAGCCTGAGGCGGGAGGAGGGAGCGGCCCGGCGGGCAGATCTCAGGGGGCGGCGGGGGCGGCGGGGCGGGGGGTGCGGTATCTGCCGGCCCGAGGCCCCAGAGGGAGGCGAGGACCCGGATCTGCAGGGTGGCCGTGCAAGGGGGCGTGGACTTCGCAGGGGTGTCTTTCCTGGAAAAATCGAGGGCTCAGAAGATGGCTTTTTAAAAAATGTGTTTTTGTATGACATGCTAAACACCAAATATAGTCAAAATTAAAATAAAAGTGGCAAGTAGACAAACAAAAAGACTAAAATGTATATTATTACATTGATAGGATTTAAGGAAGAGGCATATTTGTAGTGAAAATATACATTTCAATAAAATATACTCTCCTCTATGAAGTCATTAAGTCGAGAGTTTCTATGTATGGAATATAAAATAAGAAAATAAAATATATGGAATATAAAACTGCTAGGAAATCAGAAAGAAAACGACAGGAATGTATCTGAATTAAGGTATCGTCACCCTTTCAGTATCGGCCGATTAAAGAACGGTGACGTGTGTAAACAATGTGGTCCACACGGCGTAAGGCTGTGTGTGGTGTGACGGTGGTGAACCGAACGCCTCGCACGGAGTCGGGACCACTGAAGCGATTCCCGTCACAGCCAGACGCGGAGGAGCACTGTCAACATCATTCACTGTTGTTCTTGAATTTGAGTTCCACTTTATGACATAGTTAAGAAGTAACATATTTACACAACTACTAATTAGTTTTAAAAACGATGTACTTAAAGTACCCATGGAAGTTAATGAAGGAATGATCTCCGCTGCGGTGGTCCGCCGGCCGGTAAACAGAAGGGTTAAGAGCTTCTCCACGTGGCGGCAGTACCTGGAGAGCGTGACAGGAAACGCTGCAGTATCCGCGGAAGGGCACGCGGGGTCGCGCGCTTGGCGTCAGAAGGGGACGTGGCGAAGCCGCGCAGTGAGGTGTAGGTAACAGGTTTTTGAGAATAAGAAAAACTGTTGCTGGATGGAAAATCCAAGTGGTCTCAATATTTTTCTTCTCCACCAGGTTTTGTAGATTTAATGCATTTCTGGTTGCTGTTGCAGGAAGCAGGAGACTTGATACAGAAATTCTGAAGTCTGGATAGATCAGTACCTTTCTGATCGGATGGCCTAATCAATGCAGTGGAATAGAGTCAGGGATTAAAAGGCAGTTTACACGTTTCTCTCGGTGAGGAAAGGAAAATAGGTTACCAATCCTGAGCCCAGCATTTAATGTTTCTCACAGAAAACAAGAAACAACAAAGTAAATAAACATGAACATTCATTAGTCAATGGAGAAATTATTTCAGAGCATTAACTTAGTATAAAATTTATAATACAAAATACAGATATATTGAAATGCGGAAATTTTACATTTTTCTGCAAGTAAAAATATCAACTTTTAAGGGCAAAAACAAGGGTGAAATAAGAAAGTGTGGGAAAGTTAATATGTAAAGGAGTCACCAAGCCCTAGAATGACGTTTAACGGCAGTTCCGGGGGGACCTGGTGCTGAGGACGCTCCTGGTGCTCGGTGGGCGTGGACTCAGCCGGGGGCCCTGGGCCTGTCCCGTCGAGGCCACGGACATTGGGGGGCCCGCGGGTGCCCTGGGCTGGGGCTGGGCTGCCGGGAGGGGCAGCGTGTGTTTGGGAGGCTCCGGTGTGTTTGGGGGGTGGGGGGCGGCGAGAGGGCCAGGAGGCTCTGGCTGGACTCAGCCACCAGCCTCCGCCCTGATGGGCCGGCTCTTGGACACCCTCGTGCTGGCCGAGAAAGACAGTAGGAGACGCTGTTTTCCGAGTCTTCAAATTAAGCTAAAATGGAATTTCCACTCCGACACTGAAGGGCACAGAGAGAAGGGCCCGCTCTGCAGACGCGCTGGTGCCTGTGACAGACAAGGAGCCGACGGCAGGAACGCAGTCGGAGCAACGGCAGCGGCCGAGAAGACGCAGGGAGCCGGGCGGCACCGCGACAACGGCCGTGTTCTGGAGAAAACCCACTCAGGCTGGAGGAAGTGCTCGTTGAAATTAACAGGACAATGTAATTGGTTAAAAGCAAGCGATTCTCAGCTTACGAGGAATACTGTGAAGGAGAAATCGAGGGGCGTGAGGGGCTGAGAGAGAAGGTCGAACTCGCGTCTGGCTGGATTTCTGAACTGCGGAGCAGAGGCAGCGGAAGAGAGCCGCCCTGGGAAGAAATCGTCGCTCAGGATAGTCGAGCGTTCATGAAACAGGGATGATTTGACCACAAACCGCCGCACTTCCCAAGTGGGCAGTGAAGCCACTGAGTCCAGACACGGAGGCAAACCCTACGACCGAGGGGGCAGACAGCGCCGGTCATCGCACGGGCACGGATAGATTCCGGCTGCCCGAAGGGAGCGGCCACCCCCGACGGCTCCTAGGCTTCAGGTGCACCGGATTAGATGCCACGGTGAACCTAGTTTCTCGGGGCACTGGCAGCCTGTCCGGAGCTTGGCAGTGCGCTCGGTGCAGGCGCAGGCTGCCCCGGGGCAGCCGCCGCACAGGAGTAACGGGGTGGGGGCCGCAGCGAACAGCGGGCCGACAGGCAGCGTCGCGGGGCGGCCGTGGCCGCCGTCGGCGGTGGGGACCGGGGAGACGTTGTTTGACCCGTGTTTCTTCCTACCTTGCCTGGCCCGTGCACCGCGGTCCGTGGGGCGTGCTGTGCGGTGAACGGTGGAGGCCCGGCTCCGCCCTCTGCGCGTGGCTGCCCAGGTCTCCCAACGCCTCTCACTGCCCTTTTGCCCGTTGTATGTTCGTGGCTTCTCTGTCAAAATTAACCGACCGTACACGGACGGGTTCATTCCTGGGCTCGCGATTCTGCTGTTCATTCTGTGGGCCCACGGACCGGGTCGGGTGCCCACGCCGCGCTGTGTGGGTCACCACGGCTCGTCATGGGTGGCCGGAAACCGGGAGGCGAGCCGCCTCTGGCTTTACTCTTGCTTCTCAGGGTCACAGCGTCTCCCCCGGGTCGTCGGTGCTTCCGTACAAGCCTGGGGGCTTTTTTCCTATTTCTGTGAAAAATGCCATTGGCGTTTGCGTGGCCCGTCCGACGCCCGGCAGTTTCGGTGTGCAGGCCTTGCCTCTCCCGGGTGGGGTTCGTTTCTGAGTATCCCCCCGCTTTGGGAGTGGGGTGGTTTGTTAACTCCCCGCCAGTTCGCTGCCGGTCTGCGAAGACCTGGGGGCTTCGGTGTGCAGGCTGTGTGTGCTGCAGCCCCGCTGAGCCGTTGGTTACTTCTGACAGGCAAGGTGTGTGCGCAGGTCGGAGGCGCTCGCCCTGCCTCCCCTTCTTGGCTCCTGCCGGTTCATGTCCCGTCTGGAGGGGGCCGTGCGCTCCTGCTAAAGGAGGGCGCGCACCCAGGCACGTGGCGTCTCCAGCACTCAGCAGGCCGGCGCCATAGGCTTCCCTCCTCTTTCTCTATTTTCCGTCTGTTCAATGGCAGATCACACGCAATCGTTACAACACTCACCTGTTTAGAATGTGACACTGCAGGAGAGAGTAGTCACCCATCCGCTGGGCGTTCGTGTGCATTGTTTCGGTGTGGAAGCGGCAGCAGGGCAGCTGGACCCCGCGCCGGCCAGCTGCACAGCCCGGTGCTTGCCCGTTTTCTTCCGCACGCCACGCGGCCACCACCCCCGAGCCGGGCCTGATCTGGACCCCTGGGTGGCTCCTCCTTCCTTGAAGCTGTTTGTGCTCATTAATTAACCGCGTTAGACAAACCCTGTGGCCGCCGGGGCGCGGCGTCTTCTGGACTCTGCTCGCTTCCCCGCAGGGAGGACGTGGATCTGCTCTCCGCTGGGGCGGCGGGCCTGCGCATCGGCTACTGCCCGCAGCAGGGCGCCCTGGACGAGCACCTGACCGGCTGGGAGCACCTGCGCTACTACTGCCGCCTGCGTGGGGTCCCGGCGCCGCACGTCCCGGAGGTGAGCCCGGCGCTCAGGGAAGGGCCCCGCGGTCGTGGGCCAGCCCCGCTCGTCCGATGCGGCTCCTGCCCCGGAGCCCGGCCCCAGCGTCGGAAGGCGCCCCAGAGCGGTGCCCCCGCACCCCGGGCCAGTGCCGCCGGCGCCGGCGCCTGCGTGGAGGGCGGGAGGGCGGGAGGGCTGCGGCGTCCCCTCCAGGGCCGGTCAGGCTGCCCCCGCTGCTGTGTGTTCAGGGGCAGAGGTCACCGACGCGGCGCTCCGGGCGCAGGCCGGGAGCGACTTGGGTGGCGGGTGGGAAAGGACAGCTGCCCGGAGGTGCCCCCTCCTCCTGTCAGCGAGGGGCGGGGGCCGCCTGGGGGGCCCGGGGGGGCCATCCCCCCCTTGAGCGATGGTGGCCGCCACGCAGAGCGGGCAGCTGGGGCTGCAGCCTGGGGACGGTCCGGGGGAAGCCGTGGGAGGGCTGGCACGGCTTCCCTTCTCCACGCCTCCTCGTGGAGCCTGGGGCACGGCCCGCGTTTCGGGGTTCTGAACAGGAGTGGAGATACGCGGTTTCCCTGATGGCAGGGCCGCGTGGGGGTGGCGTGGAGGGAGGAGGGAGCGGAGCAGGCGGGATCTCGGCCAGTGGCGGCTCCTGTCTTCCAGGTGGCCGGGGACCTGGTGAGGCGCCTGGGGCTGGAGGCCCACGCGGACCAGCCCGTGGCCACCTACAGCGGCGGGACCAAGCGGAAGCTGTCGGCAGCCCTGGCCCTGCTGGGGAGGCCTGACCTGCTGCTGCTGGTGAGCACCTGGGGGCGTCGGCGCCGCCGCCCACCCCCCACCCCCCCTGAGCAGGCCCGCGTGGCAGGGCCGCTTCCCGGAAGTGACACGCCCTTTGTCCCAGCTCAGCACCCCCAACACGATCCGACTCAGCCCTGGGATTTTACAGAAATAAAGTGTTTCTTGATAAGTCACGTTTAGTTACCCAGTGCAACGCTCAGTAACACCGTAACATTAAAAACAGTAATTTCAAAAGACATGAGAACTCACCTGTAACCTGCCAACCCACCCAGCTCGTCCCCGGCACAGCGGTGTCCGACCGCTGTCGTCTTGGGGCGCGCGCGCGGGCCAACCGCTAACACGTGGCGACACGCCCGCAGACACGCGTCTCACCGCCGGGCCAGCAGAGGCGGGCGTGACTGTGAGTGATTCTCCCCGGACGGCGGCTGCCGAGCCGGCTGCTGTCACGGCGGCTGCGGTCCTGATTTTAGATTCGACGGCCTGAGGGGGAGCGGTCTGTGCCCCTGACCCAGCAGCCGGGCGCCGCGCCTGGTCGGCGTGCTGGCGGCGCAGCGGCCGCGCGCCAGAGCCCTGGGCTCCTGGGACGAGCGAGTGCAGAGCCGGCCGCCGACCCCGGAGGGCGCGAAGGGCGTCTCTCACGAGTGGTCCACGTGGAAGCCTTTGGGTGTTTATCGAAGAGAAGGCTCTGGCTCCAAGAAATGCTCCTTTGTTTGGTGTTGCTAAATAAGCGAGCCGTTTGGGTCTCGTGGGCCTTTCTAGGGCATGTCATTCTGGGCTTCAGTGGTGGTCGAGGGGCCTTTTCGGAACCACCGGGGGCTCACTCACCGGCCCCGCGGGGAGCTGGTGGGTGCGGACACCGCCCCTGGGCCGGCCGAGTCCAGCCCTGTGCACCTTCTCTCCGTCAGGACGAGCCCAGCTCGGGGATGGACCCCTGCTCGCAGCGCCTCCTGTGGGACGCGGTGCGGAGGGCGGCGCGGGAAGGCTGTGCCGTGGTGCTGACGTCGCACAGGTGAGCGCGGGGTTGGGGGGGGGCGCGGGCCGGCGTCCCATCCGCAGCCTTTGGGTGTGAGGCGCTCTCACCTGGGTGGTGCCTGCGCTGCGACCTGACGTTTCAAAAGCCGCCGTGCGTCGTGCGTCCTGCGTCCTGCGTCCTGCGTCCTGCGTCCTGCGGCCGCCCTCCCCAGCCTGTGGGATGCCGCTTCCGCTGCTGCTGCGGGTCGCGACCCTGGCTGCCGCCCAGCGTCCTGCCCCCGGAACGCGCGCTGTGGGCTCTCACGCCGGCTCAGCACAGAAGGCCAGCGAGGCTGCGCGGGGTATGGGGCCGCGGCTGCCCCCGCGCCCGCTCACGCCCCGTGCGTCCCCGCAGCATGGAGGAGTGCGAGGCGCTGTGCACCAGGCTCGCCATCATGGTCGGCGGCAGCGTCCGGTGCCTCGGGTCCCCCCAGCACCTCAAGAACAGGTGCGTGCCCTTCTCCTCGCTCACGTCCGCCCTGCGTGGGCAGGCGGCTCGTCCCAGGGAGGGTAGAGGCCCCGGGGGGGGGTGAGTGGGGAGCCCTGGGCCCTGAGCCGGCCTCCCCTGCAGCGCTGCCTGTCCTCCTCCCTGGGGACAGGTGTGGGGTGGGGACGGCAGCCAGGACGCGGCCGGACGGCTTGTCCTCAGCAGCAGGAAGCACCCGCTGAACAGGCTGCGCCCGTTCCCCCCGCCGCCCTGGGGCCAACCGGGGTCCTCGTCGCCCCCACGCCGATTTGGGCAGCGGGAAGGCGGCCCTGGCAGCTGGTCACCCCGCAGGGAGTAAGGCCCTGGGTCCCCGCGGCTCCGGGGCCCCGACTCCTGCGCTGCCGTCTCCCCGCTTCCCCTGTGCTCCCCGGATGCCGGGGGCTGTGTCCTCGGTTCCCTGAGGGTTTTTCTGTCCCGATAGAGCATTTTAAATGTTCGGTGTTGCCTGAACTGTTTTCAGAGTTTCTAATTGCCTTTTAATTAGTTGTTTAACCAGTTTTTTACATAGATGTACTCATTACGTTGACAAGTGTTGCGGCTTCATTTATTCAGCATGTTTATAGGCGGCGTCAGTGCGCAGGGGTTTGTGATGTGGGCCCAGAGGTCGGGTGACGCGTTTGCATGTGGCACGTGGCGGAGGAGGAGGCTGCCTCCACCCCCGGCGCTGGCGGGGCCGCTGCCCCTGCGCCTGTGCCGGCTGGCGCTGGGGGTGGGGGGGCCTCGCAGAGTTCACCCCCTGCTTCGTCTCCTGACACGCTCCCCAGACACAGCCGGCCCCCCGGGAGGGCCGCGCAGTTACATGAGGCCCTGGAGACTTGGTGTCAGGCCTGTGGCGCGGCTTCTGGGACTTTGAGAAGCCCCCCCGACGTGTCTGAAGGCTTTTGCCTGTGTGGGCGCTGCCGCTTCATCCTGGAGTTTATGAAAATACAAGGAGGGTGCACCGGTCACCCCCCCGACCCCCCGGGGGCTGTGGGTCCCCTTTCCCCAGGACAGATTCTCCTTTCAGGGTTCCCGTATGTGCCTTGTCCGTGACTTGTCACGGCTGTTCGTGTTCGCAGTAGGTCTTGGGCTGTAGCGTTTTTCTTCTCTGGCGCCTTGACCTGTTTTCGGTGTCATGGGGCGGCGGCCTCTCAGGGTAGGTTGGATGGTGCCCCTCATCTCTTTTTGGAAGAATTTACGGAGAATTGGAATTAATTTCTTAGTCTCTGTTAGAATTCCCTAGCAATGCCACCTAGGCCCTGTGCGTCCTTTCTGGGTGGATTTGAAGTTGCTAGTCTCATCTCTTCACTCGTTGCAAGTCTGTTCGTGTTCTCTTTCTTCTGGAGTTAGGTTCAGAAGTTTTTGTCTCTCTAAAAAGGTGTCCGCCTAATTGAACGCCTGTAGTGTAGGCAAGCACACTCGTCCACCTTGCTCGTCCACGGTCCTTTTTGCGAGTTGAGGGTCACGCCGCGTCTTCCTGGGAGTGTTCTGTTGCCTTTGCTTGGTCAGTCCGGCGGAAGGTTTGCTAGTTTTGCTGATCGTTTGAGAGCGCGTGCTTTCCGTTCTGTGGATTTTCTCTTTCCTGCCTCCTCAGTCTCCAGGCTGATCTTTATGATTTGTCCTCCCTTCTCTCGCCACAGGCGTTGTTCCCTCTTTTACTGCTGTCTCAGGTGACAGATGAGGCCACCGTTTTGTGACCCCTCTGATTCATTAATACAGGCATTTAGAACCACCGTTGCGCATTCGCTCTTTGTCCAGCAGCTCTTGGCAGCGACGCGGCTGCCTGCCCGTGCCCGGCACCGGGCTGTGGCACCGCAGCGGCACGGCTCTCAGAAGCCTCCATGTTCCCGGCGGTCGCTCCCCGAGGTTCCTTGCGCGGGGGCGCTGGCTCGGGCACCGGGGCTGCCTGCAGCGCCTCCGGGCCGGGCAGGTGGGGGTGTCCGCGTGACCAAGCCCCGCCCGGTGGGGTCGGCGCTCCCTCCACCCTCCCGGCTGCATTCGGCTGCCGTGGGCCTCGTGGCGGCGAGCCCCACTCCGGCCGGGCTCCTGCAGCCCCCGCCCCGCCCCCGCCTCGTGTGGCTTTCTCCCTTCGCACTCTGCCCTCCCTCTTTATCGAATAGGTCGATGCCAGGATCCGATGACTCACAAAAAAAAATCACATTCTGTGGCAGTGTCAGTTGAATTAAAACAAACTATGTGACTGAGTTGTCATTAATCTCTGAATGTTTTTGAGAATCCAAAACCTCCGACAGTTTGGACCAGTCACCGTTTCACTGCCTGCCTTGAAAGTGACTCAGAACCGGCCCCTCGCAGGTCCCTGGCAGAGCAACCACGTTTTCATTCTGTCCCGCCCTCAGGTTTGGGGACGGGTGCACCGTCAGAGTGTGGGTCAGCGAGGAAGGGGACGCGTGTGCCGCCGTGGCCGCCTGCCTGCAGCTCCACTGCCCGGGCGTCCGGTTCAAGGTAGGGCTGGCGTCCAGCACGCCTTCCGTCTCGGCCGAAAGTTTCCGGAAGCGCCCTGGCCTGGTTCCCTGCCAGTGCGAGACGCTGCCTGTCGCCCGGGCCTCGTGGCAGAGGATGGGGTCCCCAGACAGGGTGCGGGCGTGAGCCCCGCTGACCACGGGGGACCACACCCTGCTTGTCCCGGGTGGGTGGCCTGGGGAGGCGGCCGTCAGGCCCCCTCACCTTTGGGCCCAGCCGCACGGTGGCTGTGTCCTTCAGGACAGATCGCGTGCCCCGTGTGTGTGGGGTGGGTTGGCGGCTCGGTGACGGGGGCGGCATTTCCCAAGCAGGACCTGTGCTGGCGGTCGCCCCCTCCGCCAGGTGGGGCCGGAGCGTGGTCCTTGCCGTCGCTTCCGGGGCGGCCTCCCGCGGTGGCGGCGACCTGCCTGTTCAGCGGTGACCGGGTCAGAGCAGGCTGTGCGGGGCCCACACGCTCACGTCGGGGACCCTGCAGGGGGCCCTGCCCCGCGGAACAGGCCCGGCCGCCGTCCGCCCCCACACATTGGAGAGCGACGCCCGGGGCCGTCAGATCTCCCGGGAGTGTGGTGGCGGGGACGGGGGCGGGGACAGGGGACGACCGCTGTCCCGCGGGGACCTGTGGGGAATTGTCATCCCTGACCGTTCACTGGAGGCTCCCAAAGCCGACCCGCACTCCTGGCTGGTGTTCGAGTGTGTGGCCGTCACACGTAGGGGACCGACCTCGTTTAATCGCTGTCTCTCACGCGCCCTTTCCCGTTCGGGCTTCCAGGGGCGGCGCCTGAATTTGCTGGAGTATCATGTGCCGAAGACGGGGGGCTGCTTGGCCGACCTGTTGACGGTGCTGGAGAGCAATAAGGCCGCGCTGAACATCAAGTGCTACTCCATCAGCCCGGCCACCCTGGAGCAGGTGGGGTCCCGGGGGGCAGGCTGCGGGACCCTGTGGCGGCACCGCCGCCCTGGGTGAGGCGCCACTGGGCTTACGGACGCGGGTGGGGGGGTGGGCGGTGGGCGGCCTGCTTATCACCCCCTCTCCGCACAGGCCCCTGGGGTCTGTGCCTCTACGTGTCCACAGTGACACTGGTCCCCCGGGGGGTGAACCGGCCACCCCGCCCCCCCCCCCCGTGACCCAGGGCGCCCCGGGACTGAGCGACTGCCGACTTCGGGAAGAAGGGGGCTTGGTTCACGAAGAGTAGCCGAATATAAAGTTGGATCACAGCTTCGTTCCAGAGGCAGCTGGAGGCCTGGAGAGCTCCCAGGCGCCCTGTTACCCTCCAGGGACGCCTGCGGTCCCTGGAGCTTGAGTCCAGCGTCTACCTGTTGGTGTGACTCAGGGGACGGGCGGCTGAGTGACCGGCCTGCGCTTTCGGGAAAAGCGGGCGGCGCTCTGGGAGGGGCCCCTTGCAGCGCTCGGCGAGAGCAGTCGGTCAGCGGCGGCTTTCACTCTGCCAGGTATTTATCGACTTTGCCACTGAGCAGCAGCCGACCCCACGAGCCGCTCCCGGGCCCCCCGCCGCCGGCCGCCAGCCCCAGCAGCTGCCCGTCTGAGCCCCGAAGAGGACGCTCTGGGGGCGTGACCTGGCATTCGTCTTGACGAGCCCCCCGCAGCGGCCAGCGCCCAGCGCCGACAGGAGGGCCTGCGCGTTAAAAACGCCTCCGCCGCTCACGCTCTCCTTCCTTCTCCGCTTTGACACTCTGTTGACTGCTCACCAAGAAACTGAACGGTCCTGCTTCCCTGCACACCCTGGGGGCCCCCACGCAGCCCTGAGCCCGTGCCAGGCCCCGGCGGGGGTGGCTGTGAGTGGGGTCGGAGTCCGGACTCTGGCCGCTGGGCATCGTCTGCTGCAAACGCGGGCTTTTCCTTCCAGGACCCCGAGGCCGCCCAGGCGGTTGCAGGAGACGGCCCCGGGTCCTGTGTTGCTTTTGGCATCTTTATCCTGGACATGCACACGGGTGTCTACGTAAGAACCGAATGATTTGAATGCAAACTCGTCCTTATACTGAATGCCATTGCATGATATGACATGAAAAAGTTTCTGCGTATCTGCATGGTGATCTAAACGATGCTTTAAAAAAAGGAATTAGAGACCCTTTTAGTCAACGCTTTAGCAAAATTAGGTAAATTGAACTTGGTACTCTATCATTTATAAAAGTTTTACCAGAATTTCAGACTATAATTTTAGAGGAATATAAAAGAAACATGATGTGAATGTATTTCCTTAATTTGGGTCAGTCCACGGCCCTTTTATAATTCTTGTAAGTGCCCAGTTCTCCAATGCCTCAGCGGCTCCGGGGGCCTTGTGGGGCGCAGCCGCCCTGGCCCAGCGGGTCCGCGATGCCGCGATGCCGGGGGCCGCAGCCTGGATCCTCAGGGCGGCCCCTCCCGCCCTCCTGATGCGCATTCCAGGGGGATGACCAGTGATCGAAGACATAGCTAGTTACGTTCCAACTATAGAAACCCAATAGCACAGTATATCGCGAGTATGTAAGGAGTGACTTCAAACAGTTAAACTTTAAAGACCTCCGGGCTGTGGTCTGCTCCCGACAGGCAGCGTGCCCGTCAGACCAGCGCGGCCTCGGAGCTGAGCTCCAGCCGCTTTGTGTAACATTCCCTCAAACCTCAGCGGAGGACCGCTTGGGTTCTAGCTTCAAATTCAACCTCACCCAGTTAAGTTTTTGAGTACTAGTCGCTTGTAATCAGGAAAACCACTTTCTGTGACAGTCTTTCGGAGGCAAGGCTTCGTGGCGACCGTCTTCCCTGAGCACCGTCCTGCGCTGGAGGCGTTTTTAACTGGGAAGGAGCAAGGCCGTGGGGGTAGTTCGGAATGCATCACGCTTCCTTAGAGAAGCTACCATTGCGAGTTTTATGATTCCCCCAACCTTAGCATTGGCTAGTTGCTGAATGGAAGCTGTGATCTTTTGTTTGTACTGCCATTGAATCAATAAATGCATTGTGGCACATGACCGTGTGTGCGCTGCGCTGTGGCCCCCCGCCCTGGGTGCCGTCACGGCTCGCGGCCTCCCGGGGAGCCCAGCTGCTCGGCCGAAGAGGAAACGCGGCTCCGCCAGGCGCCCGGCAGCTCGGGGACGCTGACCTGCACTTCGGTGTCACTCTGCTGGGTCCTGCTCGGAGGGCGGCTTCCCAGCCGTGGCGCTGCCGCCGCGTGACATCACCGCAAGGTGTGCCTTCGCACGGTACGCAGGAAACCCAGTGCTAAAATGCCGCGTCCCGGAAGACCGGCCCCAAAAGGTCAAGTCCTGTGTTATTGTCGAAAATGTCATTGCGTTTATAAATTACGCAGATATTTTATGACTTTGGAGTTAAACATTTGTCTTAAGGCCTTTGGGTTTAAGGTCGCACGGGTGAGGCTTCCGCACAGAGCTGCCCCCCCCCCTCCCCTGCGGAAAGTGCTGGGAGCGGCAGCGGCACCGAACAAGGCGGGCGCAGTGCACCCTGCGCCGAGCTCACTTCGCCGGCGTCTGAACAGGTGGCGCACGGAAGCCGCTGTGCAGGCTCAGGACTGTGGGAGCCAATCAGGGTCTGTTCTCTGCCAGCAGGGAACAGGAGACTCGGGTCCCGGTCAGCTTGGTTTGGGGGACACGGAGCCGAGCAGTGACCCCCCACGATCGCGCCACCTCGTCCCACAGAGCGTGCGCCCCACACCTACCCTGCGACCGAGTGTTTGCAAGGATGACCCAAAGGCTATGACCACAGGTTTCCTACCCAAGCTGGGGGGGCGGGGGTGGGCGCAGACATTTAGAAGTTTCCGGCTGGTTTGACTGTGTGTCCACCTCGGGCTTCTCATTGGCCAGCGTCATCTCAGGGCGGTGACGGCCTGTGGGTGGTGCGTCACAACTCAGTGCCACCGCGGAATCACTCTCAGTCCTTCTAGGTGCACAAGTGCGTGCACACGCGCACGTTCTTCCATTAGCACTGCCAAGCCGCTTTGGGTGCATCTGTAGGGGTGGGGGCGGGGGCGGGCGAGAGGTGCAAGAGCGTCCTCAGAGCCGGGCAGGGACTCGGGCCGGCCCCCGCCCCCCCACCCCGGGGACGCCGTTTCTCGTGCTCACGGAGCACGGGCTGCCCCGGGTCTCCTCCAGTGACGGCCTTGGCCCCTTTACACGCCTGAGCATCTCCCGCCACGTCCTCCTTGGGGACGCTGTGCCCTGGGGCCGCCGGGTGAGGGGCTGTGTGGCTCGGTGCAGTGCGCGGGCGGGTGCTGGGGCCGGTATGTCTTGCCTCCTCCCCCGAGGACAGTGGGACCCGGGAGTGGCTTCCTGTCCCCATCCCCGGTCCCTCGCCTTTGCGGTGGGCGAGGAGAGTGTGTCTAACTCAGAGGGTCTCTGCTGTCCGAGGCCGTTGTTGGGAGTACGCTTTCCCGCCGTTTCCAGCTGTTTGAGACGTGAGGGCGAACGGTCCCCCCCCTTATCAGAAACTAGTCTCTCAGTAACTACAAGGCACTTTAAACCAGGTGGTGTGGACAGCAGGGCTTTCAAAACATGAAGCGGGGATGGATCTCGCTGTGCGGTCGCAATGGGCTGTTTTAGAGAATAAGCCAGACCCTCTGAAAAGAGTTCACGGCTATTCGAGTCACATCTCAATTAGGTACAAGATTGACGTCAGAGTGTCCCGCGGAGTCCGACCCGATTAAAGACTCTGACACTGCGGGGGTGGGGGGAGGGGGCGGGGGGGGGCGTTCTGCATCCTGTTCATTCCCCTCCGTGAAATTCCTCTTGTTTGTCTGAAACAATCAGGGTTTTGAACCAGTCATGCCATCAGGGAGGTTTCAGTGCAAGTTACTTTGAACACTGAGCTCTTTTGCTTTGTCCACGAGGGGCGTCCAACCTGTGGCCCGCGGGCCGCATGCGGCGCGGCGTGGCTAGGAATGTGGCCTAACACAGAATCATAAATGTACTTACAACCGTTTTTTTTTTGCTCGTCAGTTTTCGTTAGTGCTTGTGTAGTTCACAGGTGGCCCGTGATGACTCTTCTCCAGTGGAGCCCAGAGATGCCCAAAGGCTGGACCTCCCCCCACCCCCGGGGGGGGCAGGCGTAAGGCTGGAATCCCGTTACCAAGTACAGCGTGGATATAACCAATTCTAAAACGATTTTTATTCATTTGAAATTAACGTCAAAACACAGGTTATTTGCAGCGTTTAGATGGTTCCAGAAGGCAGGGTCTGGCAGAAGGAAGGCCTGCTTGAGTGTGGCTGGTAGGGTAACAATACGGGTGTGATGATTTATAGTTTTAATTTGAACATTTCACCTAAAATGTCGCGTGGTATGTTGAGTGTGATATCGTCACATCACAGGATTCCATGCTTATGATTTTGTAATAGAAGATTCTGTAATTAAAAAAGGGTGTTATCGGTCCTGGGCCCCGGTATATTTCCAACCTCTGAAGAGTTAAGCTGTACTTCCGTGTGGATATTCTCAGAGGAATGTTCCTCAAGCAGATTCCCACTGCATCCTCATCGTTATTCTGCTTTTAAATAATGAAGCAATGCAAATTGTTTTTCATGCATATGGATTAGAACATTCAATTAGTTTTCAATTACGTACCCGACTGCTTTTAAGAAACTCCCAATTTGTACTGCGCTAACACCAGATCCTTCTCCTTTTTCTTTTTCTCGAACCTTAACCAGTTTCCAGAAATCAGCCAGCGCTGCTGCGGCCCCTCGCGAGCTGAGGGAGGAGGGCTGACGGGCGGCGAGCGAGCGGCGGGGGGCTTCCCGCCCCCGAGACGGGTCAGCGTTAACTGTGACGCTAATTGCTAAGCCGCGTGAGGGACATCTCAGGGTGCCCACAGCCCAGAAAATAAGGGGTAGACGTCAGAGAGGTGAGCAGAAATTGCGGGAGAGCAGAGAGAAAGGACGTCCTCGCAGACTGGAGGCCAGGAGACGCATCCAGAGGCTTGTCCGTCTGTCGTCTACCCATCTGCCCTCCCACCCTTCCATCCATCCATCTTTCACTCATTCCTTCCGTCTTTTAATGATTACACACTTGTGCTGTGATGCCATGTGCAGGCAAAGAGCCCAGGACTGAAGAGAGGGGCTCGTGAGGGTGAATGGACGTGAAATCGACCCGCAAGGAGTCGCCATCGTCAGCCGATCACGGCAGCGTGCCCGTGTGCCGCACGCTTGCGCTGAGAGGCGCTTTGGGTGCCTTGATTAGTCACGTTTCCCCACAACATGGCCCAGGAAATGCTGCGTCCATTTTACAGGTGACGAAAAGAACGTTCCCTGAGTCACCCAGGACACAGCGGAGCCGCCGCGCCAACCAAGACCAATTTGATTCTAAGTGGATCCGATTTGATTCTCCCCACTGAGAAATCTTCTCAAGATGTCTCCCCTGCATGAGTAGCTTAAGTCCGCATGGAAAAAGAAAGCAAAGGCCAACACCGAGGAGTGATGTTGGCCGTATTTGCTGTCCCCATCGCCGGCGGGCTACCGGCAGGGCCGGTCAGATGTGCGCGCACCAGCCAGACAGCGCCGCCCGCCCGCCCCGCCCGACAGACCCCGACCCTCACGGCCCCCTTGGCCGCTCC